AGAGATGTGCAGAGGCGAGGGTCTAACACGTCCTACAACGTGGCTGGAATCGACGAGGCAGTTATATCCTCCGCGGGATTCATGACGCAGCGTTTGACTTTAACCATGTCGCTCGGATTAGGGTTGCGGGGTCATTCCCCATCTCTGTCTGATTGTCTTGCCACATCTGGTTGGATTGACCCGTGTGTAAAACAGAAAAAAAGAAGTGGAATGCGATGACAGTTTCGGGTTGCAGCTCGGAAAGTTCCTAGAGAGTTTGTCTTCCCCCCTGCTGATCCATTAAAAAACGCGCATGCAGTGCAATCTGAGTCAAGATCGAAACTTCGTGTGAAAGAACCCCAGAAAGCAACGAGAGAGAGAGAGAGAGAGAGACAGACAGACAGAACGAGGCTACGTACATTCATATCATGAACTAGACCAAGGACCCATTGAAGAAAAGCATTCCCTGAAACTAATGTGATGGTTTCAACCAAGAAAAGGAGTTTGCTGTCAATGCCGTCGATGGGTGTTCGTCACTCAAGTGACGGATCATGCGCACAGCAATGCGTGTTCTCTGAAATTTTGAACAGCTTCGTGTGGAAATACACGAGAAGTATTATCGTTCAGGGAGTTTCCAAAGCAGGTCGCGATCAGGAAACTTGTTCCAAAGGAGTGTTATCAAATTTCCAATGCCGACATCGTTGGCCGAACGAAGTTTTCCGAACAACATTGTTGCACCCATCAAAATCACCGACAGCTGTCGAGATGACCGCCGCCACAAATGCTGGCGTCGCTCCACCCAATCCCCATCCTTTACTCTTCGCTGCTCTCTCTTCTTTCTCTCTCTCTCTCTCTCTCTCTCTCAACTTGATTCGTCAGCCGTGGCCAGAAGATGAAAGAAGGGAAAAAAGAAGAAAAGGGAAAAATTGAACAATAGGAGAACACGTCTAAGTCATCAAATAGTTAATACACTATTATGTTCTTCTCTGAAAAGGGAAATCTCAGGATGTAAATTTATCCGCCAATTTAGTGTATCGAAATCCTAATGCACCCTATAGCTAATTCGCACTTCCGATTGTAACAAAATCGGGGATAATTGTTCAAAAAGTTTTAATACGACGGGCAATTCATTCTTAAACCTTTCAATTATGTCAATTTAGTTATAAATCTTTTGACGATTTATCAATTTAGTTCTTCCGATCAATTTTGGCAGGAAATCACTGATATGGACAACTATTGGCTGCCAACCACCCTACATATGGCCGGCACCAATGTGGATAATTTTTCCGTTTTTTAAAACTTTTTCTTTTTTTGTTCTTTCTTTCCGTTTTCATTTTTCTATTTTTTTTTTGCCTGTAGCCGGTGACTGGTCACAAGTGAGAGCGTTGCAACCCTCCCGGACCACATGCGAGGGTCACCCTCGCCGAATCTAGTGAGGGTGCGACCTTCACGTCCTCTAGTGAGAGTGACCCATGCCTGTGACCTTCCGTTAGGCATGGCCAAATACCGGCCACAAGCGAAAGGAAAAGAAAATAAAAATAAAATGGAAAAATTCAGAATTTTTTAAAAAAAAATACAAAAATTATGTGCACCAACGTCAGGCACGCCACGTAGGTCAATCAACGTCCACGTCAACGATTTTTGACCAAAATGGGCCGGAAGGACTATATTGGCAAATCATCAAAATGTTCAGGATTAAATTGATATAATTGAAAGGTCTAAAACTAAATTGGCGAATTGTCAAGAAATTTATGATTAAATTGGTACAATTTTAAAAAATTGGCACAATTGGAAAGTTTAAAACTGAATTGGTCACCATACAATAGGTTTATGACTTTTTGGACAATTTTCCCAGTAAAATCATGATAAATCATAATGCTAAGTAATCATTAGTGTTTGGTTAAATGTACCACCAAGGATCAGCTACTTAGCATTATGGTTTATCATAATGCCTACGAGGGCTTCCGCGGCCCCACGTGGGGGGCTCCACGAATGCATTCATTAATTTTACATGCCGGTGCCCTTACGCCTGACACCCCCAGTTCTCCATGTATCTTTGTCTTCACTAGGGAGAGGAAATACTCTCTAGAAGATTGACATCCCGTAATCCCGAGATCCAGACAAGGATCGAGATGGAGGCTTTTAAGGACCTACTCAGGCCCATCGAACTTATATTTTTTGCTATCATATTTAGTGAAGATAATATAGGACCATAAGCTGATAAGGAAAAATGTAGAGATTTCATTAAGTGATGTCATAGTCGGAAATTCATACTATCAAACCTCCCAAATACTATAGTTGATAGCTCCCTAGTTTATGACTGAACTTCCACGGAAGCAATATCGAGAATGGATCTTATAGGTACAATATGGAGATTATACGTGTACATTGATAGTCCTATAACTCTCGAGGCTTGATTGAAAGTCCATGTCTAGTGTACACGTCAAGATTAATAACGTGGGCAGGAGTTCCAGGAAGTCACTCAATATCGTCCTGGCAAATTATGGTCCATATATCCCAAAAAACATCAGAACTTGTTCTGGCTCTTCCTTGTCACTTCTCTTTGCAATTTGTTTTGGTCTTGGAAGCAAATAATAAAGAAATAGCAAAAAGGAACGCGGGTCGACATGTCGTCACTCGGTGGGGCGATAGGGCTAGCGGCATTGATAGGGGAAGTTTAAAGGAAAACCCTGTGCATTCGCGATGTTTATGGTACGAAGGTTGCACTTTAACATAAGGTAGCGAGATTAGGCGTTACGACATTAAGTATCGAAGCAGTGTCTAGGAACATTAGGAAGAAGAATTATAAGTACAGAATTCAAATAAATGGGACACATGTCCAATCGCTCAATTTCTTTCTCTAAATTGACTGACGATCTCGTGTGTCATGTTAATCGTGCTCAACACCAAATATTCTAAATTAAGAGAGGGGGCGCTGTGGATGGAATTGCGATTTTTGAATCCTTTTTGGGGGTGACTTTGCTAATAAGTTAAAATCTTCCGTTAAGACGCCTTGAATTTTATTGGGCAACGAGAGAACGTGTGCGGCCAGCTCAATTGAAGAAGATTGCGACGTTGGAGAAAGCAACGATTTTGGGGTTAATTTGTAAAAAATTTCTTTCTTTGGGGGGGTGGGCGCAAAGAAGAAGTGGAAGTCGTCAAGTGTCGACATACGATGAGCAAAGAGTTCAAAGAAGTTTGGTTGGCCAATCGTTGTTTTTGCCCGAAAGGGATCGATGGCCTAATCGTTAAGTGGCTTTCCACTTATGCAACCTCACCATTTTGTTTTGCCTCGACGTGTACCGGGAGCTCCAATTGATTGGCGATGTGATTAGGGAAATTTGGTAATGATTTCGTCAAGAAGTGCCCGAGACGTTTGTTAAGTATAGCACTAATTTTCGGAACGTTAATTGCACGTATCACGAGCACAGTCGGTACATTGCAAATTACTAGACTCTTCTATCGAGTTATTTAAGAGGTGTTCCGAGAAGGGCATTTCGCTAGAATGCATTTATTAAGTCCGCTATTCCCTGCGTGCATATGTTCGGAAAAAAATTTCTTGTTAGAGTTATGGGGCGAAACCTGATCTAATCCGATTTAATTTTCTTGTTATCGGTGTTACAAGATGATCATCCGGTGCTCCACGTGAACCAAGAGGGAGCATTCCGCATAAATTTTTACTCTAGACACGATGATGTGTTCCTTTTTGAAAAATGGGAGATGCCGTGTAAGTAAAAATTCATATTCCGTCTTTTTAGTTGATTTGCTTGTTTCTTTACAAGTAAAAGGGTAAAGAGGGATGATCAGCGCTAGGAATCCCTTACAGACATTATCGTGAGGGTCTCACACCCGCTGCAAAATATTTAAATTAAGTCATAACTACTCCGCACTACCCATGAATTGAATTATTGAGGTCGGTGAGCCCATCTCCGTAGCCCCAGCTAGATGCTAGCAATCGGGAAATCTTTTCACACGAAATATACATCGGCTAGGCTACGCAGCGAGGCCCGTTTAAAAGGTTCACAGACGATATGAACCGAACTCGTCCCCTCGTAGAAGACAAGTGACTGTTCATCACCATGGCTTACCTTGGAGAGGTCCATTCGATTTCACAAAAGAACACAAGGGGACGTGGAGTGTTGAACTAATGGACCAATTGATGGAATCCAATTCCATCAACCCAGAAACGTAGCCTCAAAACCATTGGGCTACAAGCTAAGCCCAAACATTAGCAATGGGCTTACGAAATCCAGAGTCCCTTTCAACAATTAGCTGAGATTGATCTCCCCCCCCTGTTTCTCACAGATTTCTCGAGTAAAGCTTGTGTCCAACGGGATTTGCCAACAAAATTTCTCATTCATGAACAGTGGTGTGTTTTTTAGGCCATCAAATAACTTTACAATCCTTGCTTTTTCATCTCTTCCGAGTATTATTCCTGATCGTTGATCTGGCGGGCCATTAGCCCCTTGCGCCACAACAGCTCGAAAGCACTTTCAGGCAAATCTAGACGACGGCATGTAGTCATAAGGCCCGGCCTGGCATGGCTCGAGTCAAGCCTGCCCAGTCCGCATAATTTTGATATATTTTCTATGGATGGGCGAGTCTAAGCAACATTTTAGGCTCAATCCACGGATTCAGGTAGGTTTGTCCGTCGACAACCTCTATTATCTATGAATTCAAATTAAAAGGTGAAACTCTTTTCGGAGTGTGCAAAGAAAGCAAAACGCTCGCAAAATCAAGTCCTCTAGGTAACGACTTACATGATCACAAAAAAGCTCAATGGTTTCGATAGTTAACGCCTAATCGAGGATGATCGATGGCAAATTGATATATCAAATATTACTTCATATCGAAAGCAGATGAATCCTAGATGTCTCGAAATCTCGAGAATTCTTGAAAAATAAAAGTCGAGTCGTCGTATACGATGAACAAAAAGCAAAATCAACATAGAAAGTAAGTAATCACTCAATGGAAACTGTTGTTACTTGATGGAGAGATAATAAGTGTTAAAAAAAAAAAAGAGGAAAACTCGAACTACAAATCATAACCTTTATTGATTTGCATTTCTCTCAATTCTCTTTCCCTCTCTTTTCGCCTCCGGCCCACCACCGCGGCCTCGCCGGTCGGTTGCCGTCCACCGCCACGGTCTCGCGTCTCGCCATCTCGTCGCCGTGCACCGCCCCAACTTCGCGCTCGAGGTAGCGCTGCTCCCGTTTTCGCCTCGATTTCGTTTGTGGGTTTGCCTCCTTTGATTTCGCCGTGCGGCTCCTGTTCTGGTTCTTGGGTCTCGGTCACCGAGACTGTTCGTTCTTGTTTGCGCAAATTTGCTTCCTCATGGCCCTGATTCTCTGTTGATTGCTGTTGTGTTGTCTGGATTTTTTTTTTTTGGGTTTTGTTTGGTGGCCGGTGGGAGCTTTCAGCTTCCCTTTTGTGCTTGCCTTGAAAGTGTAGGGAATGGTATGACGATCACCGGTCCCAGGACCAGGTGGGCCGGTCCGGTTCCGGGTTCTAGGGTGGGAACCAACCCACCCCGGAACCAATCACCCCTATAATAATGATGTTGTGATCTCAGAGTAGCGATGATCAGGTTCTGTATGGTTGTAGAAGTTCCTGCTGGGCATCTATCCACTCTGTGTCGTCTTTGCATCAGTAATGTTGCTTCATAAAATCAACGTTGTAGCTTTAGGCTCTGTAAATGTGCTGGTCCATGAACTTATGGGGAGTTGCCTGCCTGGTGTTTGATTAAAGTGCTTAGAAGGAACTAGTCAATGAAGTTCCGTCCCATCAGTGAGTTAACCTGGCAGTTGCACTGATATCTTGAAATATCTACTATGCAGCCATTAACTAAAATATGTCTATGGTCAACTAATTGGTGGTCTTGGCCCTCGGGGATAATCCACTTGATGTCCATTTGACGCATTCGATATGGTTAATGGTTTACCCCACTTACCGAGAATAGGTTCAGGTTTGGCCTCAAAAGTGTGTTTCTGTTTATAGGAAAAATTAGCAGGTAGTCCCCTTGTCAGGTGTTCGGATCAAAAAGTCCATTGTTAGGATACGATAACCACGCTTCTTACGCATTTTTCTCAAGAGACTTCTGCAAATTCCATGGGCATTAGTTATGTTTTGGATTGGCACACTTATGTTCGAAATACATTTCACCGACCAGTTTTGATAGTGTGCTGTTGGCATTCTATGTGGCATCTTATGAAATGTTCAAAAAGTACCTCATTATAGAATATAGGCAAAAATTTAGCTTTTTTTTTTTTTTTTTGGTCAGAAGGCAAAAATTTAGCTTATGTAGCTGCAAAAGTGATTCTAGCTAGTTAATGCTCAGAAAATGGAACGGTCTTTATCATCATCTGATTACAATGATTTGACAATTGCCTCACGCGGCTACAATAAGTTAGTTTTCTACTACTTCTTATACCAGGGAAGCAAAATATGGATGGCATTCCTTCTTCTCAAGCATGCTTCAATGTTTTTTCTTATCCCCATGGTCTTCAACATGGGCAAGGATTGCTATCAAATTCATCGATAGCAGACTCACCTGTTACGCTTATGATTCGTCACCTTCCCGAAGCCATTCCCCAAGAGACGCTCTCTAGACTTCTCTCACATTACGGTGCTTCAACTGTTCGTGCCTGCACTTCAGAGAGGTAACTGCTCACAATCTCTCGATGTTAAGAGTAGCCTAGCTCAGTTGGGTAAGGAATTAAGTGTGCATGCCTGATATCAGGGGTTCGATCCCTGTGGTGCCGGCTCTCCAGATTACATTTATAGCTAAAGACTGGTCAAAGATTCAGTCAAACCGCTGACTGTTTCATCGGGTTTACTGGTTGAACTGAGTCAACGTCTGGCTTGACTGATTCTTGACCACTCCAATTCTTAAGTAAAAACAGGACCGGCGGTCCAGGTCTAAAGTAGTCAAAAGTAGTTTCATTAGTGCTTCCGGGTTGTTATAGTCCATCGGCAACACTAAAGTTTGTTCTTTTTTTTTTGACCAGATTGAAGAATTGTGCATTTGTGGATTTCAAAAGTGAAGCACTTGCTTATCAAGCACAGTGCCAGTTGAATGGGTAATTACATTTTCTTCCATGTTCTGGTAACAGAACATATGGCCTGTCATAGCAGTTTGTATTGACTGTTGAAATGGATGTATTGCTTTTCATTGGCTAGGCTAAGGTTTCTTGGTAGAGTTTTGAAAGTGGAAAGAGCCAGTAATGAAACCAAGGATAACAAGATTCAAGGTAAAGGCGCTTCATCTGCAAATGATATAACTGCACCTTCCACTGTGACAAAGGAGGCTGGACTGCCTGGGGATCGTAATGAAAATCCAACTTATGGTTTTGCTACTGCTAATGAGCCCATTGCTCCAAAACTTGGTGTAGACTATCCCTTCCCTCCTCATCTTGAGTAAGTTTCATCTAGTCTTTTCAGAGCCGCTTAGACTTTACTTAAGCTCTTTTTTAAGTGTGAGAGCATATATTGTAGACTGATTAAAAATATGTCCCTCAACTGATGGTAGTTTGCACATGACATAATGAGGAGATACCAATACTAAAATGCTGAGAGAACCCATAACTAAAAGATTCAACATATTTGACCTATTGCAACGATATAATCTCTTAATCATTTTGGGATATTGGATAGAATTTGTAAATTGTAGTCTCTCATTTTTAGGATAAATTATCACGGATATTTACGATCATGGCCCGTAACCATATTAAGGAAGAAAAGGCACGAAGTTTGGTGTTAATGAAAAGACTTCAGGTTTCAGGGATAAAATGTACTTTGCGTCTCATCTAACCAAAGACACGAAGTTTGTAGCACCTACAAAAGAATCACCGTTGGTGGGTCTTTGATAAGCTGTAGTTCCATGTTTTATTTTCCCCCTTCTCTCTCAAATAAGTGAATGTGTTACATAACATATTAGGTTCTGTCACATATTCATTGATGGAGGATGATAAACGGAAAGACCTGATCCAGCTTTTTGTTTGTTTAGTGTCCTTTTTGTTTCTGTTGCTGTGTGGACATCATATATCCTTTGGATACGTGGTTTTTGTCAATAATCTGCAACCTTTAGGTCAAATTGGATGCACCCTTCCTATGATATGATTATGATCTCTTTATTTTGTCTTCATAGACGAAATGTTCACCATCTGTGGTCAGTGTGATAACATTCGATGAGTTGGACCGTCTTTTCATATACTTAGGAACTCTTGGCTTTCTGTGTTGAGTTCTAGAAGTCATTTGTGTAGTGATTATTATTTTTTCTTTGACACAGTTTTGCCATATCTGTCAGTTGATTGGATTTAGGTGGTTTATCCAATAACTTGCTTCTGTTACAGGTATGCCTACCCCCCACCTGATGGAAATATCCTCACCAATATTGTGAATGCTCTTATTGCCGTTCCTCGATTTTATACTCAGGTGGGTGTTGTGTATCTTTACAGATATATGACAACAATGTGTGCATGGGAGACGTTGAATAACTTTTTGCAATTTATTTTTAGGTGTTGCACTTGATGAACAAAATGAACATTCCAGCGCCATTTCGTATGGCATTACCCACGCCACCCCTACCACCATCAGCAGCTGTACCACCTCCACCTCCTCCCCCTCCTATAACTGCAAAGCCCTTGGTGGCAGACCTATCCAGTGAAGAGTCCGAGTTTGAGTCTTCAGAAGAGGTAATATCTTTCTTCCAAATAGTTTAATTCCTTTGAGACACATCAAGCTATTTGTATCTGTACTTGTGTAACTGATTAGTAACCCAGCAGAATATTTAAGGCACTAAGTTTAGTTGTGGAATAAATTTGTAGCTTTCTGGTGCCAATGTGTGATGTTGTGTTCCTTTTCAATCTGTATCATTACATGCTTTTGAAAAGAGAGACATTTTTTTCTAGTTTTCAGTTTCAAACAATGAGGAACGTATCTCTGTTTTTTAGGAGGTTGATGACAAAGCCCATTCTCTTGGATCTTCAAGAGTTAAATCTGGTAAAAAGCGTGCCAGAAAAGAAGCTATTGTAGGTCCTGCAATAGACAAAGATGTGGCTCATGAGTCTGTGGGTGTGAAACCTGCCACCTTGGTCCCAAAAGAAATCCCAATGATTAAGAAGAAGAACCCTGTTTTGCAGGTAGTATTCAGAAGCAATAATTACCAGTTGAGCTTTGTTTTGGCCTGTTTCTAAGCTTTTCATTTTGAATCATCTTAGATAAAAATTACTCCAAAACCAAAAGTTTCAGCGGTTGATGAGCACAAAGATGACAGCACAGCAAATGACATAGAAGAGCCAGATCAAGAGAAATTGGAGAAGAAACAATTTGCAACTCAAGAAGAACTGGAGAGGGGAAGGTTGCCTCCTGAAGAAATACTATCTCTTCCAATGTTCAAGGTATAGTGCATGCTAAATTGCAAGCTTATAGGTCAATTGATTCTCTGAGATGAACAGATGACAATTCGCTATGTCACGCTCAATTAAAAATTATGATTACTGGCCACTGTTTGTCGATTTGGACTTTTTATTACCATCAAGCATAAAAAGTGAAGTTCTCTTCTCTAATGTTGCAGACCTATGCTCCTGGAAATCCTGCACCGGTCTTGTACATAAAGAATTTGGCCAAAGATGTTATTGTGGATGACTTTTACTTTGTATTTGGTAAGTATTTTGAGGATGGATGCTCTCAACAATTTTGTTTTGGTCAGGATTGATTGGTGAGAAGGGAAATTTTTAAAATATTCTTTGAAGTATTTTGTTGCTTCATATCATATGAGAGGAGTAGAAGATCAAGTCCTAAATTGTGGATTTCGAAGTCAGTTACTCTTTATTCTTGGAGGAGCCTGTGTTACTCATAAGTGAATGGTTTTGTGAAAAATTTCTGGTTCTTATTTCTTGCTTGAAATTTGATGAAGGTTCTTTGTTTGGAAGTGCGGATGATGCTAAATCCACTCTGAATGTAAAGCTAATGCAGGTAAATAAAGGATCAATGCCTTTTCCTTTAACATATTCTATTCTGTTTTGTTTTTTAATTAAATAGAGTATATGTATTGACGAGACAGTAATTGTTGAGGTGCATTCTCATGGTTGGAGCCTCTCTAGGGTCTGATATTAAAGGTCAAGTTCTTTCTTCTTAGAAACCAAGCATTTATCCAGTATACCTTTCAATTACTTTGGCCAGTGAACCGTTCAAACTTGGAGTACCTATTCAAGCATCTCTTTTATGCTTTTGAAGTTCAAATTTTTCCTGCTTGCAGTAATCAATATAGTGCCAGCCTGCCAGGTCTTGCTGGAATAACCAACTGCAGAACATTATGAAATTTCATTCTATCCCTGTTAGTTCTGTTTTCTAATGGTTTTAGACATGAGTCAAGAGCTGCATCGACCCTCTGTAAAGGGTGTTGCAATAGACTAGCATTCTTATAGAATTTATATGGGTCATCATTGTCATTGTTATTGAACTTATCGAATTTTAGGAAGGAAGAATGAGGGGCCAAGCTTTTGTGACGTTTCCATCCATCGAAGTTGCGCAACGTGCTTTGGTATGTATTACTATGGATTTTAAATTTTTAGCTCTTCAGCCAGATTCTGCCACAAATTTTCAAAATTCTGAAGCAATGATGGTTTCTTCATTGCAGAATATAGTGAATGGATATGTATTCAAAGGCAAGCCAATGATTATCCAGTTTGGCCGAAACCCTTCTGCATCTAAAACTAATTAGATGGCTCGCTGTCATGTGAAACAAGCTTGTGTAGTGATTGCCCAACAAAATAGGACTATCATATGTCTTCATCTGACGTCTAAGCAACTATGATGGTGGCCGAGACTTTGGCTGATTACTTATAAGCAGGATTTATTGGGTGGGCAAGGATCCGCTTTGACCCTAGGAAGAAGGAATCCGGCGACACCTATGACCACTATGTCGTCGTTCAATGCCTAGCTCCTTCAGCATGTGCAGAACTTGAAACTACAAATGAGCTCACTGAGCAGATATGCGGAAGGCTGTCCTGAGGGAGGATTCAAAGTTCGTCAGGGGTTTCATGCATTAGCAAACTTGCTCTCACCCGCACGTCGTTCCGTTGAACATTCTGTTGCATATATAGAACCGGCAAGGAACCCGGTTAGCCAGTACATCAATTGTCAAATGAGAAATGCGTATTCCGGACCTATAATTGGTAATTAGTTTGCCAAGGGAAAAAATTGCGGTTCCTAACATTGTTCGGCAGGAATGGGTAGGGGGAGCTGTATGGCTTGTGACATCAATTTTGTATGGACATCACTTGTAGTGCTTCACAATTCCTTGATTAACCCAATTAGCAGTTGCTGTTCTTGTTTTGGGTCTTTCCTTATCTGTGGTGGACCCCACTTTCAGCCGCTGCTCTCCGTATGAAGTTCGTCTCTAATCCTCTGTACGAAGCACAAAGCAACAAAGATGATCCCAAGTACCAAAATTTTATTAAACCGGCTCGGACGAGTCTGACTGAGGTGACACTGTTTTTTCTAGCTGATGGTACGACCATATTTTTCCGAAAAAAATAAGAGCAGATGTGAGAAGAAGAAGAATGCGAAATTAGGAGAACGATGTTAGCCAGAAAATTTACCATCATAGCTGCTCCCATTTACATTTGGCCAATATACACGGATGGTTCATTAAAATGCGTTCATTAAGACTTATAGATATAAAGTTATAATTCAACCAAATGCGTTCATTAAAACTTATAGATGGTTCTTTTCTCTCTTATTTGTGCTTAGGTTTTTTTTAGAATAATGGTTTATTATTCTTAAATAAAGAGTGGCCCAAAATTTGACCTCGGTGTTTGTCGTTTGAGAGGAAAATGAATAGTTTTGTCTTTTAGTAAAATTGAAACGGAGCGAAAAGAAGAAGAAAAAAAGTAAGAAATATTCTTAAATCATGAGTGGGATTTACAATGGATAATATAGCCAATTTATGGCGATAGGGGTGTTAGAAGCCAAAAATAGGGTAGAAAAAGCGCGAGCCAAGATAATTTATGGCGATAATCGAAAATGGCCAGCAATTTCATAATTTGGAGTGATGGCAAACCTATGAAAATTTCAAGTTTTTTCTCTTGAGAAAAATAAATTACTAAAAATCAATCAGAGTACATTAGGGGATGAATTACTAGTGATTGATTCTCGCCCAGGAACTAGGAGTCGAACCGGTGTCCCTTGAAACCGGACCCGACTAGTCCAGTCCGGATCCCGGATGGGCCAATGAAACCGGCGGCATATTCAATATTTTTTTTTATTTAAGTTGAATATGTTATCGATAATTTAGGCTTTTCTATAATTAAACGCGTGACATTGTAGGCTTCACAAATTCAATTTGTGGCAAAATTTAATTAGAATGAGCAACTGTTGTCGCGTTTTGATCACTTAAGTGTACGTAATTGCTTCGGTCATGAAAGACGCTCTTCTACGAATCGGGAGATAAATTAGGATTTTTTTAAGAGATTTTTAAGAAATAAAAAAGATAATAAATTAAGAAAAACTCGATCCGATCCCAAACTATAAGAGGCGGTTTCACACCGGAAACCGGACCGAACCGGTGCTCGGCACACGGTTTTTTTTTGTGGTTCTTTTCAAAATCCGACCGACCTGAAACTATAGGATAAAGCAGGAAGTCCGGAAGTGGGGCCCCCCAATCGAGCGATGAGGTGGCACCATTGCCGCCTTTTATCCGAAACGATATCCACTCTCTTCTTCTTCCTTTTGTACCCCTTTTTCCGACTATCGTTGTAGTCAGATGACGCCACGTGTATGATAGCGCGCAGCTCACGTGCACCGCACCTCCACCATGTAAAAATCCCCCCCCCCCTCGGCTTTCGTACGACAACCCCCCCCCATCACCCGCGCCACGCACTAAAAATAACCAAACGAACCTTATCCGATTCATCCGCGCCGTCTCGGCCGTCCGATTTCATCACGACCGGTCCCCAGTCCCCCCCACATCACGAAAATCCCACGGCCAGCATCGAATCGAGCCCCGACCCGCTCCCCTGGAATCATCCGGTACCGTCGGCCCCACCGAGCCTTACCGTGTTCTTCGTCTCCGCCAGGATAAAGGAGTAGCGTCCTTCCCTATCTTTACGTCTGTCAATGTCGTTGAAAAACGAATCGAAGACTTTGTCGGAGCGGCGAATGTTTCTGTCGAGAGTCTTCCCTTTCTCTCCCGTGACAAGCAAAGGGTAGATCGGAGAAAGGTTTCGAGCTTCTTTTGCGGTCGTAGCTTTTTTGTTGGATGCGAAGAGCTCGTCATGGCCGTGGTCACCAGCGAAACGAGCTTGCTGTGTTCGAATCGCCGAGCCGGGGGCGACGATGGCGTGCCCAGATTTTCCAGGGGCTGCGAGGACGGCGAGAGGTTCGCGAGATGGCATGTGAGGCTGAGTTGTTCTCCTGCTTCGTTGACATCGAAGCAGCCGGTGCTCAGATCGGCGTCCATTTCGTGGTCGAGGAGTAATCTCCACGGCAGCAGGGTCGCCGCGCGCCGAATCGAAGCCGTGCCCAGGAGAGGCGCTGCTCTGGGGTTTCGCATCAATTCGCAGCAGGTACGAGCGGGACTCAAAAGTTCGCCCCTTTTCGCGTTTAACTAGTTGTTTTGGGATCTGGGTTCACCTCTCTGCAATCTTTTTTTTTTTTTGTTCTTTTTTTGGGCAATTAGTCGGAAAGTAGGCTTCTTGATTCGTGGGTTGACGGCGAATTTTATAAATATTTTTTTTTCCCGCAGGGTGGTCTTCGAATTGGGAAAGCTCATAGGTGGTGGGAAAAGGGCGTGCAGCCAAACATGAAGGAGGTGAAAGGGGCGCAAGATCTTGTGGACTCGTTGCTGAATGCAGGGGACAAGCTGGTCATCGTTGATTTCTTCTCGCCGGGTTGTGGTGGGTGCAAGGCCCTGCATCCCAAGATATGCCAGTTTGCGGAGATGAACCCGGACGTTCAGTTCCTCCAGGTGAACTATGAGGAGCACAAGTCCATGTGCTACAGCCTCAATGTCCATGTCCTGCCCTTCTTTCGGTTCTATCGAGGGGCTCACGGCCGGCTCTGCAGCTTCAGCTGCACCAATGCCACGGTTAGTTTCTGATCCCATCCGATTGGTGATAGTTGTAATCCTTTCTATGTAAAAGGATCGAATATGTTAGGCGTGCTGTAGCTTTAGAGCAACAAGGTCTCGAGTTTGTGGTGCTTTTAGTCTCGCAGTAAACGGGTTTAAATGGTTAGCGATTCGCTGTGCGCATGGTTGTTCGGTGCATAGTGGTTCTGATGTTTGAATTGATTCTCTTGCTTGTGTTTGCCGGAAATAGGACTTTGGTTGTGTAGTTTTCATCAGAGCTGATAAATAACTGGAGTCTAGATTGGTTGGTCCTGCACAAATCTTTTCGAAATTTTCAGGACCTGTCTTGTTGAAACCACTAGATTCGTCGATGGGTGCTCCGGAAGTAGACTATTAGTAGATTGTCGTGGAACAATAGCCCCAAATGCGTTTCTCGGGTTGTTATGATTGGATCTTTGGTTGACCTGTGTTTGGTTTGCTGTTTTGATGCTCATTTCATTTATCAATCCACAGATCAAGAAGTTCAAAGATGCATTGGCCAAGCACACCCCAGAGCGGTGTAGCCTCGGGCCAACCAAAGGTCTGGAAGAGAAGGAGCTTCTCGCGCTTGCGGCCAACAGAGAGTTGTCCTTCAACTACACACCGAAACCAGTTCAACCTACGCCGTCACCCGCGGAAGAAATTACCGTAGAGCCAACACCGTCCCATCCGGGCTTTCCTCTTCCTCTTCCTCTTCCATTGAGCGCTCCCACGTCTGCTCAAGACATGGATGAGAAATCTCTGGTCACATCCGGGAGATAATGAGTTCAGCTTATTAAGCGACCAAATTCTCTCGCTTGGCCTCTCCCAATGTACAGTCACCTCTTTGTGCCACCCGTAGTGTATCTAAGCTAAGTGTATGTAGTGTTCCAAGGATTTGCGGGGTGTCTGGATCTGGTTTTTGCAATCCTAGCCCCTGCTGTTGTTCCAGCGAGAGCTTGATGAGTTTGTTGTCTTCTTCTTCCTCCTGTATAGAAGATAAGTGATTACTGTTTTGTCTCATCCGGTAGTGATTCACGCCTGTGATATATGGGAGTAATTTGGTCAGCATCTTAAATTCACGTTCACATTGTTCAGTCATTTTCTTGAAGTGGTATAACTTCACCATAAGGCTCCGTTAATTTCATAAAAAATAAATAATCTGAAAAACATTATTTTTAAATATACTTGCTTATATATATTGAAATGATTAGTCAATGGAAATAGTTTTCATTATCAATTACAATTTATGCTAAAAAAATTTCGTAAATAATAAAAATATTATTTATTCATTTTTGTAAGTGATATAAGCGGTTATTTTTAGAGAAATATTTTTTTAATTTATTTATTTTTTTCGCAGAATAAATAGAGTCTAAATCGTGGAACCGCTCCTATCTTGACTCTGTTATTTCCAACTTAACTTTGTGCCTTTCTTAATAGTGTCAATAAACAGCATGGTGGTTTAAGTATTCAAATACCTTATCAAAACAGATCAAATGTAATCCCAGAAAAGCTGGTCCATGGGGCCACCGATCTCCGATGTCGGGTATAAATCCATTTCTTATTTCTTAGGGGGGAAGCAATTCAAGCCAGGGGTGGGACCATTGGAAAAGAGTGAAAATAATAGTAAACACCGCTATTTGTGCAATGATTTGTGTTGCATTCGGCAGACAAGAAAGCCCTTGTCGATGAAAGGCTCATCAAATTTCAATTCAACGTGGCCTCTCTTGCACTACACAAGAACAAGCCGTGGGCCAAGGAAAGACACATACGAAACATTGTTCCAACGAAGAAAGAGGGGCCACCTGTCCACTGCAATTCTGCGAAGACAGATGGACACGTAGGTATCTTCGCTTTATGAAGAGATGGATAAGTTTAACGGGACCTGGGTGACTTTTGGACGTGCTATAGATGTCATCTGCGCAATGATGCAAGTTTTGCTTTCAATCACAGCGGAGGAATTACAGATTATTATTGTCTCCCAGTGCAGCAATAGGTAACCCGAAGATCTATGGAGCGATAAGGTCTCGTGTTTAATCCCTGCTTGACAAAGTTGTTTGGAGCCGGATCTAGCAGAAAGTAATTCCCTGTGAATTCCCTGATTTTCGACATGGATGATGTGGCTTTGCACGGATCGGAAAGGTGGACTCAGTCTGGCCCGTGAAAACTAACTTAGGATATCGCCCGATCGACATTGTCATTTTGTTGATGCCTTCTTGCTAGGAGACAACTTTTCTATTGTTTTTTTGCTGCTGGAACTTGATAGAAAGAGAACTTAAAAAGGGCTCAAGTAAAGAGATACGAAAGGCCTCAAAATTTAGATGTTATCAACTCTCTGGTTTGCTTTTTTGTGCAAGAAAGAAACTTTGGTTTGTTTTATGAAATGGCGGTAGCCCAGTGGGCCAAAATTGGACTAGTGGATCTTTATTTAGCACCAATAAACAGCCACGAGACTGCCTTTTCCAAGGCCCGTTGTTCATACGTTTTTTGGCCCATCACTATTTGTAGATTGGTTAATGCTATTAAGGATATGGATAATAACATAAATGATCCCTGAACTTTAGCCCAATGTGCAATGTGATTCGTGAACTTTCAATTTGTTCAATATGGTCTCCGAACTTTAACCCAATGTCCCTGAACTTTAAATTTGTTCAATTTGGTCAATAAACTTTTGATATATGTTCAAACTTTTGGGACAATATTGAATATTTTTATATAATTTAAGAACTAGTTTGAACATGCACCAAAATTCCAAGGATCACGTGAACAAATTTAAAGTTTCGGGACCACATTGTATATTAGGAAAAATTTTGGGAACCACATTGAACAAATTGAAGGTTCAGGAACCACAATATACATTGGGTTAAGGTTCATGAATCATGTCGAGCGATGGGGTTCAGCTGGCGTGACATCCCCGTTTCAAAACGGGATGTCACGCCCAACCCCCATCGAGCTCGCGACATCCCCCCCCTCCGGCCGAATGGTTGCGACGCCCCGTGACGCGTCGCCGCCCAACCCAAACATCGAGCCACATGCGGAAGCGGATATAAAAACCATCTGACAAAGATGACGACAATGGGGTAGAACAACAGAACAATCCAGCAACCACATATTCATACAACATCAAATATACAAACATTATATTACAAACATATACAGCAAACCAGCATCCGAAATCACCGTCATAACGAAATATCGTGCCCGGTTAACTTAACTTCACTACCGGTCAAACTAGTCGAACAACCCCTATAATACCCTAGGAAAACCTAGGGCTCATCCTCCTTTCTTCATGCTCCTACTTCACTTGGTTCGATCCTCCGAAGACTTCTTAGGCATCGCCCGCAACTCCACCGGACAACCCGGACGGCTCCTCGAAACTCCAAAAGAGGAGGCGGGCCTCCCGGGTCTAAGGCACGGTTCGAAGTGGCGGTATACAACCGTGAGACGAATCTCAATAAGTGTATAACCCCAAACCCCACGTAGACACTCACGCACCGCCGCACGATCACGCATCTCACACAACGATCAATCAATCTAACAATCACACACGAACCTACCTGGAACCCATCATGCACGTTCCTGCACGTTAGTCAACCACAATACAGCCAGCACATCACAGACGCGCGCGCCTTAATTATAAGACAGAAACCACTTGGGCATGTCCCATACCGTGCCTAGCAGTTTCTACCCCATAATTAAGCATCACATCACGCGATACAAACACACTCGCACACCAACTCACACCACGCGTCACTTTCTTAATTTCACTCGTCCCACCAATTCTTGCTCATTCTCAACCTTAACCTTCGTTCCACACTCTCTACACGTACCATGCCACCACACAAACACACTGCCAAACATACACACTTCACACGCATTTCACATTTACACAACCTCGTCACGCGAACACCACACAAACACCCAAGCTTGGCACGCGAACTCAATGCGCAATCACGCCACCACACCTCACAGCCACACAATCACACATACGAGCTCATTCAAGCATCAAACTACCCGTCAAAATGCCATGATAACACCGAATAATTCTCGAGAGAGAGAAAAACCGAGAATATATAAAATCGGGTTAAAACTGGGCAGTTTACACAGTGACCGAAATCCCAATAAAATAAATAGTAAACGAACTCCAAAAATTCTAAATTTTGGATATGTCATAAAAACATCTTGATCAACATTTCTTATGAAGAACACGAAATCCGGTTCAATCTGCAACCATGCCTTTTTGTCCCTCGAAGTCAGACCAAAATCAGTTCGCTCAAACAGACCGTTTTGTCCTCAAAATACATTTATTTCAACATCCATATCACCTTGAAAAGCTTTGAAATTTTTATATGTTATAGCCACAAATGATCCCAACAACTTTTGTGAAGGAAGTATTTTGAAAATAGGCCTGGAAAAATTTATAAAAATTCGAACAGACCCGAAGGTCGGATGAACAGTAAATCGGGCAGTTTTATTTCGGTCCAAAGATGGGCTTCCGAATAGCCTCAAATGATTTCCAAAAATTCCCAAATTAAAATATGTTATATTTCAAGATTCTGGGAACAACTTTCATGAGGAACACTTCCTCAAATTCGGACCACATAAGTCACAGTAAAAATAACAAAAACCAGCGACGCAGCAGCAACCTAACTGGAAATCAGCCAACACACACCACCGTGGGAGGAACAAAGATGAAGAGAGAGAGAGAGAGAGAGAGAGAGAGAGAGAGAGAGAGAGAGAGAGAGAGAGAGAGAGAGAGAGAGTGATCGTGGAAGGGGGTTCTGGCCAGAAGAGGGAGGAGAGAGAGAGAGGGGTCGAAATAGTGGACTGGTGGGGGACACGTGTCTGGCGATCCGCAATTTTTCCCAAAATACCCTTGATCCAACGGTCCCTCGTTTGTCTTTATCCAATAATTCAAGGGCAAGGTGGTAATTCAATAATTTCAATTTCTTTTTCACTTATTTTAGTACTCAATTATTGCCCAAAATTGTCCAAAATTCGAATTCCAATACAGGTCCGGGCAAAACAAGAATTTTTTCGCCGGCAAATTCCATTTTTCGACCGTACTAACCAAAAATGTGAGTGGCCAACATAATATGGCGTCGGATTCGTGAAAATAGCCTCTAAGCCCTCGAAAATCGATCGCGAAGTCCTGGGATTAAAATAATATTATTTTTCACTTCCGAGCCAAAATTCCAATTTTTACCGTAACTACTCCAAATGTGCGTGGCCACCCCAAAATGACGCTAGCCTCGAAAAATAACCTCAAACGACCTCAAAATCCAACATTGGTGTACCCATGGGCAAACCGTAATTTTTTCCCCTGATCGAAATCCATTTTTTTGCGTAAATGGTGGCCAAGGCTGGCAAGCCAAAACGTCATCTCGCCGCTCAAAATTGTTACTTTCAAAATTCTCGATTCCTGCCCGAATTCCAAGAAATGCCTAAAATTGAACAATCGCGATTTTAGCTTATCTCGTAACGGGTGGCTCCCCGGAATTACGCGCTCGACCCGTGACCGACACTAAGTCAAATCACGTTTAAGTTTACTCTTCCCAGACGACCTCGATTGTCATATAATTGCGAGGTCCATTACTAGTGCTCTTCTGACACGATCAATCAAATAGACTGCCTCTGGCCGCTCAAAACATTCCCTCGTCAACCCATACTGGTCGAAGATCAAACCCAGGTCGATTCTTTGGTCGCGCGAACTCAATCCCGTAATAGCCTTACCCCTAAGTTAGCATCCCGAGAATGCGCGCGGTCCCGTGAGATCTCACTATACAGATTGGTCAAACTCATTTCCTAAATCCCGAAAAGGATCGAAAATTCGATCGTTACAAATCATTTGTGTCGTTTTCCTTTAAGGATATGGACACTTGGTTTCAAAAATATATTTCTCAATTTATAATTGATTCAGAGGGATTGAATATGTATGTATTGATTTGGAGCATCTTAGTGTCTTTCCAATGCGTGGAGAAGAAAGACACCTTCGAGCCCAAAATTTACGAGACTTTGCGCTCGAAAGGAGTACTTGATCTCATTGCCTGACGTATCAAATCTACCTTATGCAATTTACGGTCTCTTTAAAAAGGTACTTTTTTTTTTTTAGGAGAATTCTTGAATTGCAACCGAATCATCTGACAACTGCAACCAAATTGTTTCTCATTTCAGAGCTCTAATCACATTTGAAGGCACGATCTTCATACGGTGCACCATACTTGATTTACCACTTATGCCTCCGCACAGTATGAATGGAGATCGAATCCCCCGACAGTTTTTCCATAATATCTCTACGTATTTTCTTTCATGTAATCTTTAATTGGATCATCACATGCGACTTAAAAAGAGCATGAACTTTCGTTGCTGAAAATGCTTGTATGTGAATGATCAAGACAAGGTCCTTGCATCCATCGAATCACAAGTGCATCGACCCTTCAAGAATGTCTCGACCCGTCACGGGAATTGATCGACGATGTCTTTCATCACAAATGAAAAAAAATAAATAGAAAGAACAAAAACGAACGAAATTAGGAGGGATTAAGAAAAAAATGCTGTCGGGTGGGGGGAGGGGCATTACCGAGAAAGCGTCCCCGTGACATCCCTATCCAGTACGACACAACGAACAGGTTTCCTTGGCAGCATTAGCGGGGGAGGTTCAATAATTAAAGTGCTGTTGATCGTTACACGGGGCAAGATTCCAGCAATGATAGACTCCAATTCCCCTCAAATTTTAAAGAACTCCTCGACCCTTTGCAGGTTATACTATTATTGTTCTAATCAAACCACTTTTCGGGTATACCTACGCATACATACCTTGTTGATTGGCGACGATAATTTGGCAATCATAATGTATAAATAATTTGATCTGATTGAGTGGTGCATTCGGGGCCGTCGCCATCACCGGCTCTGCTTTTGGCACCCCATGTTCCTCCTTTTGTCTCATTTTCCACGCCGAGGAAAAGCAGAAGGGAGAGGAGGAGGAGGAAAGGAAAAAAAAAAACGAGGAAAAGGGAATATCTTTTTTGCAAGTAGATGTCAATGGCAGCCGAATCAGGGGACCCTTTTTAGGGTTCTCGTTTCTCTGCCTTTTCTCCTCCGGTTTTCAGGGGTGGTTGCTGGTTTTGTCGTGTTCGGATTCAGAGGTATGCTCTCTGCAGATTTTCTTGTTTTTGTTCGGGCTGCACTCGTTTTCCTTCTTCCAGTCTGAGGCTTTCTGGGTTTTTTTTTTTTTTTTTTTCATGGAGTGGTTTGTCATTCCTTCAGCTGGACATGGCTTTCGTGGGCTTTTTTGTGATGTTGTCGATTGTTCACGGATTTGTGTGTTTTTTTTTTAAGTGGATTCTGGTATGTGCCTGTCCATTCTTGAAAATTGTTGGCTGTTGGTTTTGCTGCTGATGTTTTCGGGCTTCGTTGATGAATTATTTTGTCACTTTGGGGTAGTTGTTGCGGGTGTGCGTCAATTGACCTGTCAGTTTGTCTGAAAGCCTGAGCTTTTAGCAATTCTAGCAAGTCCTTGTTCCATGTTGTGAACGTGGGGGAGCTCAAATGAATGTGGTGGGGTGTTATTTTCAGAAGATTACAATCGTACGAGCTGAAGAAGGTTGAATAGGGGCAAGAAAGAATCCAGTGGCATTCGGTTTAGATACTCCCTTCTGGGACTTTCGTCTTTTTACCTTTTGTATGAAGATTTTCTTTTAATGCTAATTCATCTAAACTCACCTTACCTTACCTTTTTCTTAATTATAGTCGGTGCATCTTTCGTTGTTTTCAGTTAGTAGTCAGCCCAAGTTCTGAAGGAAAATGCTGCGTGTGGTCAGGTTGGACAGGAGCTGTAAATTTTGGTGTTGTGAAAATATGTTTCTTGAGACAAGTTGATCTGGTAACTAATCTAAGCTATCTTAAGCTTAACGAATGGTGGTATACGCATTTCTGATATGTGAAAATGTTCACTTGAATGTCTTTTTGGGGGTGACTGGTCCAAGTAGTTGTTTGTCAACTGTGGTTGGGTAGAAGTGAGTCTCAGAAATGGCTAAAGATATTACTACTCTTGAATCTCATAAGGGAGCATGTCATCTTATCAGCTAGGGGAATCTACGGTGGCCCTGCTAGTATACTATCATTTTCATGGATATCCATATTTCCAAGATTTGCACCTTTCCCTTAAAGCTTGGATATTATACATTCATACTTGTAGAGCTATTTGATCTATCCAAATCCATCTATATGAAGCGGAACTACTCTTCATTTGATCAATGTTTTCCTAAAAGTAGTATGATTTAGCCATTTAACGATTCTAACAGGGTTGGTTGGTATATCTGGTATACATTCTAATTTAAAGCAACAACGAGAATGAGGCTTTTACATACTAAGTGAGGCCATCTAAGATGAAGCGGAACTACTCTTCATTTGATCAATGTTTTCTTAAAAGTAGTATGATTTAGCTATTTAACGATTCTAACAGGGGTGGTTGGTATATCTGGTATACATTCTAATTTAAAGCAACAACGAGAGTAAGGCTTTTACATACTAAGTGAGGCTGGCTACTTGCATCAGTGTGGACCATTGTGCTCCATTTTGTACCAAGCTGTGTCTAACTAATCAAGGTCGTTCTTCCAATTTCCAAATATCTACCCATGTCACTCTAGGAGGCAAGCAAATTAAGGAACACGTTCACTACGAGCTGACTAGCTGGCATAACAGTCTTGTAATGATAGCACTGTCTCCTCTTGGCTCTTGTCCAGCATCTGCAACTAAAGAGCTGCATCTTCTGACTGAGCATCAAATTTTTACGTTTAATATTAGAATAGCAAGGTTTAGCCATCCTTTCCTTACCTCATGTTTGATATCATGCGAACTCTGTCGTCTGGAAGTGTCTTTTCACTTGATATACTTCTATATTGCGTTAACTTCTGAGAGAGGGGCTCTTCTGTGCTGCTAACCTAATTAAACTCCTATGAGATTCTCATCTTTTCTACAATACCTGGTGCAGCTCAAGAGAGGAGGACATAGATTTAAACAAGTGAGAAGCATGGTCAACCAGCTTAAGTGTAAAGCCAGAATTTCATTGGAGGATTCTCTGTTGAATCTTGCTTCAACTCCTACGAGGCACATGTTAAACACTATATTGATACTTTGAAATGAGAGTTGCCTATGCTTCTGCTTAACCGTGGCACCGTTTAGTCCCACTTAGCATCTGAAAAATTTGCAATCTGACTTCCTTTCTTCATTCTTGGCCATTGACGTGAATGCTGCCTATCCTTTTAGGCAGTGCAAAGTATAACCAAGACGGGTGCGCTTTGTTGTGTGGCCGCTGGGCCACATGGATCAAAACCAGGCACAGAATCAGGAGTTGGTGATAACTCCACAGATAGAGTTGAACCATATTGGCGGACAAATTCTAGCTTCTCACCTCCTCCGTCAAGGATATGGGATTGTAGATTGCAATCAGATGTGCTACCTCGAGGTTATGGAACTAACAGGTTATCATTTTCCTCAAACCGCAAGAAACGCAGAAGCAGGTTGGGTAGTAATAGGATTACAAGCCATCACCATTCGGTGTCTGATGGTGCACTTTCTTATAACGATAGCCCTCCAAATAGTGCTCAGGCATCTAGGCGGTGGACTTCACCAGTACAAAAATTCAAAGTGGGCGAGATGGCTGGCCCTTCAGTAAGAGGTAATCTTTTATATGTTCTTTAGCAGTTACTCTAATTTCTTACAAGTGGTTTTTATTTTTTTGGTTGCTATGTGAATGATTAAACAACTATTTTCGCTTAGGTTAGACTGTATAAAAATTTGGATGTCCTTTCAATTTCAACAGACAGTTTTCTTATTATTCTTCTTCTTGCTTGTACACAATTGTAAAAATTCGTTGTCTTTTCCTTTGCTGCATATAGTATGAATCTTGACCACAGATGCGCCGTAGGAGGTCTCAACAATGCATAGTGCATATGTGCTGGTGATGTGGAATTGCTTAAATTTAATTTGATGAACTGAGACTTAAGGATATGAAACATGTCTTTCTTATGTACCTTGTAGAGGCACTTTTTTCTTTTGGCCAAGTGATAAACAGGTCCGTGATTGAAGCTGTATTTTGAGCACCCCAAGCTTGAGGAGAACCTGAAATGACAATACAGATACTGTTAATTAAAGCAGATAAGACATGTATGTTAAGTGTACGTATCCCTAGGATTATAAATCAGTATATGAGGTTTGCATGGAAAGTTGACTTCAGAATCAATTATGTTTCGTGCACTCTTCTTATCAATTCTATCGTGCATACATTTTCCTTAGATCCATGTCATTCTCTCTATCATCATCATCATCATCATTAGCATGTGTAATCGACAAGACAGTCTTAATTCGTGTGTTGGTTTGAAGAACTGTGCCAACTTTCTCTTCTGCTGGATTAGATGGAAAGATGTTATTACTTGTTACTTCCATTTGTTCTTCTGATTGAGTTTGGTGTTCTTAATGATCATTGCTGTATTTTCCTTGATCAGGATCAAGGTCTGAAACATCCCCATATCCCCCTTGCGCTGAGGTGACTGATACTTTCACCTTCTGAACTATGTTACCTTCATTGTGAATTAGTACTGAATCCTATGTGCATTTCTGTTCAGAGGTATCTTGCTGTGAAAGCAGCTGCAGCGTCCCCCAGTTTTGGCTCCCCATCATCATTCTCAGAGTTTGACACCTGGGAGTCAACACGACAGCAACCGTACTTTCTTCCTGGCCGTCATTCTAGACGCTCTCACGTGTCAAAAGCTGTTTACCCAATGTTGTTTCACAATCCAGTGTCTGACTTCGAGACCTTTGATGATGCCAAGGCTAGCAGCCTCGGCAGGTTGACTCCTGGTGAGGATCGTATCTCGCCATCTTACTGGCACGAAGATGGTCTGTCTAGAGAGGACAAATTTTACAGAGCTCTTGCTGAGCTTCGAAAGTTAGAGGCATCTCCAGATCTCAACACAAGCTCAAGAAGAGAAGGATTTAGGTGGAGTAATGCCAGTAGTTACGATCTAGGGTTTGATGTAGAAAGGTGTGCTATTGCAGAAAACACGGACAGGGAGGAAATTACATCACCTTATGGCCCTGGAATGGATCAGAAATGTGGGATTTGTGGAAAATTGCTACAGCAGAAGTCACCGTGGAGTTCCCATCGGATTTTACGTGGCAATGACATGCCGATTGCCGGGGTACTTCCCTGCAGCCACGTCTTTCATGCAGATTGCTTGGAGCACATGACCCCCAAAACCCAAATTCATGACCCTCCATGTCCTTTGTGCCTGAAGTATCTTGGACCTACCTCGGAATCTCCATTTGTGAAAGAGTCGTTGCAGATGGCATTAAGATCTTTAAGGAGGAGTCGAGGGGTTGTGATAGATGAGGGCCCACTTGATCAAAATGACAAAGCCTCAGCACACACTAAGGATAGATTAAAGAGAAAGTGGCCTCGGGTTGTTCAGCGTTGGAATATTGGTGGTTCTTCTTTTGGGAATCGGCTAAAAAGGCATCTACTGTTTAAGGGGAGCGGCAGTAAAGATCTTTGCCACAAAAGAGTCTCCGACAAGGCCAGTTCATCCTCTAGCAAGCTGCCAGTCGTGGACCATGTATCTTCCGGTAGTCCTGTTTCTTCTAGTTAAGGTGATGTAGCATGTGCCTTCATACTTGATCAAGATTCTAATTATCCACAGATTCTTCTCATATTCTGATCCTGGTTGACTTGCTTCGACTTTCAGGTAGGCATTCTTGTATAATAGCCCCGGGTCGGATGCATTGTTGTCACACGTTTTCCTGGACCTTTGCAATTTCTCAAGTGAGATGAGTTGGAGAGCTATAATTGTACACAAAGGATTGAAAAGTCCATCTGAACAAACTTGGAGGTAGATTTGGTCAGGCACATTTTTTTGCATACATTCACTCAGAAGGTTTTTTGTGCTTGACATGAACAAAATCGCTTAGTGAAAGACCGGGTCCTCAAAAGTATAAATATTGGAAGTTCTGAGACTTCATATGCTGAGACTTGATAAAAGGAAAGAAGTTGGTGTTTTGGAATATTGCCAGTGGAGATTTTCATGAAATTACTGATGTCTTGCTAATTCAATCCACTTTGTGCTGCATTAATTTGTTCTCTGTCCTTACAAAAGGCTCTCAATTTGAGAAACCAAGGTGGATATGGTTTCAAGTTCACATATTCTTTACGGTGGAACTAAGACCACCGCATATAGCAGCTCATGCTGGTCGCTTGGTTGCCACCTGAGCAGTTCTCACATGATTGTGTGGATAGGTGGTACTTAGCAGTTGCTGCACTTGCAATGGCTAATGGCAGAGGTTCTGAGAGCCTGAGCATTTAGCTATTGCTCGTGCATTTTGTCGACACGCGTTAACGCATTTTGTTCCATACAACTTTTGTGATTTGGGTGAAGGAAGGTACACTCATCTGGACTGAAATTGGGTACCTGTTCTTCACCAAATGGAGCTGCAGCTTTCGATTCTCAGTGGCTGATAAGCAAAGGAGAGGGAAGCTTTCGCCGTTCAATCCTACCTTGTGCCATGAGTATGCCCATGTACAAGGTCGGGTACCTTTTTCGGTTATTGCGCCCCTCGAGTGATTGTAACATTAGAGGAATCGCTTCTTTATGGATAAACCACCGTTGCAAATCAGAGATTTTCTCTATTGTCCAGCTTTCCATATTCAATGTCAGCATGTAGATCCTTACTCACTTATTGATGCTGCACTCTTAGTATACTTATCCAAGTCACCAAGGTTTTCAGATTAAAGTCATAATATGAAAATAGAACCCCATACAAGAACATGAAATTAGGTAACTACTCAGCCACAAGATTGTTTTATTACAAATTTGTCAAACAGGGAAAGCCGTACTGATCTTGATGGTCATAACTATGAACGTTTCCAACGACGAGAGAGCCAAACTCCACACGATACAACTCCAGTTTCCCATTAAGCCAGAATCACCTTCTCATCACTCTGGGCAACCCTTGCTTAAGTATGTTCCATTCATGCGCACATTCGCCAGGAGGCCATTATGCAACACATAGCCCTCAGCAGCTCATCAGCTCGAGCAGCTGCTTCTGCATCAAATCCAACTTCCTTCAGCCTCAGCCTTAACGCGGCAAAGATGCCTTCTCGACACTAGCGGCGTGGGCCGACATACCAAGCTCCAATGCGATCAGCAACCACCTATTTCAAGACAAATCTACGAGACAAACAAGACAAATCAACGAGTCAACTAGCTCAAATGCATGAGTACTTGATCATTCCAGCACCTGTAAACCAAGGTTTCCGCTTACATAACACTCGCATTATCCCCATGTTCATATAGCCCTTAAGAGTTCACCTACTACAATACATTACTATATAGTTTCCAAGCTAGCGTTCCTGCACAAGTTCAATGCCAAGCTAGTGTTCCTGCACAAGTCCAATGATAAAAATATTGCAGCTCCTCCAAAAATACTAGCTCCAAACACAATTACATCTGTTTGCTTGAGTTGCTCCTTGAGTTACCAAACTCGATTCATTTCACCCGCATTCAGCAAGAAAATTACCGGGGGAAATAGCTTTATGAGAAGCGTAACGTTGGTTCTGAGAAAAAAAGAACTGAGTGAAGCGTTTCGCATTCATGTCCAACCGATGACATTTTCACAAACACCTAGAGTGCTCGCCTAAAGTCTCAATCTTTACGCACGGAATCACTCTCGAAACCCACAAGCAGAAACAACGCGACATTTTGCAGTTGACTAGTACATCATACATACATACATATATGCAAACATACGTGCAAATGAAGAAATGAAATCGTACAGATTGATCATGTGGGAGAGCCCGCGCGGCCATCACTGCCCAATCCAATATATAGGAGAGAGGCTCTGACCGCGGGCTGTCTTCATCGCAGGACGGGACAGACAGAAGCGACGGAGAGCCGCCGGCAGCCCAACGCGGCGGCGGCGGCGGCGGCGGAGGGAGGGCGGCTCATCCGCCGTCCGAGAGTCCTCGCTCCCCTGCTCGGATAAGATCAAGTAGTGTGCCTTCTCTAGCTAGGGTTCTTCCCCCTTTATATCACTCCTTCATGGGAAACAACACCAAGGATGATTATTTTAGGCAAAAAAAAAAAAACACCAACGATAATTAATCACAAAAATAGACAATTGCAATGCAAAATAAAATAAAATTTTGTAAATTTGAGCGAAATAACTACAAAGTACATAAGTTTTAGGATGTAGTGAATCTCTCTATATTATAAATCAAATCCAAGACATCTTTTTAATCTCAAACTTTCACAAAAGAAGAAAAAATCCAATAAAACAAATTTGGAGTGGGAAATAACCTTTATCAAATAAAACCCTTTGTGCTTCATAGGATACAATCCCTTCGTAAAAATATTTAATTAAGAAATATAAATAAAACAGTACAAGAGAAATTGGAGATTAGGGAAAATGAAATTAAAAAAAGAAGAAGAAGATAGATGGATAGCTAAATATTAGGGGGGGAAAATGAGTTTAGCACATTCGAGAGTAAACAATAGAGATGGTAACCTTCTAATGGAATAAATGTAGAAGAATGCAAGAGAAACAAAACCGATCTGTTGTAAAATTTACCGGCACTTACTTACAATTTAATATTAAGAGTCTACTTCGACCCAATTAAATCAAGATTGCATTCAAACATCACATCAAAGTTGGTAAGTTCTTATACAAAGCGTTCGTGACCCGGCTAATCCCTCTATCGGGAAAATTGTCAAATCAGTCCTAAACCTATTGTACGGCGGCCAATTCAGTCCTAAACCTTTTAATTTTGCCAATTCAGTCCTAAAACTTTCTAATTCTTGCCAATTCAGTCCTTCCGGCCAATTTTAGCCGGCCGGTGCTGACGTGGCCGCCGGCTGGCGCTGACGTGGCCGCCGGCCGGCGCCGGCCATCCGGCCAACACTGACGTGGCAATTTTTTATTCTTTTTTAATCTTTTTTTTTCTTTTTTTTTCTGATTTCTTCCTCTGGCCGGTCCGGTGACCGGCGACCGTGGCCGGCCGGAGGAGGGCCGTAGTCGAGGTCGACCTCGCCGGCCTCGCCCCGCTTGAGGCGAGGCCGACCTCGCCGTCGCCTAGTTCGCGACGGCGAGGTCGGCCTCGCCGCTGCTGGGCCTCGCCTCGCCCAGCAGTGGCGAGGCCGGCAAGGTCGACCTCGCCGGCCCTCCCCTCTGGCCGGCCGCCGGTAGCCGGACCGGCCATAGGAAGAAATCATAAAAAAAAAAAGATTAAAAAAATAAAAAAAAAATTTGCCACGTCAGCGCCGGCCGGCTAAAATTGGCTGGAAGGACTAAATTGGCAAGATTTAGAAAGGTTTAGGACTGAATTGGCAAAATTAAAAGGTTTAGGATTGAATTGGTCGCCGTACAATAGGTTTAGGACTGATTTGACAATTTCCCCTCCCTCTATCAGTTAAGCATGGAGTCTATCCCATAAGTATCATTTTTTATTGGCCATGGCATCGTGTTAGAATAGATCACATCTTACTATATTCTGCATGTTTTTATTGGGCTATTTGGGTCATACTTTGACAACTAGTTTGTCCCCATTGGTTTTATTCCTTTTCTTGGGCAGCCTTCGTAAGCATATATATATATATATAGCTATCCGAACAGACCGTGGTCGGAGACAACCTCATAGTCTCAACCTTGTAGCCTTGGCCTTCTCTTCCTCATTTGCTTTAGTTCTTCTTTGCTGGTCAGGTTGTTAGACAGAGATATTGCTAAAATGGAAGATTCTGGGGTGATCAGTCACTGGTGTTACGTCTGCTCTCAGACAGTAAACCCATTGACTGAAGCTGAGATCAAATGCCCTCAATGTGAGAGCAAGTTCTTGCAAGAAATGCGCGGCCCCAGAACCAACAGCCACAATACTATGCCAAATCCGGAGGACAGAGTTCCAATTTGGTCTCCCGTACTTTTGGGCTTGATAGGTCCAGCCGGAGATGAGGACTCTTCTCCCAATTCGATCACCTCAGCGGCGGCGCACATCGGTTTGGATGTGGATCAAGCTGAGGAACATGCTGCGGAAGGGTTCATTGAGCTCACGTTTCAAAGGAACTCACATGGTGATCTTTCTTCCGAGAGTGAGTCAATGGACTCGGAAGACGACTGGGAGAGCAGCAGCGAAGGGATTTTGCTCGAGGACCTACTGTACAGCGGCTCGGTCTTCCAAGGTCAGAGTCGCACCGCACATGAAGAGGCTCGCAGCCCCTTGGCCGACTATTTCCTAGGAACCGACTTGGATGTACTTCAACAGCATTTACTGGGAGTGGACCGACATTCTCGCTTCTACGACAGCATGCAGGCTCGAAAGGCGGTTGAGGCCATGCCAATGGTAACCATCAAGGAGATTACGCAATGCTCAATCTGTTTGGAGGATTTCGAGATGGGAGAAGAAGCGAAGGAGACGGGATGTAAGCATAGATTCCATGGGTGGTGTATCTTTCCGTGGTTGGAGCTGCATGGTTCTTGCCCACTTTGCAGATGCAGAATACCTCCCGACTATGCAAAAATCGAAAAACTTGGGATTATGGATGGTAGAGGTGGAACTCGAGGAGGAGAGCAGCGAACACGGAATGCCTCGAGGCGTTTGCCTCTTATAGGATAGTCATGACAAATTTGCCCTGTGACTGTACTCAGAGTTCTGAAAGGCCAAACAAAAATACCATGATATGCACATTGTTAAGTCCAGTCTACTACTATATGTATCTATGTTTTTCCTGTATCGAACACCACGTTTGTCCGAAAGCATAACAAAAGAAGAACTAGAAAGTGTGGAATTTTGTATTATGGTGTAAAAATACAAGTCAGGAATCAATAAGTTCTCCTATCATAGTTGCGACATTCGAGCGGTGAGCACCAGAGTTAGTGAAACGATGGATATACATGTTAGACCAGACAACCTGACATCTTCCTAACGGGACGTGCACATTCATCTAAAGAACTCTTCACATCCGAGATCCTTATAGACGCAGACTTATTATATAGATGATTTAGTAATTCATCTGCTTCATTCAACACTTGAAATCTCCAAGGCGCCAAAACACAAGACTGCATACGAAGCAGTGGCCTAATATAAACAGAGTAGCTCAGTTAAAACCAGTTCTCACCATGACTAGACTTAATACACCGAGTGAAAGATGGAGCCGCAACAATCTACTTCATAGTTGCCCTTGAGTTCCCCAGAAACAAATATGAATGGCTCATACACGATGAAGCATTTGAAAGTAGAATTGGGCAGTTCAATTTTTATGTCATTGATTCATCCTTCAATCCCAATGCTCTTACTGACAAGCCGTACAACGAAGGGAGATGTAAGCATAAACGTTAGACGATTGTAACCGGTGTGTTTATTCAGGTATCAAGCCAAGTGAGTCAGTGATGGTAAAACAGCGAGGAAGAGATCCAATTTGCTTCCAGCATATGGAATGAGGTGCAAAGGACATCATACCCAAAGTGATCAAAATGCAAAAGATGAAGCTTTGGCATGTAATTTAACATTTGAGTTGATCAATAAATACAAAATTGATGGAACAATTTCCCGAAAGCCTATCAAACCTGCACAGGCAAACTAACTCTCTTCCTCTGTCCCAAGCACCCCCATGCAGTAGAGAAAGAGCTGGTGTAATATTTACAGGGTAGATGAAGTTCTTGACTTGTGCATTTTATCATCTTGAGAAGCTGAAGGAGGCAATGGAGAGGAGACAGCCGCATGATAAGATGAAGACGCAAGTTGGGCTAGAGCAGGCACTGCACCACCTGCATGTTCCCCATAAAACCATTCACTTTAAGATGCTTGCACACTCAATATAGCAACATAACAAAAAAATACGCTCAGTTCCTCAACTTTATTTTCTCCTCTTGATAATATTTGAATTGAAAATCTTTTGGAAGTTGAATAAACAGAAATCAATACTGTACTATCCCCTTAAATTGGGTCGAATATGAAATTAGACCCTCGATGTTCTCATTTCAAGGTTCAAGAACTGTTTAGATTTAAACATCAAGGGAATCATAGTGATTGCTTAATGTGCCATCTTGGCCACTGAGCACAGACCAAAAGACAAATTGATTTCCTTGCTTATTAAGGTAATTGAATAACGATAGAGGTTTATATAAGATCGATCATGGAGGCCCTAAACACGTGATTTTTGTAAGAAAAGGTCATTTCAATTGCTAGCCATAGTCATTAGACTTCTGTTCATCACATCATAATCACAGAAACCTGACTTTCCTTAATGGACTTGGGGAAGAAATACGAAAGCATACCATTAGTCATCCGTGAAAAAGAAATAAATATGAACTGACAATGAATTCAGGAAACGGAGAAAGTAAAGAAGAGAAGAAACCTGCCAATCCTGCACAGGCTGAAGAGAATACTATCACGGGAGGTGCCTGCATTGCAAAAGTTTCAGTCACCAGACTGAACTGAGCAATAAAAAAAAAAAGAGAGCATTTCCATGCGAAAGAAACTTATAAATTTGTAATACATATTATAATTAGAATAAAAATCAGTTATGTCTGTCTGAGAGATCAAATCGCCCGCTGGATTGATTCTAAAAGTAGAATCTTCAATAATCCAATGCCTTTCCAGAAAGAGGAGGAATAAGCATTTCATCCTAGAAATTATGCTCTCAAGTGTTCTACAGATGGAGTCACTAGCAGGAACAAGCATTTCAAAAAGCACATATCCATGCAATCACTCATTAAACAGCAGAATCTTAAGTACTATGGTCTAAAAATGAAAAGTCAATAATGGTAAGAATACAGAACAACGTAGAGTACCAGAAAAGGCAAAATGTCGTATCAGCTGAACATAAACAGCTATAGCTAAGAAACTAATAGAGAAACAAGAAGCATAAGAAACTTACGCCAATAAGGAAATGCAACCACATCGGCCCTTTTACCCATCTCCGGACAATTGGCATCACTACAACGGCCAACAAATAGACAAATAAACGATTAGGAAACAAAAGGTAAGACATGACGCTTGCCTTACTGTACATTCAACATCACTAGTCAACATTCAACATCACAAGTCAACCGCACAATTTGCCATCTCCTTATTAGGAAGATAACTTGGAGCAAAGTCGATCTGATTCAGACGTTCGATTGAAGCTTTCATCTTTCAAATTCAGACTTCATCGAGTGAAAGATGTTATGAAATTGCAATAAGGAGCATCCACTGGAAGATCAAAATTCAGGAATCAAGGTTGTTACAAGAGGGAAAGGCCGCGGAGACAATGAGAAAGCTTCTCTCGGTAGATACTACAAAAATTATGCAGCACTTGACTTTCTGCAAATTTCAGAACACCACAAAACAGGTTGGGGGATTTCCCCTTAAGTCATAAAGAGGCAACTTTTTCCAATTTTGTTTAAACAAAACTACCCTCTCGTTACAAATAATTCGCGAGAAATCAAAACTACCATAACAAGAGTGCTATAAACATGTCCTTCCCCAATACAGGTAAACAATCGAAAGGGCAAAAATGGCCTGGCCGGAGTGACTCCAATTAGCACGTGGATATCGGTTACCGCCGATGACAAACGGAAAGTTAAAGAAACCGTGTTCCCAAAGCCAAACCGACCACGCCGATAAAATCTAGGACACACGGCTCCCTGAATTCACACAAGCCCAAGTCAGCCTGAAGCACATGAGCATGCGAATTTCACGCCACGTATGGAATCACATCAATTGCCGTAAAAATCGATCGAATCCACGTCGCGGACCTAATCGGACGAGGAAGCACGGAAACAAGAGAGAGAAACAGGGGCCATGCGCATCCATACCGTGGTTGAATCCATAGAAAGCGCTGGCCGTACCACCCACAGCTGAACCGATCTGAAAACCAAGCAACGCCCGAAAACAAAATCAAAGAGCGACAACGGGATCGCAGGACACGATCGCGTCGTGCGGAGGAAACAAACCCGCTACCTAAGACGACCACCTCGAGAGTCGAGACTACGAGCAGACGGAATCTGAGAGCGAATCGCGAAGCGAGCGAGATGTGAAAACAAAGAAGAAGCGGGGATAGAGGGATCACCATGGAGAAGCTGTCTCTGATGAGGGGAGACACGTTCCAATCGCTGGTCTCCTGAGACCATCGAGCGCACATCGAGCGACCATTAGAACTTCCAAAACCATAGAGAGAGAGAGAGAGAGAGAGAGGGAGAGGAGGAGGGAGATACCATGGCCTTGGAAAGAGGACCTGCGCAGTGATGACATGTGAAGCCGCCTCGAGGGCTCGGATCCGCCATTGCCGCCGTCCTTCGTAAAAACCCTCTCTAAAGCCCTCCCCCGCCACAGAGCAAGCGATCTCGCTGCGTCTTACTGGTTTTCCTTTTTCTCTTTTTAAATTTTTATTACGGCGGAACTGTTTTTTTTTCTTCTACTTCTTTTCATCTATTTTTTTTTTCATTAAAGCAGTGACTAGTTGTTTAGGAGCAGGGGGTGATAGGTTCCTGATCCTGTTTCCCAAAATTGGGAATCGGGGACCGGACCGATTGATCCTAGGATCGGGAACTCCGGTCCGGTCTAATGGAACCGTTCACTTTTTTTTTTTCCCATGACTTGATACCATATATTTTGAAATTAGAATTGTGCTCCCCATGCCGAATACACGTAATCACAAAAACAAGATGACGAATTGTGTTCCCTATGTCGACTACACATATGTTCTAAAATTAGAATTGTATTCCCCATGTCGACTACACATAATCACAAAAAAAAAAAGTATATGTAATCGGTCTGGTTCACCTTGTAATTGGGAACTGGACCGCCTGGACACCGATTTCACTTTTAGGAATCAGGAACCAGACTGACACTCCCATAATCAGATCAAACCGACCAGTCCGGGCGGTTCCCGGTTTAGATGGTCTGTTTTGCACACCCCTACCTAGGAGAACGATCCTGAATAAATGATTTGGATCTTGTAAACTATAACAAACATGAAAAGAATAATTTCAATGTACATTAAAAAAAATTAAAGATATATCCTTCTTATACCACGCGATTAACAAACTCCTCACAATACTTACTACTGAGAAAAAGTGCCAAAAAAGTCTTAAACCTTTTGCATTAGTGCCAATTCAGTCCTAAACCTTTTGCATTGGTGCCAATTCAGTCTTAAACTTTTTATATTTGTGCTAATTCAGTCCTAAACCTTTTGTTTTTGTGTCAATTTAGTCCTTCCGACCAATTTTGATCGGATTTTGCTGACGTGGACGCCGGCCGGCCAGCGGCCGGTCACCTGCGCTGGCGTGGACAACTTTAATAATAATTTAATATATTTTTTGAAATTTTATTAATTTTTTTTTCTTTTCTTTTTTTTTTCCCCCTCCCCTCCCTCCTTCCTCCAGCTAGTCGTCGGACCGGCGACCGGCCAGAGGCCGACGCCGATGAAGCTCGCCCTCGCCGAGCGGCTGGGCGAGGCTCGCCTTTGCTAGCGAGGGCGAGCCTCGCCGGCGCCGGCCTCTGGCCGGTCGCCAGTCCGGTGACCGGCTGGAGGAAGGAGGGAGGGGAGGGGGAAAAAATAGAAAAGAAAAAAATTAATAAAAATTCAAAAAATATATTAAAATATTATTTAAGTTGTCCACGTCAACGCCGATGACTGGCCACCAGCCGGCCAGCATCCACGTTAGCAAAATCCAATCAAAATTGATCGAAAGGACTGAATTGGCACAAAGACAAAAGGTTTAGGACTGAATTGGCACCAATGCAAAAGGTTTAGGACTGAATTTGTACAAAAAAAAGTTTAGGACTAAATTGACACCAATGCAAAATGTTTAGGACTGAATTGGCACAAAAAAAAGATTTAGAACTAAATTGGCACAAATGCAAAAGGTTTAGGACTTTTTTTGACACTTTTCCCCTTACTACTGACATATTAAGTGATGTTGCGGATTTTTTTATTATAAATTGTGTTCAATTTATATTTCTAAATACCCGGTTACAATCCGCTATGCCATATCATATCACGAGTAATGTTGCGACTTGCATTACTTTTACTATTGAAGTTACAAACGAATGGATGAAACGGTGGATTTGACGCTTCTCAAGCCCGAGAGTCAACGATCCATCTTAGCATTTCATTGATTAAGTTTGAGAGAACAGGATAGGAACGATTGAATAGTGGGAAATCAATATCGAATGTGTTGTTTGGGATTGAGTCGTGAGTGTGCGTGCTTCTTGACTTTGTCTACTCACGAATGTTTGTCCCAAAAACAACCAAAAATCCATGGGCTCGAGTTTAAAAGCTAACGCGTTGGACTTGGATCTAATCGAAGAGGTTTAAGCCTTTGAAGTGTTTGATAATGTAATCAACCTTGGACAATATCAAGGCAGGCCAAGTCCTGCGCTGCACTTCTTTTCTCTCCCAATTCACATTGCCTAATTCTCGACGAGTTAAGTCAGATCATTCTGTCATTCAAACATATAGGACTAAACGTAAAAGAAAGCGTAGAACTCATGAACCCGGCTTCTATAATCCTGTGACCTCTTCAGCAGATCAACCTGAACTACGAAATCCAATCGACCCGTTCCGATTTCATCGCGACGCATTCAATCAACGTCGCAACACATCTCTACTCGTCTTCACGACCGCAGATCCTCGGTGCCCGCCTCTTAAGGATTTCAGGATCCCTTTTGAAGACATGGTCCTCGTTTCTGTGGGTGATGCTCAAGTATGCAGATGAACCGGTACCTGATCATATGCGCATACAAAAACCAAAAAAAAAAGGGAACTTTTGGATCAGCTTTCCGCACAGAACTGAAAAGTCAAGTGCATATGTTCCTTAAACCTGAAAGAATGGATATAGAGGCCGATAAGAAAGGCAAGATGCAGTGGGACCATACAGCACAGGTGCGGCGTACTCGGTATTCTTGGATTAGATCTCGGCTAACAAACAAATGAATGGTGGGGGAGGGGGGAATATATGCATGAAATGGACACTTCGCTCCAGAATGAATCCTGTAAAGGAAGCAAAACTATCATGACCTCGTCTTGTACTTTAAAATTTGGATTGATTCGAGAATGGAAAAGGGATAAAAGGCACGGTTGGAAGGGATTGCTTTGCAAAGGGCATTCTTCATTCTAGGCACAAAAGCAGACGAGGCACTTTTTCCGTCTTTATAAGCGCGTAGTGCTTAGACACGATTGTCAGATTTCTATAGTTTAACATGGCATCCGAGATTTGCTTGTTTCCACTTACAGAGAAATGAAAATCATTGGACTAGAAGAATCGTTAGACACCAGAGGTTTTGGCAAGTAGAAGTCTTTAGGTTTGGCTTACTGTCTTTGACTAGAGGAAAACCGATTAAATTACCAAATGCAGAAAAACGGAACACAGTTGCACTTCCCCTTGTGATGTGTTCATCTAGAAGAATACACGGAGCTAAGCACGTCAACTTTAAGTGTAATAACCCCACATCGCAACTCTAAAAGTCGATTACTCTTTTGAAGCTAACGTGTGGAGCTCTGTAAATTCTCGTTTGTCTCAGTGGGATCGATCACAAGAAGAATAATCACACTGAACAGTTTTGAGGCATGAAATATGGATAGTTCGACATGCTGGCGCTCTCGCCGCTTGACCACAACAGATGCAAGGATGCAAGCAAGTGCCAAACCTAATTTCCGAGAGACTTTGCGGACAAGCACACCTATATATTCCTGCAAGTTGAATTCAACAAGCAAGTTGCTCAAGAGAATGGGTGAGAGATGTGTACTCGGGGATCCCTGTACGTCACATTGGGCTTATCAAATATCAAATCTCTTTTTGCGGTGATATTCCAGTAATGTGGAAATATAATGACAAAATAGCAATCGTAATTTTTGAACAGCATCAGACTGATTAGCTAAAAGGAGCATATATGTAAGCATCCATTCTTAGTAGCTTTTGGAAGAAACGAATAATCATATTCTTAACTTGAGAATATGGCTCATGCATTTCGGTTTGAGTTAAGATTCTTACATTCGATTTTAACGGAATCTGTATGCTTTTATCTTCCTTCCCCTCCTCCAACTTTTTCTCCACTGGGAGTTGCTTTCCTGTGGCCATTTCTCACTTTCCTTTTTGGCTAATGCATTGGCGTTTCACAAAACGGATAAGCACCAATAACAATTTTGCGATATCATTGCTTATGATAGACTGATTCTGAGAGCCGATGATGATGCCTCACTTTTCAGAACCAGGCCATACCTGCAGAATAAGTTTTCCAATGATAAAATATCTACAAAAGCAAATCCAAGTACAAAGAACATTTCCTCTATAATGCATAAGAAAACCTAGAGGATAAGCTTCTACAAATGGTAATAATAATTCGAGAATGCTCCCTCCTTTACTCTGCGCAAGATGAAAATGCCTTCATCCAGGTGGAAGAGACCAAAATAAGGCCTTTACGACAACATCAAGTAAAAGCAAATACTTTCCAAGTACCTGTCACCAATCAGATATGTGAGCAGAAGAAAGTAATAGCACTAGCCATTCTTACCAAAAGAAAATAAAATATGACACTATCATGCACCTATATCAACTTCATATGATTTTCTTTAATATTAGTTCGGCATAATCATGCAAGTGTGAAGCTACAGAAGCCTGATCCCTCTGCAGAAGCATAAGTTATCAGCGGACCTTTTTAATCAGCAAGAAAAAACTAGAGCGGAAAGAAGCAAAAAGAAAATATCCGCAAGTAATAGACTACACTTTGGTGAAGTACCATCGTTAACTCTCGGCATTTAACTGTTCAGTGTGAGATATGCTTCAAATGTCCTTTGACTTGACTCAAAACTCTCTGGTGCCGATAATAAACCACAACAAAAGAAAATCAGTGTGTGCTGAAATTGACTATAGAGGGCATGAGCATTTGTTCTGTTTTCTTGTGAAGACCAAATGACGTTTGAGTTATTTATTCCATCAACATGCCAACAAACTATTAAGGCATTCTTACTTTGTCATTTTGGTAGCAGCCTCCACTTCATCAAGTATTCGAGATAGCATAACATATTCTCCTACCAAATTGATTGATCTCTGCTGCAGAACTAATGTAATTTCACCATTACAAGGAATGCATCCATGATTCTGGAGCTCCACTCTGATCTACAGTTCGCAGTGTTTGTTCTGACATCACCAAAATGCACTAAATGGTTCTGTTGATTGACCATGTCTTCACCGATCGATAAATTATAGATCACTGCCGTAAGGGTAATTAGATAGTGAACTAGCAGCTTGTGTCTTTCTGGACCCACGTACGAATTTATTCTGCATTAGCTGCGGATTTTACAGCATCATAGATATTATTCTTTCTGAATATAATATAGGTAGGTATGGTTGCATAACATGACCAGACAACCACTGCTCTCGCACTGATGCACATTAAGCAAATTAATGTATAGTGGTCTTAACTGCTTTGCACTGGTTTTGATGTACATTTCTGTTATAGCATTCATCATTCTATATTGCAGATTTTATTCACTCTATATCACACGGGTATACAAATTTATTCCACATTAGATGTTGATCGTATAGAAGCATAGATGATATTCTTTCCAATTATCCTATAGGTACTAAGGTAGGTACAATTAATTAGTCTCACTACGCAACCATGGCTCCACTGGATTTGCAAATTAAACAAATTAATCTTTCAGACATGACTACAGTTACACTGATACCAATGAACTGTCTTTCTGCTATAGCATCCATCACCCTCGTTTGTGGATTCATCACTTTATATATCAGACAGGTATAGTTCCACTATAATACTTATCACCATAAACCACAGTTGTCATTACAATACACACTGCCATTTACAAATTGAAACTGCTTTGACCTAAAGGCTTAATGTACATACTATTCAGTCATAGATGGGTGTCAAACTGTCAGTGCCCACAGAAAATACCTGGATGGAAAGTACAATAACCAGCATTAGTATGTATAATGTACTTAACCGCAGATGCCAATTCTAGCATTATTTCTCTCTTTAATTATGAACATATCAGTGTGAATAATTGCACACAAAAGTTTTCTTTAACTGCATCCAGCAACAAACTCTTTTTATGTTTGTGAATCTTCCAAGAAGCATCTTGCATATAGAAAACAAGAAAACAATTTGAAAGAAGGAAACTGCAAATTGGGGCAAGCGAATTAGATATTTAAAGCAGGATGAGTCAAGGGCAAGGTAGGTGGTCCACTCTAGGCACTATTGTCCCTTAATTTACCAATAAAAGTCTGGAAGCAAGTACAGTCCTTCTTTTGTTTTCTCACTGGTTCCTGCGGCTTAGGATGCATAGATTCGCTGGGGCTAGACCAGCTGTCTTATGCCAACTAAAAAACTAAAAGAAATCTGGAACCACTTTTTGTTTATTCCCCAACAGCTGAATAAGTACTAAACTTCTGATGGAGAGAAAGTGGAATTTATTCCTTGCCTTCTAAACTCCAAGGAGGAGGAGCCCCCTTTGCCTTTTTGTAGTGTGTCTTATACAAAGGCCTCGAATGACCCAGACAATAGAATCGTCTCCTACATACTCCAAATGTAACTAACAAAGACATTCTTTGGTGTCTACATCTACAACCTTTAATATGAATTGCCAGGCAGAAATGAACCAATCCATTTTTCTTCATTTTTACTATTAGTTAAGGTAATGTCTTGGAAAAACAAAATTCCTACTACTCTAAGTTCAGGAAGAGGCTTCGAGATCCTGAAAATCCACTCTTAGAACAAAAATGTGCTATGATTTTGAAGTTGTCAAGACAACAAAACCAGTGGACTCTTTTAATCCGAGTCAGAGAATACCTCCATGAATGGGAATATGATTCCAACCTTTGCCAAGCAGACGAATAAGGAAGAAACGCATCAATCACGGAAGCACAATGAACATATTTGCACGTGTAGATTAGTTTATGCCTCTTGCCAAATGAGTAAGATTATCTGAGATAGGAAACTGAAGATGGATTTTAGGGATTGTAGTTAGCAAAGCAGAACAAACAATTTTTCTTTCCAGTCACCATAGATATTGGATCGGGTCCACTGCTTTTGCTGTGACAAATATTCTATGCCTCAATGACCACAATACCTTCACAACCTCTCAAAACAGGGAAATTAGAAGCCCTATAAATCAATGCACAAGCATGCCTTTCATTCAAGAGAGACCTACAAGACAATATAAGAAAGAGCACTTGAAAGAAAGTCTCCTTAATGCAGTGAACCAGACCAAGAGCTCTTCAGCAACAACGTAACTGCACCGACTTCCAGATATCAGAAGCGGCATATTTGGACAGAGAAAAGGTAATCGTATATAACTGACCTCAAGCCAGATTTGGTTTTGAACAGCTCTTCTGGTTAAGTTTCATATTGGTTACGTTCTCTTCGTCATAGATAATGCAAAATTATAGTCTATACGGAGGAAAGAACTTCCACCCTTCTTCAAGGATGTCCATTCTTTCACAAAGGCATCTGCTTCTGCAAGCTGCAAATGGCCCTGGAGATTCAGCACTTATACTCTCAACCGATGCTAAGCCCAGGCTAAAATGGACCGCAGACCTCCATAAAAGGTTTGTGGAAGCAGTCAATCAGCTTGGAGGAGCAGATAGTGAGTATGGAAGACGAGATAAATTTAAAGTTTTTCATAAGTACATTGCCAAAGTATGCTAATTTCATGATGTAATTTTCAGAGGCTACTCCGAAATCAATTTTGAAAGTTATGGGGATTCCAGGACTTACCTTATACCATTTAAAGAGCCATCTTCAGGTAAACTTGCCTCATAGTCCCGCAGAGCTTATAATTTTTCAACACGAGATTTGGAGAGACACAAATCAGGTTATGGCAACAGGCTGCACAAATCGCTATTTTGTCTCTGACTTGACAGCCATGAGCATAAACTTGTATAATAAATCCTAGCATCATACCTTTGTGGCAGAAATACAGGCTTAGCAAGAATCTGCATGGACAAGCAACTAATGGGACAAACAGAGCTGGTAAAACAAACTCTGTTCTCTTTAATTTTTCTTTTTTTATACCTAATTCACTGAGCACTCAGCACCTAACAATTAAGAAACCAATTTTCTTAATGTATATAACCAGTGGCAGAAGTAAAAGCGTCAGAAGCAAATGGACCTCATATGAACAATTCAAGCATTGCAATACAAGTGAACAAGTAAGAACACAAAAGAATTTCTATTTTCACTCGTCTGCCTAAGTTGGCATGTGCAATATTTGCAGAGCAATTCAGACTCTGAAAGTGAACTTCTTGAATGCAGAAACTTACATATAAGCGAAGCATTTCAGGTCCAAATTGAAGTGCAGAGACGGCTTCATGAGCAAATGGAGGTACATTATTTGTTCAAAATTCATGTAGAGACAAAATGAATGGACCATTACCCAACAAGATCGAGAACTACTCAACTGAGACGATGTGCATATGAATATGTTGGGAAAAAACATTCAAATGATGCTAAAGAAGGATCTCTCGTGTGCTTAAGTGTAGAAGTAAGACCAATATACACACTAATTAGAAACATTCGAAAATCGACTAAACCATGACATACTGCGATCCCATAGAAAAGAGAAACACGAAATGATTTATAGAAAAGATTTCATCTGTTGATACACATCTCTGAAAAGGGAATTTACAATCATATTCATATACAAAACTGCTCCGAGCATTCAGATATGTTAATAATAAGAAGTCCAATGCCGAAAGCATGAAAATGAAGACGCTTATGAAGCTTTTTCTTAACAATTGAGGCCAAAAACAACTTATTCTGAACATAACATCCACCAACCCCGAAACTTTTTCGACTGACTATAAGCCTCCGATTCGATGTTGAGTACGTCGATTTTCCTAGCTCGTTACTTCTGCATCATTCAAAAATTGGTGAATCTGAAGAACAAACTGAGAATCTGTGCGCCAAACTTAAGCAGGTGCAGAGACACATGCAGCTGCATATAGAAGCACAGGGAAAATATCTCCAGGCTGTGCTGGAGAAAGCTCAGGAGACTCTCGGAAGACACGACTTAGGCTCCGTCGGACTCGAGGCAGCCAAAAATCAACTCTCCGAGCTGGTCTCTAAAGTGTCCGCCGATAGCCTGAGCTCCGCATTTCCCGACTCGATCGATCTCCATCTTCACCAGCTGCAAACGAACCAGAACACCGATTGTTCGCTCGACAGTTGCCTGACGTGCGAACGGCCTCAAAAGGACCGGAAGGTGGTCGTCGACGGATCGCGATCGAGGGACCATCATCCTAACCCGTTTCTGCTCTCGTCGGACATCGCAGACGATCGCAGAAGCGGGCAGACTGCTCGCGAAGACGCGGAAGCGAGAGTGAAGAGGGCGATTTGTGATTTATCCATGAATTGCGGTCGCCGGAGCTCCTCCGAGGGGACGAACGGACGGATCGACGAGGAAATCAAGCTCACGAGTCCCAGACGAACCGGCGACGGCGAGACGGACTCGACCGAGGGGGAACAGCGCGAGGGACCGTCGGTCGACTGCGGACGTTCTCGCCTTCGATCGGAGCTGGACCTGAACGCTCGCGATGAAGGCAGAGACGCTTCGAGCCGCCGCGAGCCGCTCGATCTGAACGGTTCCAGCTGGAGCTGAGAGGCGGGCGCTCAACGGCGAGCTTACGCGACGAGGACGACGAGAGTTCGCACCGCCGAGTTCCGCCGGAGCTGCCTCCGGTCCGGAGTTCGAGCGCCGGGGGACATCTGTCGACTTCGTAGCACACGGTCTGTAGCGGGAAAGTGAGAAAAAAAAGAGATTTTTTTCCCATTTTCTTTTCAATTAATATTTTTAGCAAGGTTTTTTTTTGGTTCTTTTTTTTTATCATGAGGTTTTTTTTTTGTTCGGATAATAAGGTTTTGATAAGCGGGGAGATGTTTTATGTGGGACGTAAACGAACGAAAAAAAACTATGGTGTAACTTGACGCAAAAGAAAAATAATTGCAAAACAATAAACCATGTGTTTTGTAATTTGGAAAATAAATAAAAAAGTACAAAAGTTATTTCATCCGAAATTTCTCCAGTGAAATATTCAAAATCAAAATGTACACTCTTTGAAATATGCACTTCTTGAAATATATATATATAAGGAACAGAGATAATTATGTCCACCTCGTAATTCGATAATCTCGTAGAGTTTTTAAGGGAAAAATACAGATATAACACTACATAATTTGAATATGTTGCGAAGGTTTCATCGCAAACTAGGTTAATATATTAAGCCAAAAAATCAAAGGAACTTGTGCTCCATTCTGCTTGGCTACGGAAAATATTCTTCAGGAAAATATTTTCCTGTTTTCCGAGAAATCGGGGCTTGAAAACGTTTTCCGTGAGAAAATATTTTCCTTCGTTCACAAAATGCTTTATTTCATTTGAAGAAATGACTTCCGCTTCTTCAAAACGAAAATCATTTCTAAAAAGCATTTCCTTCATTTGCTGGCGTTTCGTTCGTTTAGGAAAAAGAGTCTAGGAAAAATATTTTCGAAACTTTTCATATTGGTCGTCGAACACGGAAAATTATGTTCGAAAACATTTTCCAGAAAAGACTTCCAGGAAAATATTTTCCAAAGGAGAATATTTTCCGCCAAACAACGATCCGTTTGTTTCGTGAAAAACATATTTCTAGAAAGTATTTCCTTCATTTCGGCGTTTCGTTTGTTTAGGAAAAGAGTCAGGAAAAATATTTTCCAAATATATTACTAGGTATTGGTACTTGAACCCAAAACTTTATACTTGAGCATAGAATGCTAGTTCTCAAATCCCGACGTACAAGATCAGGTCTCCGACGCTCGGGCTTGGGTCCATCAAGGTCGAGCCTTGGACCCAGTGCCCTAGTGCCCACACTTGTGTCCATTAAGGTTGAGCCCAAAGCCTTGATGCCCGTTGGGGGTTGTGCAAAAGAATTAGGAATTGCTCGAAACCGGACTAAACTAGCCCAAAACCGGTTCATTCATTTTCATTCGTAAGCAATACAAGCGATCGTTTTTCGGGAAAATATTTTCTAAATCATTAATATTCCAAAGGCTTAATTTGTTTCGTGATAAGCATTTTCTTCATTTTCCAGAGTTTGGATCGCTTAGGGCACGAATAACAACATTTCTCTTCCCCGGCCCCATTTCTCTTTCTCGGACGAGTTTTAGAGTAGAAAGTAATGTTTGATAATGACACAAAATTTCTGTTCTCGGAATAGAAATTTGTTTGATAATGACGCAAAATTTCTATTCCCGTCAGCCAATGAGCGGCGGCGGCAGACGGTCGGCGAAAGGCGGCAGACGGCCGGCGACGAGTGGCGGCGGACGGCCGGCGGTGGGCGGCGAGTGGGCGGCAATGGGCGGCAAGGGTGAGTAATAAGAGAAAGTTGTTATTTCTGTTTCTGTTCCAGAAATTGAAAAGTATAAAATTTTAACTTTTCATTTATATTTCAAATCTATTTCTGAGCCAAAATTTATCCCAGAAATAAAAAAATGAAATTATTTTACCAAACGGATTTCTGTTTCAAACCTGTTCCCAGGTACAAAAAAATAGAAAAACAGAAAAACAAAATGGTTATCATTCGCGCCTTTGAAAAATGAGTCAACGGAAATGGTTTTCTTTACCAAAACTTAAATTCAGGGAAAAAAATTTCTTGTAAATAAATCAGAAATCATTTTCCAAATATACGACTAGGTATTGACGCTTGGATTAAAAACTTTACGCTTGGGTATGGGAACCCCAATGCTCGTTTTTTGACCCTTGGCAGTGGGGTCGGGTCCCCGTCTCCTTGGCCTAGGACTCTAATGCCCTGGCCTGCGTCCATTTAGGCCGTGCCCAATACCCCGGCCACCGCGCCTAAGTCCATCGAGGCCGGCCCCATAACACCGATGCTCATGCTCGGGACACAGGGTCCAAGAATATCAAGGTTGAGCCTAGGGTCCAAGAATATCAAGGTCGAGCCTAGGTCCTTGACACCGTGCCCGGGTCCATTGAGGTCAATTTGTTTAAAAAAAATTTCTTTTCTTTTTTACTTCCTTTTCTTTTTCCTCATTCCTCTACTGATCACTAGGCCTTGGTGACGGCTAGCAATCGACCATAGGCGTGGGCCGACAAGGGCCAACCTCAAACGAGGCTCCACTTCGCCCAATCAGGCGAGCTCGAGCCTCCGGCGAGACTTGACCTCGCCGGAGGTCCGACGACCGACCAGGAAGAAGGAAAGAAAAGATTAAAAAGAAAAAAAAATGATTTAAAAATCAATTGTTAAGGAAAATTATAGAAATTGTCCACATCTGTGGGATTGTACCATGCAAGACGGTTGCGCGTTCACGTGAGTAATTCCCGAGTAAATGAGATTTTCCTTACCAAACGACGGAAAATATTTTGCAGTTCATTTTCAGGTCTTAGCCAAACGCCGGAAAAAAAAATTATCATTTTCCTGTAAAATGACTTTCCAAAAGATATTTTTCAAGAACGTCACATTTTCCGCTAGACAAACGGAGCTTTAAAACAATGAAAAATTCTTTCATGAGTTCTAAAAATAGTAGTTTACTGTGATATTACTGGAAAAAAGGCCAATAAGTTCAAGCTTTTCACAAACTTGCCCCAGCTCCATGGTAGGCAGAAGCCAACCTTCTTCAAGTACAAGCCCAGCCCGTTGACTCGGTTGGGTTCGAGCCCGAACGCCAGACTCAGTCACTCTCTCTCTCTCTTCTTCATTGCAGTTGCAGAGCGCAAAGAAGACGACCCTAGGCACAGACACAATAATCTCTACCGAAACCCATCGCCATCACCGTCGCCATCACGAACGATCTCCTTAGCTGGTATCTCTCTGCGCTCGCGCGACGAACTCACGCCATGGGGGCGAGCCGAAAGCTTCAGGGAGAGATCGACCGGGTGCTGAAGAAGGTCCAGGAGGGCGTCGACGTCTTCGACAGCATCTGGAACAAGGTGAGCTGGGGGTTTATTTTTCTTTTCCGCGCCGAGTTCCCCCTGACGCTGAGGGATGGATGCGGGCTCTGTTCTGATCGATCGCCGTGTCTGTCTGTCTGTCTCTGTCGCTTTCCAGGTCTACGATACGGACAATGCGAACCAGAAGGAGAAGTTCGAGGCCGAATTGAAGAAGGAGATTAAGAAGCTGCAGAGGTACAGGGACCAGATCAAGACGTGGATACAGTCCAGCGAAATCAAGGACAAGAAGGTGGTTCCTCCGTTTCGCTCTCTCGGCGTAGTGTGCGGTTCGGAGTTTGCCGGAAGTTTTTCTCGTCCGCTGATCGTTTCTTTTGTCTGCCGTTATGTTCTCTGTATAATCAGTTCTTCGACTGCTCGTGTCGTGCATGGGGGTTCCATGAAGTTGCGGTTTTTCTGGTTATTGCTTCGTTTAATCATCTGCAGTTCACAGTGTTGTTAGAATGTTGTCGGTGTCAATGTAGGGTTGGCAACTGTGAATACGGTTCGATTACATGGCCCGGTTAGAGAGATAGTCCTCCTGGGCACGGGCATCAGAAGGTTCAATAGATAGACACACGAGTGTAAGACAGCACGAACGACACACTTGACTAAAATTATTCTAAAAAAAAGAAAAAAGGGGTCGATAATGATGATTTCGATTTATCAGTTTAATTTCTAATATTGGATTGAGTAAAAATTGGGTTATCAGTTGTTTTTTTCAGTCTATCAGTTTGGAGAACCGATGTCCCGGGCTGCATCATAATTGGTTGGTTCTTGTTTTAGCTTGAATGATCAGTAGATATTAGAATGAGAATTTAAAGGTTTGCTCAAGTTGGAGCTGAAAAGAACTTTCAGTTCTGAGAAATTAAATTGGTCCAAATGTTTAATCTGATGGGGTTCAACACTTCCAATCGTTAAATGTAGTTATAGTTTTGTGTAAATTTTGTCTGGTTTGGGTTTCATGTCTGTGGTTTGTTTTGGTTTTGTTGAAACTTTCAGACCAAAATTATTAGTTGGAATGAAGTTAGTGGCCACAGCAACCTAGACCGAATAGTAAATACCCATAAGTCGACTCAAAAGTTAAAGTGACATGAGTTAGCATGTTTTGACTCCCTTTGTGTTGGAAAACGTACTTTGGATATTAGTTATACATGAGATATTTTAGCAATGGAAAAAGTTGTTGGTCTGACCACAGTGGCGTGACATGCATGGTGACAGATCATCTATTAGCATCTATGATATTGAAGTTTGAATTTCATCCTTTAACATTGATGGTTAAGTAATGTGTGGGTAGATTCTATGCTCAGTGCATGTGAAATCAATCGTATTTCATTGCACCAGTAGTTTAGTTTTTGCCGGTCCACTGTTGATGGAATCAAGACCATGACTTCATTATCAACCTTTTGATAGGCACCTGTTTTGAAGTTTCACTTATCCATGGATTATGACAGGTGGTTTTTCCCCCTTTTTTGGGTAAGCCATAGCAGAAGGGGCAAATATACCTAGTCCTGGAGTTAGCCATGCCATGGTGGTTAAATTAACTCTTTCCATGTAATGAGTTGATGATTGTATTCAACCACAAATTAATCTCTTGCGAATTGGCGTTTTACTCGATTTTCCAACTGTCATGCAAAAATATGTTACCTGAGAGACCCTAAAAACTGGCACGATTCATGTTCTTTTAATATGCACTACTTTTGGGAATCAGGTTATATTGAACTCCTAAGTTGCTGTAACACTGTGATAGTCTAAACATTAAAAAACATGCTTATTGATTCTAAGCTCAATAAGTCCTTTTGAACAGATAGAACAGATAGCCAGTCATGTTTATTGATGACTGCCAAACCACTAGGTACTTCAATAAGTCCTTTTCTATCTGTTCTTTAGGTGGTGCATGCTCACACATAATTGGATATCATGGATGAATTATTGCTTCATCTGCTGTTAAGAAGAAGTCATTAGCATCTATATTTGGAGGAAATGTCCTTTACCTTTCTAGTGTAGTTGTAGTTTCCCTTCTACTGGTGGGAAAAGGAAAAGAACAGAAATTAGATGTTGTCACACACCCAGTCATTGAGAAATGCGGTGTGTGATGACCTATAAAACCATACCATCTGAAAGTCTATTGCAGCCTGTGTTCCAAATTAGAAGTGGCAAGGGTTCGTTGCTTTGCTGGCACTCTGAGGTTGATTAGCATGCGCCATATCAGTCTGTGGTGTGTGTGACAACTAAAATTATATTCTCTTCCGTAAGGGACATTTCAGGGAGGGCATTGGTAAGATAAAAGGGATAATAGCTAGTCTGGCAGCAGATATTAGGACTGCTAAACTGGCTTATGTATTTGTAATATTTGTAATCAACTCTATGTCCATTTGCGGATCAAGCATGTGAAAATAATGTAGTGTTGTAAAAGATAACGTCTCTCTTGTTTCATTGAAATGGATTGTGGAGACAAGATAACCTTTGTTTTCTTTTTCTCTTTCCCTTTTCTTTTCCTCTTGTTACTCATGATAACTCTTGTTGACATAGTGGTTCTTGGTTTATGTGTGTAAATGCATGTGTTCTCTCTGATGTGGCATGTATAAATGTGTTTTTGTTATTATGGTGTAGGTAATGATCCGTATATCCTTGCAGTTTGCAATGCTTTGTGTATTCGATTCTCCCTGAACTCTGTTTTCTGGTAGAGCACTCTGAGTGTTGTTGGTCACACATGTCACTAGGGCGCTCTCTCTCTCTCTCTCTGCGTATAATATTGAGTTCATCTCGTGTTGTTTCCTGATATTTTCTTCGTGTCAGTTTCATCTTTTGATTGTTTGTTTCTGGATCTGGAGATGACAATTAATATGTCTTCTTTTGCTTATATGTTGACATAGGTTAGTGCCTCTTATGAGCAGGCTCTGGTGGATGCACGCAAGCTTATTGAGCGTGAAATGGAGAGATTTAAGATCTGCGAAAAGGAGACTAAAACAAAAGCATTTTCTAAGGAAGGGCTGGGTCAACAACCAAAAACTGTAAGACATGCAACCTTGCCGGCCTTGTTCTCTTGACAGGTTATGTCAGTAGGCGGAAAGTAGGATTAGATGAATTCAAATCGAACACTGTGGTCAATGGAGTGATTGATTTGAGAACACCTTTTCTTCTTTTAGTTTGTGTGTACTTGTCATTGCTTTCAGTTTCCCATGCTGTCATTTTAAGATTTGGCTTTCTGCATTTTTGGTTAAGGAAAGCTGCTGTTCTGTGCCTTGTTTGACGTATGTATCACATGTGCATCTTTTAGTGACATCGTACACATTTCCCGTGCATCCTTTCATGAAATCAGCTCTATCACTCAAGTAGTGGCATATTTTTGTGACTACTTTTCCTGTTTGTGGTTTATGTATAAACCCATAATGTGTCTTCTCGTTCAGGATCCAAAAGAGAAGGCTAAATCAGAGACTAGGGACTGGTTGAACACCGTGGTATGAAAATGGATCTTTTGCTCATCTATCTTATTTTTCATAGAATGCCTGTTGTCAAAACATTTGTTTGACTGATTTGACCTTGTGCGGAATGAGTAGGTTGGGGAGTTGGAAACCCAGATTGATGTCTTTGAAGCTGAGATTGAGGGGCTATCTGTTAAGAAAGGAAAGACAAAGCCTCCCAGATTGGTATCTAGTGTGAAAAGGCGCTTCATTTGACATGTTAGTTTGCTTGTCCAATGGTCTTTATATTGACTTTGGTTTTATTTTGCAGACACATTTAGAGACATCTATTGTCCGGCACAAGGCTCATATAATAAAGTTGGAACTGATTTTGAGACTTTTGGATAATGATGAATTGAGTCCTGAGCAGGTCAATGATGTTAAGGAGTTCTTGGACGATTATGTTGAACGTAATCAGGTTGATCTCAATAAAAATCAAATTGCTATTCCTTTTTTGTCCCCTTGCATGTGGGTTGTAAAATTTACGCACAGAAGGCAATCGAAGTATTTGGCCCTCTTAGTGTTGGTTTTCTGATTTGTCTTTTGTACCGCATGCCTCTAGATCATTTCATTGTGTATGCTGATCTTTATTCAAACTATGATATCTGCAGGAAGATTTTGAGGAATTCAGTGATGTTGACGATCTCTATAGCACATTACCATTAGATAAGGTTGAATCTCTTGAAGAATTGGTAACCATTGGTCCTCCTGGTCTCATCAAGGTAATTCTTTTAAAAAGAAACGCGTCTTGCTTCTTGTAATTTATCGGATGCAGAGAACAATCTCCGTTTTGAGTGATCTTTTGTTCCCCATTCTCTTGTGGGTTGCCTGGTGAGAATGGCAGTAAAGTACAGATTGGTGGCATCAAACCTGCCCTTCTTTTGGTATTTCCGAAGGTAGCTTTGTCCTATGTCGTGTAGACATTATGGTTTTGTCATTCTGAGAACTTTAGAAGAACATTGGATCACTTTAGATTTTGTTTAACAGTTCCAACTGCCTTACCTCTACTTTCTTTGATAAAATATTTCATTCAATCATTTATTTGGGAAATGGGGATGGTGGAGTGCATTAGGACTTGTAGCTTCGTTTCTCAAGCCTTCTTTTCCAAATTGCGGAATTGATCAAGCTTATCTTGAAAACTTTGGTTGCTGAGGAAGCATCAATACCCTTTTTGTGATGATTGCTCTGAAGGTACCTATTTTCTTGGTGTCCATATGCCCACAATATATTTTGGGTTGTTAGCTTATGGTTTAGTTGTGGCATCGATACTATTTGGCTTCTGTTGAGACATTTGCAAAACGGTTAAGCTGAATTTTCTACTCTCTTTTGTCTGATCCCTAAATCCCGAGTAATTCGAGTTTCTGGCTACTGCCCTTAACATGACTGAAAAAATATTTTCACGTCCGTTGGCAGGGCACACCCCTAGGCTTAAAGACTTCTCTGAGTGCAATAGCATCTCAACCAACGGTAGGGTTAGGTTGTTTTATGTCATTACATATACTTCATTGCAAGAATAGTCATAGAAACATTCGGTAAATATTTATAAAGAAAATTTTTACTAGGCCACTGCCACTGCTAGTCAACAACAAGTTACACCAGCCCCGGAACAAGTTGAGGAGGCGAGCTCTAATGATGGCAGTTCTGATGTTCCTACAAAAATGCCACCTGCCAAAATTAATGTAGTGGTCTCTCCATCAGCAGCAGCTGCCAGTCATGCCATACCTGTTGCATCCAATATTCCTTCTCATAGCATGGCGGGGGCATCAACTGTGTCAGCAGGTGTAACTTCTGTTCGAGGTGCTTCCGAAATTGCAGGCACTCCTAGTTCATCAACTGGAAGCCTTGCTAGTCCTATCAAAGAAGAGGAAAATGGGAGCCATCCAGCTCGTCGATCATCTCCGGCTTTAGCTGATGCTGGACTTGTTAGAGGAATAGGAAAGGGTGCTCTATCCAGCCCAACGTTATCCAATCTTCCTCTTTCAAGTAGTTCTGTATCTAGCAATGGAGCCCTTGGTGCAGTTCCTTCTGCTTCTGACATAGCAAAGAGGAATATTTTAGGAGTTGATGATAGACTCGGTAGCAGTGGCTTGGTGCAGCCTCCAGTATCCCCATTTGGTAATAGACAGGTTTTGCCACAAAGCACGAAGGCTAATGATGGAAGTGCCTTGGTTGATCCTGCTAGTGCTGTTGATAACACGGCAATAGCTGGCCGAGTATTTTCGCCTCCTGTAGTGTCCAATATGCCGTGGAGGCCTGGAAGTTCCTTTCCCCAGAATGAAGCGGTATATCACTATTGTTACTCTGGTTTAGTGACAGTTCAATTTTCTCCTTCTGTCTTTTGCTTTGAGTCTTTCTTGGATGCTATTTCAGTAGCGGGTGAAAGCTGCATAAAGAAGCATCAAGTGTAGGTGTTTGAACACAGTCTCTTTTGTTTTAGTGGGGTCCACATTGAGCCTCCAATACAATGCCAGTCTTATGCGATAGCCAATATATTTCTGTAAAGGCCACATAGTTGTTGGTCCTTCTGGAACCTTAGTGCAAAGTTGATGTCGTCTTAGAGTTGGGTAATTTGCACATTTGTACGAGTGTTATTTGCTTTCTATCATGTGCTTTCTAGGATTTTATTCTGTTTAAGCTTCTATTTGGAGGCAGCCGTGTTCTTTTGGATTTTTAATTTATTTCCCACGTTATTAAGTTTGGCTTTTTCTTTAGCAGTATCTTCTTTAGATGTTTCTACATCCAGGTTATACTTGTAGTATTTCCAGAATCATAATGTTTGCTTTGTTCTGCATGTAATGCTTTGTTATTGTGTTGTTTAGATCAGTATCATACTCCCTTATTGGATATACTTTATGTGTGTCATCTCCCAGGTGCAGTTGCGAGGGAGAACTGAAATAGCACCTGACCAGAGGGAGAAATTTTTGCAACGGCTCCAACAAGTGCAACAGCAGGGACACAGCAACCTTCTGGGCATGCCTCCGCTGGCAGGAGGAAACCATAAGCAGTTCTCTCCACAGCAGCAAAACCCACTCTTGCCACAGGTTCTCTATGTGTGAGTGTGTAGTGGTTGTGGGTTGGGGCGTGGGGAGGTGTTGAGCACGCTGCTATGCTGAATTAGGTGGACATGCTGCTCTTAAGAAGCAGTGCTAGAGCATATGGTTGGGGGGGGGGGGGGGGGGGTGCAGTGACATCCAATTCTATTTTACTTGTATATTTTGCTGAACTCTTGGAGATGGCATTAGGATTTCTTGCAACTTGGGATGAAGAAGAAAAATAAGTTGATGATGTGTCATACACCGGATGAACCATGACTACTGTTTAGGTGGCATGTCTGTGGTCAACACAAAAATTTAGGATGTCAGATGTTACATTCAATTTAAGAATTTTATCTAGTTGATACCATCACAACTGTTCTGCATGTTCTGTGCATGACGTGGCACACCAAAACTTAGGATGTCAAATGGTAATTGAAATTTTGGCAAGTGGATCTAACTGGTATGGTCATATCTTTTCATCACTGTTCTGTGCATGACACGGCTCTCAATTCAGTACACAGATATAGATAGATTGGCATTTTTGGCAATACATAACATCATGTTGGCCTAAAAGAATTTTTATTACTACATGCTAAGATGTGCTAATAGATTGTCTTATCCTTGCCTGCTGTAATGCTATCACGGCATCTGCTGTCCAAAACCCCTGCCCCAATAGCTTCTATCTGCTGCATTCTTGTTATGTTTTCTCTGCTATGCCCCATACATTTATATCATTGCATTGTCACTTTCTAAGATAAAGTCTCTGTGCTGGGGGTGAAGATAAAGAGTTCCTCCTCACCTTTCATTTATGAAGGTACTCTTTGGAAGAGCCCAATTTAGACATACAGAGTTGAACTCAAACAGCTGGCCCGGTAGCTTGAACCATTCCTTAATTTTGGTTGAGTCGATCCACAAACACTTTTTAGAATTTTGAAGAGCATCTTGTACTTCTTGAGACTAACTTCAAGCTGATTGTTTCGGTTGAGATTCTGGTGTAAGTTTGCTTTGGTGCGTCATGCCTATAAGCTTGAATTGATTCCTGATGTAATGTGAACAGCAATGGACCAAAAGTTTTGGCACTAGCCAGATTATTGAAGAATGTGCATCTAGTCATTTACAATGAATTTGAGACCGTCCTTACATAATCAGACTAATCTGTTATAACATTTAAGAATGCTTTTATATGCTAGGGTGATAGTTTTCGCGCTTTGTAGCTGGAACCATTTCTCGAGAACTGTCACATGGTTTATATAACATCTGATTTCAGCTTCGATTTTTTTTTTTTTTTAATGATCTTTTCATCTTGTTTTATGTAGTTAGTTATTCAACTGAGACACGTCGTTTTTGTAGTTCAATGCTCCAACCGCATCGGTTGCTCCTCAAGGTGGTCTTGGATTAGGATTACAGACACCGGGTGTTAATGGTGTAGTGGCTGCCACTATTCAACAACCAAGTCCCATCCAACAGTCTAGTCCACAAGGTTTGACATTGACTAATCCAACAGATCATTTTTGATTTCGGAGTTGCATTCTGCATTGGTGATTTTATGATTGTGATGTATATTGTTGAAATTGGGGGGAGGCATTTCAGTGGGTGTGGCTTTGGATTATTTTATTTCTGCTAGGGGTGTTTATTGGATATCACTGAGCAACTATTTTCTTTTCCACAGGAGGAAGAGAGTTAATCCTTTCATTCTGTTGGCGCTCATTTATGATATCTCTTTTGTGCTTCTGTAGGTTACTGTATGGCTAGAATGTTGTTGTTCTTCTAATGTTCCTAAATTTGTGATGTTCTCATAAAGATAAGATTTTAGAACAAGGATTGAGTTTTATCTTTTAGCATTTAAATTGGTGGATTGTTTTTTATTTTTTCGTATTATGGTAGATGCAACAATGGATGGTGAAGATATCTCCATAAAAATTTACAGTCATTCATAGCTTTGACTCTATCGTGACTGCATGTTGGACCGAACTGTTTATTTGCAGGAACTGGCCTTGCTAAATTGGAGGAGCAGCAGCAACAGCAGAATATGCCCGATGATTCAATTGCCGAGTCTGCTGCTGTTACTGGAATTGGCAAGAGCACAAATGATGATGATTTGAAATCTCCACGCCCATTAGATGCTTCTGTACGTGAGATTATTATTCACTTAATTAAAGTATCAAATAGTCTTTCATTATCTCTTTTGTTCTGTTTATATACTGTAAGGTGCAATTAATTAATAATTTTTTACACATATGACTAATTTGCGCTGATTTTAATTTAATGGATAAATGTCAGTGGTCAATTTTAAAGCCATCTTCATCACCATTTTTATTATATAGATTTCACGGTGGGATGGAAACTTAACTCGATAGGTTAGAGGTATCATTATATGTGTTTGTTGCGTAAGATGGGTAATCATTTAGATTTTAAGATAACCCAGGTAGTTTAGATTATTGTCTTCGTTTTAATATCAGTGAACCATTTCCTATGTACCATGCAAGCTGATGGCCTTTGCTTTGCTTTTCCACTCTTCTTCTTGGCCCTTTCTTGGATATAAAGCTTCTATACAGTGCTATATCAGATAACCCATTCAGGGTTTATATGGGGACACTGGCTTGACTTCGCAATAAGCTCTTTCCAGTTTATCTTTTTCATTTTTGAGGATACTTTTACTTATATTCACCAAATCCTAGAAGTAATGGCTTGTGGGCTATTTGTGAGAGAATCATCTAGTGCCATAATTGTCTTTTTAGGAACTACGAAACAAGATCACATGGATTTGTTCGGTGAAAAAATTCTCCTATAGAAGAAAATATCAACTGTTTGATGGGGATGTTGGTTGATAAAAAGGGCAGCCTATGCATGAAGCTACCACGTGGCACGGGTCCGCGTTAGGGTTCATATAATATCAGAGAAGTTTCGGTTGAAGTGCATAACTAATATAAGGATTCGGTGTACCATCACTAGGTCTGCTTTATGTGGATTGGGTCTAAATTTACATCACGAATCTGGATGTGATTCATTAATTTATATATGGCAGGAGTGGAGTGGGGTTTTTTTCAACACAATTTGCTAGTTTACATGCTTTTGATGGGCCCATCCTCGCTTAGTCTGATGATTGATCTAGTTTGAATATAATTAAATTTAAGTGGAGCTCTACAAGGGTGGCTGAAAAAAGATTGTATTTAGATGATTGATAACCAAAGAGAAAAATGTAGAGGATCGACCCTCAGTGAGCCTCATGAGGTTGGTTGCAATATCTTATTCTGATATCATTTAACTAGTTTGGGATTCAAGATGGAGCAAAAGCAATTGATTTCTACGAGACAGTGATGAAACGATAGAAAGAGAATAGTTCTTATTGTTACTGTTTACTATTATACAGGCTGGAGCAGCTGCTTCTTTCACTGAGCCTTCTCAAGTGCCTAGGGATACTGACCTATCTCCTGGACAACCTCTGCTGTCCGCTCAACCTTCTGCAAGCCTTGGTGTCATTGGGCGGAAGAGTGTTTCTGATCTTGGTGCTATAGGAGATTATCTCAGTGGATCAACTATTAGTACCAATAGCGGAGGAATGCAAGATCAGTTATACAATCTCCAGATGCTTGAGGCTGCATATCACAGACTTCCTCAACCGAAGGACTCTGAACGGCTGAGGAGCTATGTTCCGGTATGATCCCTTCTAATTTTTTTACTTTTGCTCAACATCTAGTACTACAGCATCTTAGACAGGTTTGCCATTTGTTTCGTCCTATTTCAAATGTTTCTTTCTTTCAGAGGCACCCTGCTATCACGCCTCCTAGCTTTCCTCAAGTACAGGCACCAATTGTCAATAACCCTCTCTTTTGGGAAAGATTAGGTCCTGATACGCTCTTCTTTGCATTTTACTATCAGCAGGTGATTCACCTCTATATAATTTTAAGGATTTTTTCCTTTTACTATGATATAGTCACTCCTAGGGCATGACATATACAAATAATCATCTGCAGAACACCTATCAACAATATTTAGCTGCAAAAGAGTTGAAAAAGCAATCGTGGAGATACCACAAGAAATACAATACATGGTTTCAGCGGCATGAGGAGCCACAGATTGCGACTGATGAATACGAACAAGGAACTTATGTCTATTTTGATTTCCATGTTTCAAATGATGACCTAAAACATGGATGGTATGTTTGATCAACTTCCCCTTCATAATCTGTGCTCTATCTCATTTAAGAGTTGCTATTTTGATGTGTCTGAATTTTATCCAATGTATAGAACTCTGAATTATGAGGGGAGGGAATACTTGCCTGACTTATTTCCTGAACCATTATGAGTTTTTCTTATTCAAAATGGTGGTTCATTGGAGGACAGGTTGAGAAACACACTTACACTTACACTCCAGCAGCATAAACTCTAGTTTGGGGAAGGTGTAGATTAGTTTTTGATAGAAACAATTAGAATGAAACTATATACCCATAGAATGGAGCTGAAGAAACACAAACTACCACTGACTGTATCACATGGCCTCTCAAGCAAGACATTCCAGAAGGAAATCCTCCAATTTAAAAGAATCTTCTCTTCTAGAAATTTTCCATGCTTCCTTCCTCTTAGACCGTAGGACCCAAAGTAATTCTTCTCGCTAACTGATTTGGTGTGATTTCTTTACAAGCACAAACTGAATATGAGTAGTATGTTTAACAATTTCTCCGCTCAAAATGACATTTTTCCCTCTGAAATCTTTTTTTTTTTTTTTTTGATGACCCTTTTCCTCTGTTTTAATCAGTTCTTTTATTATTTCACAGCTCATCGAAGGATGATCTTTATGACAGTTCTTCGTGTTGTTGATTTAGTATGTGTTTCATCAAAAGTTACTTGATTCTTGGTTCTATTGATGGCTGAGATTCTGGAAGTATGCTATTTCATGGTCTTGCTGAAAATTCCTTGCTTTCAAAAATAGAAAAAAAAAGGTGGACTGCTTTAATGCATAGGTAGTTTGCATGTTTGAATTGTTAATTAGTTAATGCATTTACATTTGTTTCCTGTAAGTTAGGACAAGGTCTTTTGTGGTTTCTTCATCTTGGGAAAGGTACGTCTGTCTTTTATTGTGACCTTGCTCTATTCGATTGGGTCTCAGGTGTCAGAGAATCAAGACCGAGTTCAGATTCGAGTATAACTACCTTGAAGATGAACTGATGCCATAAACAGACATGTATAAGATGTTGCCCTACCGCTAATGCAATCCATAGTTATGGTTTATTATCCAATTCCCTTGGTAAATATCCATTTCGTGACAGCTCTCTTGTATAATGCACCTCTTAGTTTTATATGCTCTATGAATTCCTCTTTCTTTCGATATACCAGTTTTTGGAGTATGTCTCATTTGCTAGAACAGTTTTATCAGTGGAAGCACTTTGCATATCTATCGGCTTGTCCTCATGGATTTGAGCCTTTGATCTGTTTTTTATTCCCAAGTTACTGACACATGGTTGGTCGAAAAGTTCAGCTTAGTCGCCCAAATTTATGTTGGGTCCATCCCTGTCTAACCAGGGACAGACAGTTCATTCTCATTGAAGACCATATTAATCTTAATGCAGCGGCGTGGGATGTAGGGACAATCACATTTTTTATTGTGTAGAATGGGGATAACTATGCAGTACGTACCGTGTTTACAGAAATGGCAATTAGCATCATTTGTTTGCATACACACAATCGTACTTGTAGCTTTGGTTTATTACATGTGTATTTTTAGAAAATTATGAGTTATTATTATAGGATCGGCCATGGTAAATGTCACGGGTCGATGTTCCACCATGGATTTCTCGGGCCTATGTTGCTGTGAAGCACACCACACCGTGACCAGGCCGCACCCAATTGAGTGGAAGCACACACGATAATGAACACACTCCACGGGTCAGACCACACACAGCACGATGATGTAACGTGGGCATGTACAATCTGAGCCTGCCCTTTGGTCACTTTCACAGCACCCTTGCACTAAAATTAGGCATATGATGCACGCATTGGCCGGCACACCCAATCACACTTATGACCGGTTCACGAACACTGGATTAATCACTACTCGTCCTGGCCAGTTTGCGAGGTTGTAGATGATTCAAAAGTACCTAGGTTTATATAAAAAACACATCAGGACTGAATATAGGGGTGGGAAATGCCCAGACGCTAAGGCACACCAAATGTTCGATGAAATGCACAAGATGCTGGAGCACGACCAACGGTTTTTTGTCTTATTCAAACATGAATGCTAACACTTGTTTGAACCTTTATCACAATGATAGAAACATGCGTACACTGGTCTTGACACGCCCCAGATTCGTATATACACAGAAAGCAGTTGCATGAGCCCATCCAAACATTTATGAGTGTACGACAGTTACAAGCAGTTCCGAGATATCCTACAAGAATATCTCGATCTTATTCGCTGCTCCATCCGAAGCCATCCTTGTGGTTGGAGCACATGCTTGATCACGTGCTTACTTGTTGGCAGATGGCTCGAGTCACAGCCACGGCGTGGCTCATGTGCTGGGCCAAATCACAGGCACCGATTGGCTCATGTGCGTGGCTCATGATCGGCCATTGCCTTGCTCGAGCACGCTCAGCTTGTGCTTGTGATCCATGCTTAGCACGAGTTCAGGGGAAAGTGCCAAAAAAATCCTAAATCTTTTGCATTGGTGCCAATTTAGTCATAAACCATTTTTTGGTGCCAATTCAGTCCTAAATCTTTTGCAATTTTTTTTGTGCCAATTTAGTCATAAACCTTTTGCATTAGTGCCAATTCAGTCTTAAACTTTTTTTTGGCGCCAATTCAGTCCTAAACTTTTTGCATTGGTACCAATTTAGTCCTAAACCTTTTGCATTTGTGCCAATTCAGTCATTCGACACGTGAATAGCTATTAGCCGGAATGACTGAATTGGCACAAATGCAAAAGGTTTAGGACTGAATTGGCACAAATGCAAAATGTTTATGACTAAAATTGGCACAAATGCAAAAGGTTTAGGAATGAATTGGCACCAACAAAGGTTTAGGACTAAATTGGCACCAATGCAAAAGGTTTAGGACTTTTTTGACACTTTTCTCCGAGTTCAGGGCTGCAGCGCTAGCCATAGCTCCTGCCAAGCTGAGACACCGATTCAAGGATCTAACAGTAATCTACATTGGCAAATAGCAACCTCATAGCCATATGATCGGTCAGGGAGGGCTTCGTGCTTCGGTTGGTTTTGAAATGGAGGAGAGAAATGTTGATGAGAGAATGGATGGCTGTTCAAATGGATGGCTGGTAAGGGCGGAGAAGCGATTCCATTGTTACATTAACAGAGAAATTGGCTGCATCTTCAGTCTTCGTATCGTCTGCTGCTCCCAAACCAAGAACAGTGTGCCAAATTGACTAGAGTTCGGGGATCAAACATCATTTTAAGCATAACATAACGCGGGATTTTGAGATTCTATACCTCACATTAAAACGGGCTTTTCTATGGACCATTGGCGGACAATTCGCCGGTTCGGTTTCTTGATCGAAGTTATAACATGTGAGAAGGAAATTATTCTGAATGAAACGAACGAAAAGATTTCACCATTGACCAAAAAGTTGCAATTGTTCCTTAGAACTGAAGAGTTCGATTCTTTTGATGAGTCTCGTTTCAGAAGCCCGTGTGTACTCTTCAAAAGTGACTATTGGAAGTGACTTCCACTCCTTCCCTCTTCTCTCTCTCTCTCTCTCTTTATATTCGCAGCTCCATTTTTTCATCACACAAGAAAACTTCTAGCAAAGACACAGCATAAAAACCCCACAAAAAAATCGTTATGCTTGGCCGACGATGCGCGTCGTACGCTTTTTAATTTCTTCGTCCCTTCATATGCATCGTCGCCGCGAATGTCCCAAGATGTGAATGTAGATCATTCGCTCAGGGATATCAAGTTCGAAAATACTATCCAATTTGCTCCGTCACTCCTCATGATACGTAATCATCGCGTGCCTACACGTACCCGATAACCGCGCTCGCTCGATGTTAGGGTTTCGCCGAGGCTTATAACTTTTTCCAACAGGGAGCCTAACCCTGATCTCTAAACGAGAACGTTCCTAGAGGGCAAGACATCAGAGGGCAAGCCCCACCAATCTGGTCAATTTTCACAAAATAGAAGCCAAACCTAATCTCCATAGGAGGACAGATCCAGCTGTCACATGCTTTGAATAATTCTATATATTCAAGTTCAGTATACGGTGCGACTCCAGGCAGTGGCAGTTGATCAGATCAAATGATTTAGATAATTGTTAATTAGATTAATGTGTCTCCTAATTAATCAATTTGTTTTGTCAGCCCAAAACCTCCCCAAGGCCAGAGAAGCCAGACGAGTTCAAATGCTACCGCACCTTCTTTAGAATGCCCGGTTTTTCTTTAATATTATTTCGAGGGTTATTAACAAACGAAAAAATGACAGCTTATCAACCCTTGAAAACACTCCTCACTTGCCAAGATTTGAATCTGAAAAACCCCTGGTTTTTTTATCTCCAAGAATCTAGGGTTTCGATCTCAAATAATCCCCCCACCCGCTGCTTCCACTGACAGTGGGTGCCTAAAAATTAATTTTTTTTTTAGGAACTAGTACACATTTATAGTTTAAAATTAATTTTGATTAATGGGCATGTTTCCATCTTAGTATTGGCCAAGATAATTGAAATCGAAAAGTAACGTAAATCGCCATGTGCACATGCCCAATTTTCCATTCCATGGACAAGATTGCACCGTGCGCATCTATCTCGTTTTAGATATCTTACGAGAATCAGCCGGCTCCTACCTTTGTCTATCGTCTCATTAACGGCGATACCGAAAACATGTATTTTTTCACTTATTCAAGAGCTCTGCCCGCCTAATTAACATCACCCTTATCTTTTGTTACATGCCAATTATTAATCTCCTCTATTATGAACTTGACCTAAATTTTCTTTATTAGAAACATGGTGCTGATGACCTACCGATTGGAATATTGGCAAAAAAATAAAGACAACAGAATGCATGCCTTTTGCCACGTCTTGTGTAGCAGAAAGAGGAGGAGTTGCCAACATGACAGAAACAACAACATTCAGGCGAGGATTATGTTACAATCGAAATGACAAAGCACGTCGGAAATTTTAGCTTACTATAGCTTTGTCAGCTTCGTTAAAGCAATCTTTTTGCCCCATTTTTTCTTTCTCAAGACGCATTGGAAATTGATTTAAGTCGCAATCCAATGACACCGTCCACCGAATAATGTCGATCCACGGTGTGTATGAATGGGAGTTACAAGGTTCAAACGCTGACATATTTTTTCAGTATGAAATGCAAACAAGTTACGTGTCAACAAAAGCCGCCGACGGCCGGCGTTTCCCCAGACTCATTATTGAATCCCATTGGAAAGTTCATTCCTCGAGCCGCTTTTCAGCTGACGGGATCGAATGTTTAATCTGTGTTTGACCTCGTGATTCAGATTGTCTTGCCGTCCTTAAAGAATGTGTCGTTGAATTCGTGCGCACAAATCTATCGTCATGAACCAAATAATACGGCCATGATATATTCTCGAGGAACGATATAGGACAAAGCTCGACCGGACAATCATCCGCAGTTTGTTCTATCCGCATCCGCGTTTCTAATTATTCAATCGCTGGATTCGGGTACGGAAAGAATGGTACGTGAATGCAAAATTTTACTACATTCAGCTAGTACTCATGAACATTTTGTATAATCAAAATAATTCCCAGGAGTGATCGATTTCTGGGGGGTCCGATTCTCGCCCAGGAACCGGACCAGAGGGACCGGTTCCCATTTTCTGGAACAGAGAATCAAACCGGTGCCCCTTGGAATTGGACCAAGTGGTCCAATCCGGTTCCCCGAGTGGGTCAATGGAACCGGTGGTATATTCAGTTTTTCTTTAATTTGTCGTTAATGTTCAAGATGGAATTGAAAATTTTGGTTGGAATGAGCAATTACTGTTGTGTTTTGATTTGTTCTTGTCATCTTACTCACGTATATAAGTAAACGCAGTTGTTTCAGCCTTGAAAGGCCTTCCTTTGTAAAATGGGAGATAAATTAGAGTTTTTCTTTTTCTTTTTTTATAGATTTTTAAGATAAAAAAAATAAAAAAAAAATCGGTCCGATCTGGATGGTCCGGGACCTTAAACTAGGAACCGAACCGAAATTCACCGGTTCTAATTTTATGAAACCGGAAACCGGAACATGCACCCAGGAACCGCCTAGAACTGGCCGTTCCGGTTCGGTCCACGTGGTTCCTTTTGCTCATCCCGAGTAATTCCCCGTTTTTTAGTCGCAAACACGGCTCGCCGTTTCAACCCATCATTTTCTGGGATTTTGGGAAACAAACAAAAAATGAGCTGAGCGAGCATCTACCTCTTGGAAAGTTAGCTATTTTCACACGGGGGGGTGATCGAGTTGATTCGGAAAAGGGGAGGAGAAATGTTTGAACATGATGGTTTTGTCGTCGGAAGGAACGTACCCATCCTTATCCATCATATATTCTTGGACTAGAAAATGATGAATCCACACCCCCACTTGTTTTCTCAAAGGAAAAAAGAAAAAAGGAAAAGTCACCCCCTTTTTTTTTCTTCTTTTTTTGCCAAGTTTTTTTTTTTTATATTTCTTGATAAGATAGAATGCCTTTTTTTTTTTCTCTCTCTTTTCATTAAAACCTTTTCAAGGATTAGTCCAAAGGAAGAAGTTTCGAGAAAAGATTAAAAAGAAAAGGATAAATGCACCGAAAGTCCTAAAAACTTGTCATTAAGGTGCAATTGAGTCCTAAAACTTTCAAAAAGTATAATCAAGCTTCTATTAACTCCGTCCAATTTGACAAATGAAAAATGCTAATAAATTTTAAGACTTGATTGCACTTTTTGAAAGTTTTAAGACTCAATAGCACTTTTTTGATAAATTTTAAGACCTGATTGCATTTTCTGAAAGTTTTGGGACTCAATTACACTTTCTTGACAAGTTCTAGGACTTCCAGTACACTTATTCAAAAGAAATGAAGAATTGTTTTCAAGGGGATAAAATGCTCCGTGTATTAAAACAGTCTAAAACATTTTTTTAATGGTTTTGACTCATAAATTTATTTGGTTTTATTTAAATGTGAATTGGACAGGTGCAAGTTCAACTGCGTTGGCCAAATTAAGGCATACGATAAAAAAAAAATAAGCGAAAAAAGGAGGAAATTTTATTGCATTTGTTTATTAGGTGTGGTCGCCATGTCACTTTACCTACCAAAATGCCATTTTCAAAATGCAATTGAGTTTCTAGCATAATCTCTCTCTTTCTCTTAAGGTGAGTGAAAAACGAGATAAAGTCTAAATGCTTAATGTAAATCATCTCATCGGAATGGAAATGAAAAATAGCGATTCCTTTTCCATGTATGTTCCCATCTCTCTACTTTAATCAGGATGATATGATGAAGAACGGGTCTAGTTTTGATACCAATATATCGAGAATCGATGAAGCTCTTATACCAATTGATGAAGAGTGGAAGCATGCACTAAAGATAGATTAGAGTCATCGAAGAGGGGAGAACTATCATACAGCAAGAAGGGGAGGACAGAAAGTAGAGAAAGTCAAACGTTGAAAAAGGGGAGCAAAGTCAATTCAGACAGTAGAGTAGCCAAATAGATACTTTACAATAATCAAATCATCATTTAGGCTTATGAAACAATAGATAGACAAACTTTAAATAAAAACTTTAGTAAAAATAGGTTAAGATATATCTATATCCTAAATCCTAGGCAATGGTAAAATAACTAAATCATATATAGACAAATTGATAAAGTAGTTGTAGAATCATTTTCTGCATCACGATGTATATTAGTAAATTTATCGAGAGCAATAGTTACTCTTAGAAGATGTATTTCAGCTTCGACTACCCGGTTTGACAAATATTTAGAAGATGAAAGCACCTCGATAACCGAAGTACCTCTCCGTCGCCTTGCGGGAAGTCGCTTTCCAAATACTTCAGCGCATTGTTGCTTCAAAACATATATCATCATGCATATTTGAGTCTCGCCCACATCATAATTACAGCACGACATAACGACATTATTGATATTGTTACCACCAAATGGACTCTTCAAAGATTTTTTTTTAATCAAAGATAAATTCAAACCTATGTTTATTTGCTCTTGGTAACAAATTCGTTCTCTCTCTCTTTCTCTATCTAAATATACAAATAACGGATAAGTCAATCCGTCTCGAAACTTAAACTTTGTCGGGGCATCATTTTCCGGTGGCACATTCCTTCCGAACCCTAAAGAAGCAAAAATCGAACTGAAGACCTCGCACTTCTTATGAGGGCATACATGGTGTAAAATCTCTCGGATAACACCGTGATGCATGATGACTCAGTTGCCCTTTCCCTAATCACGAAGAGCAGTTTCTTGCGCCCTAACCTCTCAGCGGAAGCGTGCTCGTGTGGCAAACTCTTCTCTTATGCAATGCGTCGGTCACCGACCAACAAGCAGAATTTTCGAAAACTCCAACATTTCCAGTAGGATAAAGTATAATGCGAATCACATGTACTGAAGAAAAGGTCGATCCCACAGACAGTGAGCCCCACTTTGTTTGGACAAAAACATGGGGTGGGGGCGGTGGTGGTTCGCCTTGTGCGGAAAGTGCAGCTGGAGAGATTAGTGGACCACCTCGCAGCCTCGAATCACATTGTCAACCATATAATCTATACTGATCTTGGAGTTTATGCTGGTGGTGATTTGATTCATTGAAAAGGCCATGACCCCATTATTATCTTCATTTTAGCGGTTCCTAACACCTTCCAGAATCATGGATCATAACAGAGAGAGAGAGAGAGAGAGGGGGGGGGGGAAGAGGTGAAAGTATAGATTTGCACCGTCTGTTTTTTTCTTATTTTCGTATGAAAGTGAAAAGATGCTTACAGAAAATATAACAATAACCGGTCTAAAATAGAGCTATCATCCGTTTCAGGTTATCTATTTCTTTACCCATTGGATCGTGTTTTGATAGGAGCAAGTCGTATACGGTATCTTGACTATCGTATTCTCGTTAAGTCATCGGAATCCATAAGATGTATAGGCATTACGTGAGATGTTAAGCCATTTGGAGATAAGAAGATTAGATGAAGTTATTAAAATGAAGGTTGCCTAGGTATTTGAAGAAAGAAGTGTACGAAAATCAAGTGCAAATATCATTCGTCGGATTTCCTTTTGCCCTTCTCTTACCCTATCGAGGAGGTTAGTTGGATACTCTGTTCATGGAGAGGTTGTAAAAGAAATAGGAAAAAGGGTCCACGCAAAGGAAATCTACTCAAAAGAAAACTTTACAAATCCCATCTGACATTATTCCTCAACTTGTCGACTTTGAAAGATTAATTTTTTTAGTTATTTTTACTGTTAGCGTTAGTTGCTCCCCCACTCTCTCTGTCTCTCTGTCTCCACACGATAAGGATTCGTGCTAATTTAATTCGACGGATACTCAAATTTTATGCCTTAATCTCTCTGCTACTGCGGCAGTGTAAGAGTTCTCACCATTCCCAACTTCATTACCGCCTCTCTCTCTCTCTCTCTCTCTCCTCTCTCTCCCATCTTCTTCTTCTTCTTTCTGCTTCTCTTCATGCTCAGCCCCTGCTTTCTTCCAGCTCGTTGCTCTGTTTCTGGGACCTCCTCTGTTTTTCAGCTCGTTCATGCTTTTCCTTCTCGGTTTGAATCTTTACCTACTTGAAATACCTACTTGAACTTTAAATTTTACAATACCCATCCTTCGTCTCTGTCTGATCACCATTCTCTTCGCTTGATAATGCTCAAAGCTCTCATTTTTTTGTTTCTGGGTCTCCCCTGGTGATATCTTCCCACTCTAGGTTTTATCAAGTTCCAATATTGCTAATCCACCTATTGCATTCATTCACCGATTATCCGTGGGATTTTCTTTTGGCCAATAAACACGGATGCCCACCTTTTTTCCCTCAGATTCAGAGAATTCCTTTTCCTCTTTTTCTTTCTCTTCCTTTATCCTTGTATTGCTTTCTGATCTAATTCTTACATTATCTTGCGTTTTACCTTTTAAAAGAGCGAATATCTTCACGTCCTCAATCCCCTGTGGGTGGAAATCCCTGTCATCAGTCGTCCCACCTTCAAAAAACCGTTGCTTCCCTCTCTCTCTCTCTCTCTCTCAGAGTAGTGAGATACGGAGAGATATAATCAGCAGGAGTGTAGCTTTTTCATATTCCTCACTCTTTCATTGAGAACCCCTTATTTACTCAGGGGGATTGAAAAGAAAGAAATAATTTTGGGAAAAATAAGGAAAAGGATGGATTTTTCCAAGTGGGTTTTATGTTTGGGGCTGTTGGGTTGTTCCATTTTTGTTGTTCTCGTGGAGGGTCTTGGTGTGAACTGGGGCACGATGGCCACTCACGAGTTGCCCCCGAAGACAGTAGTGCAAATGTTGCAGGACAATGGGATCAAGAAGGTGAAGCTTTTCGATGCCGATCAGTCCACCTTGGGCGCCCTCGCGGGAACCAACATTGAGGTCATGGTCGCGATTCCGAACAACCAGCTCGCCGCCATGAACAGCTATGACCGGGCGAAGCAGTGGGTGCAGCGCAACGTCACCCGGTACAACTTCAATGGAGGAGTAAACATCAAGTAAGTTTGGTGTACGAGCTGGTGTGGTTTTTTCATTGCATAGTCTTCAAAAATCTTGGTCAATTTGGTTGATGGAGTGTGGTTTTACTAGGGGTTATTGATCCAATGAGCTTCTTGGTGCCTCTTGATTTAGACCAAATTGTTCAAAATTGCTCTGTCGCAAGGTTTGCATTATTGGAAGAATACGTTGTTAGCTTAGCTAATGCAGTAGTTTACAAGAAAAGAGCCTATTCGACAGTTCTTTATGATCAAAGTTGGTAGTTGTTGGGATCTGCTCGTCTGTTGACTTTCTGAATCTGTCTGAAATTAGTTGGCAGATAGAGTTGTTTATTTCTTGTGTATAAAGTTTGTTAATGCCTAAATCTGATGTTCAATCAATGCTTGTGTTGTCCCAAGATGTCATTAAAAGAAGAATCTGTAAGACTTGATTCTAAGGGAACTCGTCGGCATCTTCTTCTGGAGTTTAGTTCTCTATGTTTAAGTCGTAATTTCTTGCTGATTTGCAAATATTCAGCATTTACTGTTTCGACGGTGTCCGTCCTACATTACCAGTTTGTTCTTAGTTGCCTGAGTCCTTCTATGCGGGCAGACTGAAGATAGAAACATTTCAAAATAAACCCCCTGTGACATCTTTCTTCTAGTAAACCGGTACTTTGATCACGTAATTGCAGCCTTCTAATAGCATTGTGACTTAGTTTTAGGAACTCAAAATTTCTTCGCCATGGTTAGCTACGGAGTCAAACGGGAGTTAAGAACCAATACAAGCAAGCAACACATTGCTCTAGAAGTTGTGGATTCGTGACTCGCCTCTTGAGAAGTCACTACTATGTCCATCTCATAAAAGGTGGAATTTGTTCGTAAGTCGGACCAGAGGAAACTTCCCTTCATGATTTGGCAGGTGAGATGTGCGCAGTAGAAAGTAGCAATCAACGATCTTGGGTGATATGTCGTTAGTAGGTTAGAAACATCCGTCGATTAGATTAAACCGCGATACCTTTTTGGGAGCTGTAACAACCGCAGAGCGAAAAGGCCTTTTCTTTTCATCCCATACTCGTGCCTTGATATACTCCACACAGGACGGAATTGATTGAAGCAGAAGATTATGATGAAAAATTGACACTATAAAAAGAAATGAAGTGATTTCCTTAGTCTCCTGCGGTAACTGTTCTTCTCACAACTTCCTGAACGCTCTTGCTTTGTGCGGTAGATTGTTGTATTGCGGTGAAATTACATGGAACAGATTGACTGAAAATTTCTCAGTAGGGTGAGAATGTGAGTCACAATCTCGCAAATGCATGTATTTATGTCTAGTCAATATCTCACTCGGAACTTGCTGTTTCACAGAAGATGAAGTACTTTGTTCTTGTCACAGATATGTAGCAGTTGGAAATGAGCCATTTCTCTCATCCTACAACGGCTCATTCCTAAATGTCACCCTCCCAGCACTTCAGAACATCCAAAATGCCCTAAATGAGGCAGGGGTCGGGGACACTGTTAAGGCCACCGTACCGGTGAACGCTGATGTGTACAACTCCCCCGCCAGCAATCCCGTACCATCCGCCGGGAGGTTTAGGAGCGACATCAGCGATCTCATGACCCAAATTGTCGAGTTCCTAGCCAAGAACGGCGCGCCTCTCACTGTCAACATTTATCCATTCCTCAGTCTCTACGGTAACGACAACTTCCCCATCAACTACGCCTTCTTCGATGGGGCCACCCCAGTCGTGGACAATGGTATACAATACACGAACGTGTTCGATGCCAACTTTGATACTCTAGTATCGGCCCTTAAAGCAGTGGGCCTCGGGGACTTGACCCTCATGGTGGGTGAGGTGGGATGGCCTACAGATGGTGACAAGAATGCCAATATAGCTAATGCAGTTAGATTCTACAACGGGCTTATGCCGAGGCTCGCAGCCAATAAGGGGACCCCACTTCGGCCTGGTTACATTGAAGTATACCTTTTCGGCCTTATTGATGAGGATGCGAAGAGCATTGCCCCAGGAAGTTTCGAGCGGCATTGGGGAATATTCCGCTACGACGGGCAGCCCAAGTTCCCATTAGATCTATCTGGCCAGAATCAGGACAAGTTCCTTGTTGCCGCTAAGAATGTGGAGTATCTTCCTCAGCAGTGGTGCATGCTGAATCCTAATGTGAACGATCTGAGCAAACTCGGGACGAACATAAACTACGCTTGCACCTTTTCAGATTGCACAGCTCTAGGATATGGATCGTCGTGCAACAACTTAGATGCCAATGGCAATGCGTCATATGCGTTCAACATGTACTACCAGGCTCAGAATCAGAACCCTCTCAGCTGCAACTTTGAAGGCTTGGCCACTGTCACGACGCAGAATATATCGCAAGGCACGTGCGACTTTATCATCCAGATCGCTGCTTCCTCTTCATTGGGGCCTTCTTTGGTTGCTCTAGTGCTATCGATGGTATTTGCATTCCTTTTCCTATAACCTTTTGTCCTTGTAGATAACTCCCATGTATTATCTCTTATCTTTTGGTTTTCGATACTCTCTTGTATCCTCTTTTTTTTTTCCATTGCTGAACCTAAAAAAGTTACGGAGAGTTCATTTTTAGTTAAGATTAACAATGTGACGATAGTTCAATGATTGGATTGTGCATACTTTGAATTCGTATAGTTATTTCAGTGCATATATGTTTGACATGAACTCGGTAGGTCATAAATTTTGTATATATTCGCTCATTAATCAAGTGAAGCATCATGATTCACCAGGCGCAATCAGCCGAAAATGCCTGAGCTCCATTGTGTTAAGGATCTAACAGAGTAAAAGCAAGGCTTGTTAGGGCTGGGAATTGTCAACTTCATTACCATGACGATACGAATGTTGAACCTGCCCGATAATTATCGAATGTAATATGTGATTTCATTCGGCAGTATCCCAAGTTCGAGGTAGAGAACAGGCGAAAAATTCAAATGGATTTGTCTCGAAAACAGTTGGTTTAGATAGCTGAAGCCGTGGTTCGGAGCTACAAACTCAGAGGCTCCTCTCTAGACCGCCATCCATTCAGTGCTCTCTCAAAGCCAAAGCAATCACATTGAAAGAACGTAGCACAGGAGAATAGGAACAGCATTGCCGGACAAACGGAAGCAGACCAAGCAGAGAAGGCATCGCCAGGATTCGAAACCGGGATCGAGGCTTTAATGTCGTATTCGGAAAGCTTCACCCACCGGAAAGCTTAACCGCAGTCCTGGCATCATCCTAGAATCCACAAGATGGATATCTTGTCATTTTGAAGGAATGCCCCCCACACTGATCAGAACGTACAAGTCTGGCTCCCCGCGCCAGGACGCCCTTGCCCAAGCGAGGGTCGGCCGGGCCTCGCCTGTGGCAGGCGACGGCGGCCTCGCCCAGGTGAGGCCATCCAACCCCGCCACGGCCGGGGTGGCCGGTCACCGGAAAAAGGTTGAAGAAAGAAAAGAAAAGAAGGAAAAAAGAAAAAAAATCAGAAAAAAATAATTAAAAAATCAAAAAAATTAATTTTTATTAAAAATCGTCCACATCAATGCCGGCGGCGCCATGCCACCAACATCTGGCCAAAATTTGCTGGAAGGACTGAATTGGCACAAAGACAAAATATTTATGACTAAATTGGCACAAATGCAAAAGGTTTAGGACTTTTTCAACACTTTTCCCGGCCAACTTCTGCTTAATTATTCGGAGCGAAAGAGAGGCATATCTTGGACAAACACGAGCTTAAGTAGCCAATCACGCCACTTAATAAAACCAGAACATTTGTCTATGAGCCACTTTCAGTACCGCCTGAAGCAGCTAACAAGCAAGTTAACAATCCACAATTTCAATATCAGGTTGAATCGAAACCAAATCAGGAAGATTTAGATAACGGCTGTGTCGTGAACCGCCGACAGACAATAACTATAGCTTGATGAGCGGCTATTAACTACAGGGTAGTAACACAACTCGCGAAGAGTGGACTCTACTCTTTTTGCACAAAGTTTCTTGCATTGTGATTGATTCCATGCATCATATTTTACAAAACGAGCGAGGTAATATCTTAGACTGACTGGCTCAATTAGTTGAGTCCAATTTCATTATCGTCGATGTCCACTAGGTCGTTTCGCAGAAGCAAGGGCCCATTAATTTATAAGTGAGAGAGCCTTGGTCGCGTACACGTGTTTGGACTGCATGTAGCCTATAATGCTCCAGAAGAGAATTGGAAGAGGACCCGAAACGGGAGAAACATCGAACTTCCCTTTCATGTTCTTATTGGCAAGCCTCGAACTTTTCCAATGCGCGAATTCGTTTCGAGTTTCACCTGTGGTTAGGCATCAGATCACCGGCAAGCCAGCAAAATTTTCCAGTTTCTGAATTTCGCTTTGTGAAAGGAAATTTGCCAAGAATGACCTTGGGCCTGAAATTTTATGTTATGAATACACCTATACAAACTCTTGTTTTCAAATTCATTTTCGCTTTAGGAACCTTAAACCGAAACGAATTGGGCGAGGTTTGAAGTTTTTGGATGCACCGGGTGTACTGCCATCCAATGGATCGCAATAGCTAGAGTATTTGAGCAAATTCTTGCACCATCCTGAAGCATGGAATGATATATCGAAGTATTCGATAGGCCTCTCATATCAACATGATTTAAGAGCAGGGACATGCACCGATTTTGAATGCAATTTACACGATCCACTTAAGGGTTTTTTTTTTGTTTGGCCTAAAGATTAATGGTTGCCTTATTCTTCAATGTGGCAATTAAGTGACAGTGTGACAAACTGTGGCCTTGATTGTGAATATTTGGAGTGGTGAGGACTTCTCAATTGAAGAAGAAAACAACTCCCTACATGCTTGAGATCTAAGATTCGAGCACTTATGAATGATTGATGGAGGTTTCACACGTCTCTAAGTTTCCATCTTTGGATGCAACGCCCAATAATGACCAGCTTTCCCCTTTTCCTTTCTTGTCGTGTATATTCCCCACATCCATTGAACAAGTTGTGAGCTGTAAACCTTTCACTCCCATCTAAACAAAGCCACTTTATATGGATTATAGTATATATATATATACTATAATCTTTGACTAATCACCAGATCAAATCCAAATATGAGTGGTGACAAGGCAACTGCATCATCAACGGCACAATTTTCGCCCACAAACTTTACAATTGTAAAGGCACATTCAAAAAAGGAGAAGAAAAAACGAATAAGGATAGAAGTCGTAGTGAACATTTTTTCAAATAAGGACATGAAATGGCCAACTTAATCTCAAATAAGAGCCCGAGCTCATCGGCCGGCCAAGTCTTATGTCGGCATGTCCTCCGCCTTTCCCTTTCACCGCTTTTTCTTTAGCCATGTTGATGAGGGGGTCTTTGACTCTTGGTGTTGAGTGAGTGCGAAGAAGCATTCGCGTGACTCGTGACAATAAGTGTGATGAAGCATTGCATGTGCCTCGTGAGAAAACTCATCGAGACAGCATTTAGTGGGGGGGTGGAGATAAGGAACTTACCTAAAGAGCATGTCCTACAGAGCATGGAGACACGACCAGTCCTTTGGTGGTACATACATGATACAGATAGGGTATAGGGACAGGCAGTGGTACACCCCCTTTGGCTCCACACCATCTAACTTTCATCGATTCGGGGGGAAAATGAGGCCGATCGAGATCGCCGGTTTTCTCGCCGGCCGCTCGATGTCGCTCTATCCCCGTTCGGATATGGACTTCCCATACTTGGTATGTGAGATCGGTTCGCTCATAGTTGACTGGCGACTTGTGCCGAAATTGGAATTGTCTAAACCCAGTGGTATCTTGCGCTTTTGAGAGAGGAAATATTAAAGGGTGAAAATACCATCAAAATTCACAAACCGGTACCCTGTGCCGCATATACCCCGAACTAATGTTTGTGTCGCAAAAAAACCCAAATTAATACTCTCGTGGCAAATTTACCAAAATCTTTTAAGGCAAAATTGGAGCAAAAATTAAGGATTTTAAGAGATTATCAAAACGCGAGGGAGCTCTTAAGGGAAAACTAGCAGATTTCCCAATCTCGGTTCATTTTTCTTCAAACCTGGCTTCCCCATAACGACCTTATCTAGCAAACCCATTTATTTTAAATTTCCACGTTGGGTCCACGTAACATGCTAATTTCCATATAAGCAATTTAAGGAGGATTTTAAACGGAAGCTAATTGAGAATAAAATTATTGCGGGCGTACCGTTTTGTGATTTTTATAGTTTGGGGTAAATGTAGCAAGATGTACAAATTTAGAATTTTTGGTGACAGGAAAATTAGTTCAGGACAAATGCAACATGGATGTACTAATTTGAGATGTTGATGGTACTAAACCAGTATTAAAATGTGCAAACGTGAATTTAAGGAAGATGAAGGGAAATGGCGATTCGTATGAGAACCCATTGGTGTCTTGGTTTGGGAAAGAACAAAAATTGTGGCGACCCTTTTCAAATTGAATTCTTGACATTTATTTAAGCAAAATAAGAAAAAGAAGAAGAAGAAAATTTTGAAGGGGTGAATTTTTTTTTTTTTGGGTTCGAACACCCAACCTTTTGCGAGAGGAAGAGTGCCCTTTCCAGCAGCGCCACCCAGGCGGGTGGTATTGAAGGGGTGAATTTTACGAGGATATAAATGGCTAATTCCCAAAAAAAGCACAAACTTTATCTCGAGTGACAATGCTGGCCCGAACTTTTCTCCGTCTCATTAAAAATCACAAACTTTCACTTAAAATTCCAAATCTAGCCCGAACAATTTGAAAATTTCACATTACGGGGGTAAGATTTGGGACTCGAGTAAAAAGTTGGTGCTCTTTATCGAGATAAAAAAAAAGTTCGGATCACAATTGTCACTCAAGGTAAAGCCGATTTTTTTTTTCTTTTTTGGAATTAGCCCGGGATATAAATGGTAGGAAAGGGGGGACCAATGGAAGTGGCCTAATTGAAAATAACCACCACCACCAAAATCAGAGGACATGTCGGTCCAAACTTTAGTCGAGACGAGATGGACTCAAGGACTGTGAAAGAATGAAGAAGAAAAAGGTTGTGTGAATTTACGGGAATTGGGAAAGCAAAAACCCTACTCTCTTTTTCAGAGTTTTTTTTTCCTGACCATGGTATGTGATTTTCCTTTAATAACATCTTTATTCCCATTTTCCGAAAAAGAAAAAAGGCATCCAATTCGAGAAATTGATTAATCGAGCCAGCAACTTACCGGTAAGGAAGAGATCACGTTCCGAATAGGCAAGCTTTTCGAGCGCATGGTGTGGGAGAGAGGTTTCGAATGTCTCAATCAATTGGCTCCGTTTGTTTCGCAAGAAATCACCGATTGGGGAAAAGACTTTCCCAACTTTAATCATTTTTAGCCCTGCGAGAACATTTCTATTATTAACGACTATCCGTGCTCGAACTATTTAGACGATAATGAAAGTATTTTTCGTTGGCTCGCTTCCTAAGAGATACATATGATCGGAAATTAGAATTTTTTTTATCCAAATTATTGATTTCTCGCGAAACGAACGGAGCCAAATGAAATTCGGTGATACAACGACAAAAATTTATGTTAAAAATTTCGGAATCTCGAGCCGTTCGCGGAATTAGTGGGCAATTATTTCTACAATTTGACATATCCGATGTTGTCCGCTCGTTATGATTTTTTCTTGTCTCCAATCGACCTCGATGGGGACCTATATATACACATATATATATATGTATATATCACATAAAATTCAGAAAAAAATTATTGGATATGTATGATGGCAGCTATCATGTGCTGCCCTGCCCCTAAAGTCAATAGCCCCCCAACAACTCGAAGTGACCAATCCCTTTATGCAAATTTAATCGGTCCATCGTCGCCTAGCTTATCTTATTCTTCATTTTTATTATTTTTTATTTTCGTTATTGTCATTATCATCGTATATCGTTATCGTTTTGTGGGAATTTCCGATATTAAAAAAATAATAATGCTGATTTTTTTAATTTTGGAAAAAAAAATTGCTTCCCCGGCCAGAGACTTGGTCCCCGTTACGCGCTCTTGCACGAAATGCGACGTTCGAACGGGATGTGCCAACGTTGGCGGCTAAAGAAAGGGATCGATGTTCAATGTTTGTTCTGCATGTTTCTTTAATCACCGTTTTTATGATGAAACGTATTGTTTATGCAACTTTCTTCGGTCGGCGACATGCGCGCGTACCGCGTGGGGCATCCGGTTGCATCGAGTATGAGTGGCGAGTGTCACGGGAGCACTTGTTATCCGAAGCATTAATCGTGGGGGGCGGGTCATAATCGAATTCCTAATGAAACCTGAATCGTGTAAGCCGCGATTTTCCACTCTGGCGGGTGTGAATACTCCTATAGTCAAATCACCAGATTTTTCCAAATTACACGCTCCGATGTAACTCATCTTGACGTTTTCTACGGACGACCGTGTCCCATGCCTCGTGCTTGCACGGAATTACGCCGTTGAATGTGATGAGTTTGGCGTTTGAATACTATGTCAAAATGCCCACTTGCGCCCAACTCCCAACCAATTTGAACAGGAAAAAACAGAGCTAAATCTACGCGCACATATAGTTGAAGCAAGCGACGTGTCCAAGTATGCATTTCCTATTTTATCGTCGAGAAAAATGAAAAGTTTCCGGTTAAATAGAAAATATGTTTTGGAAAGCCGTGAAGAGGGATTGATGCGCCTGTAGATCACCGATCAGTACACCATCTTATTGTGTTCTTCGTTATCTTTTGCTTTTGTTGGGGTTATCGCACGTCAGTTGTGGAAGGGGATGGTGGTCATTTTATAAATGTAAGGGAAAGTTTCATCTTTTATGGAGTAAGAAAAGCTAAAGAACACCTCACATATCAGAGCTCGGTTGTCGACAAGTTTGGACCCAATAGTCATGCGGCCGCATGTAATTAGTTTATGAGATAGTTTTTGAGATGAGAGAGGCTAGGATCGCCCAACAACTCTCTCTATAGACATGGATCGCATGTCGACACGGATGACCTGGACCGAACGCAGGCGAATGGCACACGATCGCGCCTTGTTAACGCATATACTACGGTCGATAAAACGTTGATGCACGACGTGTTTTTGACGAGCCGAATGCCGAACACAGGATCCCCCGAACTGGTTTTCGTGCGCGAAACCCTCCGAACGCTCTACAGTACAACACGACAGAGTTCCGAGCTGAACTTTGAAATTCGAAATCGAGTCGGGACAAGAAGGGAGGACCGGTGTCGACCCCACAAGAACTCGTGCAAATTCCGATGCAGCCTCTGGAGCTCTCGGGGAGGGACGGAGAAATCAGACGGTAGTGTTCCTACGGTACGAGAAAGAGATAGAGAGAGAGAGAGAGAGAGAGAGAGGGACAGGGGACAGGAATCTCTTCAAAAACAGGGGAGGTCCAAAAAGTCATTGGTGGTGGTTCAGAACAGAGGAGGAGAAGACGATGAGAAAGCTCACGTGCATATGCTTCGTTCGCACTGCGACCTCCGTCGTCCTTATTTTAAAAGGATTAGAGATTCTCTCTTACTCTCTCTCTGTCCTCTCCCTTGGATGCCCATCAATCCATCATTAGAGCGGAGTTACGTGAGTTTTAGAATAATTTGCGCTAATTACGGGTCGTCGTCGTCATCAATCAAGGCTTTTTCCCTCATGGGGAGGAGGCCCCTCTCTGCTTTTTCCCTTTGCTGGTCACCCCCTCCCCTTGACCTTTTCTCTCTAAATTCAAAAGGCTGCATGCCCTGACTCGCTCCCTGTCTGCGCGCGTGTATTTCTCCCTCCTCACTCTTTTTGAGGGAGCTGGCTGGAAGGCCCAAAACGACGAGAGAGTGAGGAGAGGAGAGGCCAATGTCTCTTTCAAATTCCCCATTTGTGTTTCCCACTTCTCAGCTACGACTCTCTGAGTGCTTTCCTTTTCGTCCTTGCGGCGTGTGGAGAGCATCATGTGTCTGTTACCCGGACATCATCATCATCATCATCAACCGTCTAGCGCCCTTGCAATAATTGCAGTAAAGATCGCCCAACGTTTTCTCCCTCTTGGAGAGGAGCTTGATGGAGAAGATGAGGTCCTCGTTAAAGCGACCGGCCGTGAAATTTTGAATGGAAATTGCGGTTGCAGGTGGGAGGAAGGAGGGAGAGAGAGAGCGAGAGCATTAAAGGTCCTTCGGTTTGCATGTCCAGATTATTAATTGCTGGGGCACACATTTGACATTTGGTCAGGAATTGCCCAGCAACAATCGCACCTTAATTGATTCCAACCTCATATGTACTCTTTTGCCACACACCCAAAACCCCCAAAAAAACAAAGACTGTTGACAATGGAATGCAATGAAACCTAAGCCAAAGCCTCAACAAATCATCATTAAGAATTAATAACTAAATGAAGGGTCTTTTGCCACATTAAAGAGGACAACAAATATTTCCTATTTTTAACGTAGAAGAGTTTACCTAATCATCACCTAATCTAACCTGACTAAAGAAAAAAGTAAAACCTCACCTTCCTCTGGGTTTTCACCTTCTTCTCTCGCCGGAAGGAGAGAGGACGGACATGTTTGAATTCCTCATCTCCAGGACCTTCTTGTGGGAGTTGGAGTGCAAGTAGCTCACGAAGGTGGGGCTCTTGGCCGGCCGGTACTCCGGCAGCAGCCGACCCGACTTGTACCTCACCCCGCACGCGTTGCACAGCGTCTTCGGCCCCATTGGCCCCGCCCTCCACTGCGGCGTCCTCTGCGACAGACAGTGGGTGCACCTCCTCCCCGTCCCCTGCTGCCCCACTCCGCCGCCGCCACTCTCCTCCGACTGGTCTTCTTTGCTCTCCACCGCTTCCTCCTCTGCGTCGCATTGTGTGGGGCTACTTGCCATGTTGGTGGTTGTCTTGGGCTGTTCTTGTTCCTGCTTCTTGGGCTGTTCTAGTTCTTGCTTCTTGGGCTGAATGAGCTCGCTGTCGGCGAGCCAGTGGGACTGGTGGAGCAAGAGCGGGTCGGAGGAGTGGTTGGGCCAAGTGGGTATCATCAAGAACGGGTTGTTCTTGGTTTTGGCGGCTGCTATTCGCTTCCTCTTGCTCCTGGCCTTGCCTGTGACCACAATCTTGTGGAGTGATGACAAGTTGGTCGAGGAAGGCTTGTTGGGCGTTTTGGAGGGAACTGATGCTGAGGAAGGAGGCGGTAGTGTCTGGACTTGGAGGGTGTTTCCTTTGCTGGACAGGCAGTCCTCCACCAAAACTGACAGCCACTCCATGCTAACATCAGCTTCCTGAACGTTGCATAAATTAGCAGAAATAGTAAGACTAAAGACCCAGGGTGAGTCTAAAAATGCTGTCTTTTTAAGTGTTGCATCTGTCGCTACTTGAAAAACAGGGTTAGAGAGCACAGAGAAGATGAAACAGAGTAAGTGGGTTTTAGGTGAGCCCAACACGGTCCGAGTCCATGCATTACGGCCAAAACGGAAAAGAAAAAAACAGTAGATAATCTGAAGCAGAGCAAAGATTGTGCCGTTCTTTTTTAGCTCTCCATGGTTCTTGAAAGGTGACAAACTGTGGTGCGAAACAGAGAGAGACGGAGCAAAATGAGTGTACCGGCTTCTGGATGGAGAAGAGTTCGTCAAGACTGTTGCTTGCGAAGCCACCGAGCTTCGGCTGCGAGTCTCCGGGAACTGACACATTCCGGCAGAACTCCATGGGCGAGAGAAAACAGAGCAAAGGTACGTGAACTTGCAGAGAGAGGGAGAGGGAGAGAGACAGAGCAGGTAGGAAAGACAAGTCAAGTGCTCTAATGAGCTCCTTCAAAGCGAGAGAGAGAGAGAGAGAGGGACCCTTTTTAATCTTTTATGACCTCGATATCTGTCGGCAGATAGATAATGTTAAAGAAACGATGAAACTTCTTATTTTTTTCAAAAGTTAATAATCTTCATGACATTCATATGTTGGCTATGAAATACCTTTCTACCATATACCCTTCATTTTATCTGCATGTTGGATTCTATGGCTGCTTTTCTTGGTCCTTTTTTAAATTTAATCAGCTCCTCATCTTATTTTATCCATCTCATCACATAAAACTAGGTGCAATAATTCAAGGCACATCACTTGTTTGCAACCAGGTGCACTCCCTGCAGTTATAATTCAAGGAGCATGAAAATCCTATTATATACTGAAATTGCATTCCCCATGCACATGATTACACACTTGTTGCGTGAGTGAGATATATGCATGTACAGTTTTGATTTTTTGTGACTATAATAATAATTGCAAAAATAATGTCTCTCTCTCTCTCTCTCTGTCTTTCTATAATGGACGAGAGACTTTTTCGGGGCAGCTGTGCCAGTGTCCATCACTAGGGGCCACAAGGGCTTTGAGCATGCCCCAGAGCAACGGGGCATCTTCATTGCTGCTCCTCTCTCTCTCTCTCTCTCTCTCTCTCTAATCTATAAAGCAAAAGGGCCAAAAAAAAAATTAGAAAAGATGAAAACCCATTCATTGTAAAAATAAAAGTTAATTGAAAGAGAGAATGGATTTTAGGACCAGGGCCAAACCGACCAGGGTTTGAGCAGTGAGATGAGAAATGACCTGTAAGATTCTTGAAGTTCTCATAAAAAACAGAGGAGCTTCAAATACCCTGCAATCATAGTAAATGCCGCGCCTGACCCGGCGTGTCACAAGTTAGGGTTTAGGGGGCGAGTACGGACTGATCAGCCCGCATGATAAATTCCACTGGCTTGGTATGAGACTCGCTCTCTTTTTCATGATCGCAATCACCACATCGCTCAGTTCAAAATGCACATAAAATATTTGCAATTTGCATGTGCATGTCAAGCTAAGCTCTGTGTTGTTTTCATTTCTCAGGAGCTTTCGGTGCTGTCCAGGCACACTCATCTTTCAAAAAAAAAAAAAACCCAGTGACCATTGGCTGCATCCGAATAAATCTTGTGCTTCTAATGATTGATTTGGATGGACGAAATGAAAAAAAAAAAAAACCCGAGCTTTCACGATGGATTATTGAGAGATTTTCGCCGACGAAATTAGGCGACTGAGGAAAAGAAGGTGTCGGTCGGCTTATCCAGAGAGGGGACATAACACATGCGAGGCCAGGTTATGGAGGGTCTGACTTGATTGGAATTGGGGTCAGGAGGGGGTGCATGCATTGTTGCATATGCATGCAATTCAAAGGACTGAATTGAATTGAATTGAATTGAATTGAATGTGAGACAGTACTTTTCTTTTTTTAACGTTGGATCCAATTTTTCTTTGAGGGAAACTATTCACCAGCATTGACAGTTCTGTGGCGGTAAGTAAACCCGTGACAAGTATTACATCACTAACGAAGACCCTTTGGCAGTGAACCAGGAAAAAGACCCCTCCATCAATCACACACCCACATGCATATGCGTGCATATATACACCCATTTCAAATTCACTCGACGTCAGAGATGTCTTCAATCATTTTCTAATGCCAGTTGAGAAGAAAGAAATGAACTCTCACCACTGTTTCTTAGGAAGTATGCAATGTTGCTTTCTCATTCTAAGGTCTGAGATATCTTAAAATAGTGTTTTGGCCAAAATAATTGTGTAGCTCAGACCATACAAAGACAAGACATGAACAATCTAGGACCACGCTCATGATTGATCTAACCTTGACATGGATTTAGCTCACGGGGACAAAGGGTTAAAGAAAAACTAAACCAACCCGAGAATGTAGTCTGAGTTCAAAGCATTGTAAGGAACGAAGGGAATTGAACGTTAATGCATAGTAGACCACCGATATACATACATTGCCATGGTCTAGTAATGTTAGATTTTTTGGTTCTTTCCTTTTCTTCTTCTGATTGTCGTACATGATGCATCAATCGCCCACGAGTAAGACATACATAAACGGTGTTCCACATTTATGCGAAAGAACGGAATGCATATACGCTTATTTTTAGTATGGACGAAGCAAAAGAATGTACAAATGCCACCGCAAACTGTGTCAGGGCTCAAAAGATGGTCTACCAAGATACTGGCGCCACTCCTCTGGAGTGCCTTTCCTTACTCTCAACATCTTCACCGCTGCGCTCGTCAAGGGTATGGCGAGTATGTCAAAGTCTTTCGGAGCCTGAAACATCAGAAAAAATCATTTTTTTTTCCTTCTCTCTTTTCGCCATGAGACAACAGCAGGGAGGAGGGAGAGAGGAAGGATGCTGGTACAATGAAAATGGAATATTTTTTTCTTGATTCAGTTATTGCTATCGTCTAATTGTTATTACTTAATAGAGGTCAAGTGAAACGGAGACTTCTTGGTGCTAATCAGACATTTCAACGGTAGTTATTACCTTGGGGGTCTTGAGCAGCTTCATATTTGCTTCTTCTATTGTTTTTTGACCTTTCTTGGAATTGCATTTGGAACAGGCAGTTACCTGTCACACAAGCAGCATTTTTCAGCAGTGTCCTGGGATTCCTAGGAGCTCTTTCCCGGGAAGTACCGTTACTTAAGTTTCTAGCGAGTTTATCCCGTTATTGAGTCTTGTTTGTTGATCTGTATTGTGTTTGTGCTTCACAATGCTACTATGCAACCTCAACGAAAGTAAGATCTCCTTGGAGCCATCACCTGTGCTATTACTTTCTTACTAAACAATTCCCAGACAAAAATTTGGTGTAGGAACAAGGAAGATTTGAGATGCTGAACCCCAAAACAATACAGTAACACATTGTAAAAAGCGCAACCTGACTTCACAGCAAGTTTAGCAAGTGATTTTAGCAGAAGCCTGGAATTCTTGCACAATTCATCCACCAAGTGCAGGATGACACAATCTCCTCATAATCAATTTCTCTATTAGCTTCCTCCATTCACAAAAAACATATGGAAGACAAAAACTATCCTGCAGACAGAAAGCTGACATATTTTACATGTCCAAGGTTGGGCTAAAAACTACACAACCAATAATAAGAACATAATTCATCTCAATCAGGTACGAGGGTCTCCACGAAGCAAAGTTGGAGCACTCAATCTTCAAAGACATGCATATGAATAAAATTCTCTCTTGAGGCTACTATGCTAAAAGTAAAAAGTAGCGATGACTGGTTGGCAGAAAAGCAATTGAAGTGAATGGACCATAGAAATCATTATTAGATGCATCTCTAAAGCGCCAAATTATCGGTATAAAAAAAGGAATAATCTGCAATAGGAAACTGACTTATTTACGTTGCAATACCCTAAATCCACCAAAATCCTGGCAATGGAAAGCCGCATTAACCAACAGATTAAACAGAAAGTTGCACAGCTCTAGGGGATGCAAAGAGGAAATCTTACCAGGTTTTCCCACGTCCATTCTCCACCTCCTGAAATTGGAAGAACGTGGTCAATAGTTAAATTCTCACCTGAAGAGCAGTACCTACGAATGAGCAAAATATCACCGTTTAGCTCACAAATACTTGTGCAGGTAATAAAAATCTCCTCCATTGGTGATTCATTCAATGTCAATGTCACCACACCGTTTTTTAGGACAGGTGACAAACATTTCAATTCGTTCAAGTAACAAACAAATTAATGTTCTCGGAAGACAAGTCGGACAGTCATTCACAAGCCTCTAAATCTCGCTGAGAAGCCAGCATAGTACCAAACTCTTAAAGCCAGCAAAGCCTAGTATTATTTGAGAAACATAAGCATTTATCTACTGGATGGGATATCCAAAGGAGTTGGCTCAACGGCTCATTGCTCCTGTACAAAGGCAGAAAGAAAGACAATAGACAGACCTTCAACCACGGAGTGTATATACGTACACGATACACGACGTCAGAGCTTTCTAGAGGAAATACCGTCTAACAGGGCAAACAAAACTAAGCATCGAAAAAAAATATATCTGCTAATGAATTAGACAAGTAGAGTTTGATGATAATTGTTAACCAGCTGATTACTTACTGGCAAGTGTAACTGTCTCTGTACAGTATGTTCTTACGACTAAGGTTGCTTTTCACTCTCCTCCTCTTAACAACCTGCAGTAAATGTGGCACCTGGAGGGAAGCAGATGGGCATAGACGGTTAAGCAGAAACTGAAACAGAATTGATAAGATAAAAATCCTGATTAATGGCTCAGGAATGAGCAAGAAGAACATGAAATATTCATACAAAGGAGAAAGCAGCGGAAAATTTTTAAGAGCACTAATGCATACCCTTAAAACTGCTGGTATGTAAAATGATCCACTAGGAGAGTTCACTGTCTGATCATAATATTCTAGTACATCAGCCTGGAACAAATAGAAACCAAGGATATAAAATTGAAAGGAGTCTCCATTCTCGAATTTCTACCTAATTATCTAGTGATTAGATAACTAAATTGAATCTTTCAATATGTCAAGACCGCAAAAGACATAAGGCAATATTTTAATGTCAAAACTCAAAGCAGGGTTGTCGTGTTCGAAAGGAAATGTTTATGTTCCAACAGCTACATTTGTATACAATTCCAAGCTAATTTGCATCTGCCCATCTTTCCAAAATATGATCTTGTCATTCAAGAAATGCGGAGTGGTGGTCTCTTCTTTAACTTCCTCCAAAGGGAGATATTCCATTTTCCATTTTCTGCTTCTATTAGACTTCGATCTCCAAATAATGCAGACAAGCATGCTCTAATGACCTAATCGTTCAAAGAAGATAACTACCATGAACTAGTAAAAGTATGTGATCAGCCACTGTGGCCTTAACCTAGCAATTATACATCACTCTCAGAGAAGTCATTTTTATTACAACCTTCTCCATGAACTCCAAGCAAATCGCACGCCTCCAGCAAACGACATTGACTGGCCTGAAGTAGGATAACAACAATCAGAAAACCAATCAAACGAAAAACCAGAACATCCAGGACTAGAAAAAGAAGTAGAAAGAAACCCAAGAAAACCAAACTAACTACGACGTAGACAACCCATGCAATGGCCCAACAAGGTTTGCTTGAAGAATTCATTAACATATGAAAGCCAGCAAACCAAAGGAAATAGCAACAGTTGCTTTTTCCCTTGATCCAAATGCTAATCACTGAAAACTGGAACGGGGAGGCATAGATTCATAAAGATAATGCCTAAGCTATTTAAGCTTGAACAGAGAGAATTATGGTCACTACATGAAGCAAAGGACGAGTACGACAAGATCAACCAACTAACCTGTAAGAAAGATCCAAGACCAGACCTCTGAAGCACGCCAACTCGTCGTCGTACTCGTCGTCCTCTCCATGCACACCTTCCTCGCTGTGTTTATTAGCACTTCGCGCGTGCGCTCTCGCGTTTCGCCGCCAAGGACCGTGCTCGGCCGAGGAATCAAAAAATCCGAGCCTCCGCTTGCGCACATGGACTGATCCGAGCCTAAAACGACATGGGTCCTTCGATCCTTGCCTAAACGAGCGACCTTCGCCATTGAAGAGCAGCTTCATGGTTCCTTGAGCTGTGAACTGGGCCATCCACTCCAACTGCTTCTCACTTCCAACTGCCAACACTCTCCTCTTTATTCAATTCAACACTTTCTTTAGCACTCGCGAGTAATTCGTTTCTCTATTTATCCACGCGAGATCTTATGGGCCTGCACGGAACATTTGATGAAGCTTATGAAGCAACAGTCTTGATTTTTTGTCCTGGGTGTTTCGGAGCGTGAGAGAAAGAAATGAGAAAAGAACACTTTTTTTCACGGAAGAAACCGTTGCCACATAAATTGTTCGCAGATTCCTTCGTCCCCCTCCGAATATCTCTTCCTCCTCCTTCTCCCTGAGTCCTTGCCTTGTCGGATTGACCAACCCATCTTCCACATCTCCAAGGAAGGAGTCATTGCCAGCCCAATTCGAACCCATTTTGGACCTTTCGGCCTCAACGTGGTCATCTGGGCTCTGTACAGCTCACGAGAAGATGGGCAGTCTACGTCTCTACAGCGTACTCTTCTCTTTTTCAGTTGGATGAAAAGTCTAGTTGTAACTTTCTGTTGTTTTGTATTTTATGTTGTGAGCCATCACAGCTTAACCATATTCGAAATTTGTTATAAGTGTGCATAACCCAACTTTTTGGAAACATGTTGCGATAGAATTACGATCAAATAACATGTCTCCAGACACTACTATGAATCAACAACTCATTATTCAAGAGGCACCTATCATACGTATTTTCATTTGATCATAACCACATCAATGCCTAGTTCAACATCAAGCTTGCTATCATCTAGCTGTGGTTCACTTTCTAGGTTGAGTAATTCCTCAATCGCACCATTCGCATTCCAATCCAGTTATACAACATGCTTTTCATTTTCAATCACCTAACATTCCTACGGGTTGTCGCATATATCTTCAGATAAATTACTCACAAATAGTTCATATCATATTGTAATATTTAAGCTCAATATGAGCAACCTTAATGCTCAAGGTGTGTATTGAGTAAATGGGTTGTGATTTCTCCAATTCATTCTAACATTTAAGCTTAATATTAAGCAAGTACATTACATAAGGCCAAAAAACGGAACCTAGTTACATTACAAGAGAGGGAGGAGTGTGATTGCCCAGCCAGGGCAAAATCCCATTTCATTGAACAGGTCAACCCCGAACCTAGCCCCTTACAGAATCAAATGACGAATCCCCCGTTGACTCTCATCACCTGACCGTTGACCCACTCTCCGGCATCACTCGCCAAGAACCCCACCGCCTCCGCCACGTCCTTCCCCTCCCCGAGCCGCCCCAGTGGACAGGCGTCCACCAGCCTCTGCACCATCTCCTCCGTCTTCCCGGAGAAGAACAGCTCCGTCGCTACGGGCCCCGGCGCGACGCAGTTGGCCGTGATCCCTGTCCCCTTCAGCTCCTTCGCCGCGATTTTCGTCATCGTCTCCACCGCCGCCTTCGACGCTGCGTAGGCTGAGTACCCGGGGAACAGGCCCCCGACGACCGACGTCGTCACCATCACGATCCTCCCCCCACCGCCGCGCCTCAGCCGGTTCGTAGCCTCCCGGCACCCGAGGAACGCGCCCCGCGCGTTGACCTTGAAGGTCGAGTCCCAGTCCTCCACCGTCGTGTCGGCGAGGCTGGGGTACTTGGGGTCCATGACGCCGGCGCAGTTGACAAAGACGTGGGCAGGGCACCTGAACGCGCGCTCGGCCTCGTCGAAGAGGTGCTTGACCTGATCGGGATCGGAGATGTCGGCTTTGACGGCGATGGCGCGCGGAGGGGCGGACGGATCGGAGCCGGACGAGCTGAGCTCGGCGGCGACAGCGTCGGCTTGGGCCGAGCTGGAGGCGTAGTTGATGACGAGCAGAGCGCCGAGGGAGCGGAGGTGGGAGGCGATCGCGCGGCCGATGCCGCGGGATCCGCCGGTGACGATGGCGACGCGGCCGTCGAGGGGAAGCGGAGGGGGGCTGGCCGTGTCGGCGTTGATTCCTGTGGCCATTGCACGGAGAGACAGAGAGAGAGAGAGAGAGATTGAGGGAGCGGTGATGGGCTCCGATGAACAAGATCAGCTCGGTGTGCAGCGTTGCAGATCAGATGGCGGGACGAGACATCCAAGGACACTATTTAAAGGGGTCGAAGAAGAAGAAGATGAAGAAGAAGATGAAGAAGCGAAGTGTGAATTCGACAACTGCAGCGTGCGCACGTCATTACGTCAATCATTCATACTTTTATTAAGTGCGTACTTTAAAAAAGGATTAACCTAAGTTCATCGTTCAGATGATGATGTCATGTCTGATGGCATGGTGCAATTTACTCTTTGTTTATGCGGAACACCACCAAATGGGTGCTAAATTACAAACCATAGTGAAGAGTTAACGCGATTTAATTACTGATTAGTCGAAACTAAGCAATCATGTTACGAATCTATAGTATGATAAATATGATAAAAAGTACTTGTCCTCATTGAAACTTTGCTGCTAATGTAATAGAAAAAAAAATTATACATTTTTCAGAGATTCGCGTATACTTGTTAGTATGAAATGTGTTGCATATTTTTTTTTTGGTCATGTAATCAGTTGCTATGTTGATATTGATTATGTTGAGGATTGAAAATTACTTGTGCTGTCCTATTTGAAACTTTACTAATCCTATGAAAAACTTGCTAGCCATTATGTGAAAAAACTACTAACTACCAAAATAAGGTTACTAGCTTTATTAGTACAATGAAGGTTACACCTACCGATCACTTGAAAAAATTGATGGGTTTTTCCGGTACATATTTATTTTTCTGGTTAAGTATAGTTTTAAACCTCTAAGTTTCAGCGTCCGTACAATATTGATCCTCTAATAATATTTTGTTTAATTAAGTCATTTAATTTTCTTGATTTATACAATTTAGTTCTCTAAGTTTTAATTGATACAATCAATTCCTCTAACTGTCTTGATTTGTGCAATCGAATCTTTCTGTCGATTCGCTCTCACTAAACCACGGCATTGTCATTGTGGCATAAAATCTCGCACAATGATAAGGTGATGCCAAATTAGGGAAAAACTAGCAAGGATGAAAAGAAAAAAGAAACGGTAAACTGATAATGTCACACAATTTTTGGGTGTTTCAGAGCGTGAGAGAAAGAAAATATAAAGCGGTTACAAAGCGCCACGTCAAAAGCCGACATGGCGAGCATGTTTTATTCTCATCCATTTGTAAATACTAAATAGACACGTGGCTACTAATGTGTATTAAAAAATGACGTGGAATTCTTCTTATCTTCCTTCTTCAACAGCGGACTCCTCCTTAATCCGGGCTTCTGTGGACAACGGTCGTAGGCATGGACAGCAGCGGTCGGCATGGATGGCAGCTCATCTACTGACGACGGTGGCTCATCCACAACGTTGCCTACAAATCTGGACAGCGGCTCGTCACAGATCTGAAGACGTGAAGGAGCGATGGCCACCCTCCCTATGCGTCTTCAAATCTGTGACGAGCACGAACAGAGGAAGCGCTCCTTTCAGATCTAGAGGAGCCCCAGATTTGGAGCCATAGCTGCGAGCAACACTGCTTGTTCACAGATTCTAGATTTGGAGCTCGTCATGGTAGTGAGCCTTGACCGTGAGGTCCACGTCGGTAGCAATAGCGGAGGTAGGCGCCGGTTACTTCGCACGGCCGGGCTCAAGGTGGCTACAGTGGCGGATGGAGGAGGAAGAGAGAAGTGGATCGAGATTTTTAATTATTTTTTTAATCTAAGTCCACGTCAGTATATATTTGTCAATTTTTAATTGGTTCGGAGTAAATAAATACATGCCACCTCAGCTGGTGACATGGTACTTGCAAACCACTGAATATTTTCTCCAATTCAAATCTACTTTTGACTTTTTTGCCTCAACATGGTCGCTCTCTAGCTTATGAGAAGATGGGCAATCTACGTCTCTCCAATGTATTTGTGTTGTGAGCTATTGTAACTTATGGATAATGCACATATTCTAATTGCAACATATAAAAACTAGGGAAATTTTCAAATAAGGGCATAAAATGAAGCCATTTTTTCAAAAAAAGGATTATGAGTAAATCTTCTATCAAATAAGAATATGAAGTAGCCAAATCATCTTAAATAGGGATCTAAAGTGATCAAATTGTCTCGAATAATTTGGTCGGCCGGCGAGCTTGTGACTATTCTGGCCGTTGGAGAAGGGGTATTTTAGTCAAAAAATTCTAGGTATTTATTATTTTAATTTTTATTTATTTTTCCATTTTCTTTTTTGTGACAGGGAGGGAAAGTCAAAAAAATTCAAAGTATATATATACTTTGAATTTTTTTTTTACTAAAATACCCCTTCTCCAACAACCTAATAGTCATATGCTCACCTATTGCCAAAGGCCTTTATTTGATACGATTTGGAACTTCACGCCCTTATTCGGCATAATATCCACTCCAAACCTTTTTTTTTTTTTTTTGAAAATGGCTCCATTTCGGGATTTTATTTGAAATTTTCCTTAAAAAACCGAGTGAGGTAACTTCCTTGACACTACTGCAACACTTGAGCCGATGTAGCTTTGTAGTGTTTTCCCCAATCACCTTAAAAAATACCGTTACATCCATGTCCTTGCCAAAACTACGCTATACAACTTATTTGTGATCGAGTCATAACTCGCCCCACCACCCCTGACAATGGCATACGGAGACGTTTTGAGTTCATTAAGTTCGTCTTCTCCAATAAAGGGTTTATGGCGTATTTCTGAACACTCCCCCTCACGCAATACATGTTTTGGTACATAACCAATTAACGAGATTGCCGGTGGACAGAACCAATTAACCTGGCAATGCGATGTGCATTTAGACCGCATTAGACAAACCGTGTTCTTAAAAAGCTCAAGGTATCAAGAAACGGCCCAACATCGTAATGATAGCATATTCCTCGACGGCCTACTTGAGTTGGTCTCAAGAGGTTACTTTAGTACAGGAATTGGACCACAATGACATGATTCTTGCCAATAAGATCCCGAGTCCCGATTAATCCGAAAAATGCCTTAATTTGGAGGCAAGGATACAAGATAAGGTAAACAATGATCATAGATGAGGCTAATTTTGCCAACACAAGGAAACCATTCTCCTTAGTAGAAGTATGCATAACCTAACATTTTGCTAATTCTTGCGATGGATTTACAATCAAATAACATGTCTCTAGCTACTGCGTGTGAATCACCGACTCGTTATTCAAGAGGCATTCATCATACGTATTTTCATTTTAACATAACCTTATCAATGTCTAGTTCGACATCAAGCTTGCCAACGTCTAGCGCTCTAATTCTCTTTCTAGATTGAGTAATCTCTCAATCACACCATTCGCATTCCAATATGACGTTCACAACATGGTTTCCATTTTCAATTGCCTACCACCCTTAATGCAAAGATCATCACATAGAATATTCGAAAAGAGTTCATATCATATTGTAGAAAAATGGATCAATATATCTATGATAAGCTAATATTTAAGCTTAATATGAGCAACCTTAATGCTCAAGGTGTGTGGCGTCAATGGGTTGTAATTTCTCCGATTCAATCAAATATACTTAATATTAAAGGGATAAGTGCATTCAAAGTCCTAAAACTTGTCACGAAAGTGCAATTAAGTCCTAAAACTTTCATAATGTGCAATTAAGTCCTAAAACTTGTAGGAAAGTGCAATTGAGTCCTAAAACTTTCAAAAAGTGCAACAAGTCCTAAAACTTGTCACGAAAGTGCAAATAAGTCCTAAAACTTATCGAGATTAGTTCAATCAAGTCCTTTCATTGATTGCACTTTTTGAAAGTTTTAGGACTTAATTGCACCTTCGTGATAAGTTTTAGGACTTGATTGCACTTTTTTGAAAGTTTTAAGATTTGATTGTACTTTCGTGACAAGTTTTAGACTTAATCGCATTTTTGAAAGTTTTAGATGCACTCAATTGCACTTTCCTAACAACCACGTTACAATCGGCCAAAAAAAGGAACCTAGTTACATTACAAGAGAGAAAGGTGCGGGATTGCGCAGCCAGAGCAAAATCGCATTTCATCAAAAAGGTCACCTAGCCCTTAACAGAATCAAATGACGAATCCCCCGTTGACTCTAATCACCTGACCGTTGACCCACTCTCCGGCATCGCTCGCCAAGAACCCCACCACCTCCGCCACGTCCTTCCCCTCCCCGAGCCGCCCCAGCGGACACGCATCCACCACCCTCTTCACCATCTCCTCCGTCGTCCCGGCGAAGAACAGCTCTGTCGCTACGGGTCCCGGTGCGACGCAGTTGGCCGTGATCCCTGTCCCCTTCAGCTCCTTCGCCGCGATTTTCGTCATCGTCTCCACCGCCGCCTTCGATGCCGTGTAGGCTGAGTACCCGGGGAGCAGGCCCCCGACAAGCGATGTTGTCACCATCACGATCCTCCCCCCTCCGCCGCACCTCAGCCGGTTCGCAGCCTCCCGGCACCTGAGGAACGCACCCCGTGCGTTGACCTTGAAGGTCGAGTCCCAGTCCTCCACCGTTGTGTCGGCGAGGCTGGGGTATTTGGGGTCCGCGACACCGGCACAGTTGACAAAGATGTGGGCCGGTGACCCGAATGCGCGCTCAGCCTCGTCGAAGAGGTGCTTGACCTGATCAGGCTCGGAGATGTCGGCTTTGACGGCGGTAGCGCGTGGAGGTACAGACGGATCGGAGTCAGACGAGTTGAGCTCGGCCGCAACGGCATCGGCTTGGGCCGAGCTGGAGGCGTAGTTGATGACGACCCGAGCGCCGAGGGAGCAGAGGTGTGAGGCGATCGTGCGGCCGATGCCTCGGGATCCACTGGAGGACGACGGTGTCGGCGTGACCGCGGCCGCCAGAAAGGGAAGCAAAGGGGACGAGTGGTGATGGAAATATCAACGAGCATCGGTAAACAACGTTGAATCAGATGCGGGACGAGACATCAAGGAGACTTTTTAGAGGGTTCGAAGAAGAAGAAGCAGCGTTGTTAAGAATTATTCGTGCCCCACAACGTCAATCATGATACTTGTATTGGCAAAAAGTTCTTCAAATGATGATGTCAAGTCTGATACAGCTTACAGTAAGTACTATCTGTGACGATTAGTGACTAGTGACTACGCCATGGTGAAATCTACTCATGTTTTTTTCTAAGGAGTCTACTCAATGTAACAATTATAAAAATGGCTGTACATCTCTAGGAAGAAATGAGAAATTGTTGTTCTTAATGAACAAAACGTTGAAAAAAATTTATACGTTGGACAAACACAACCTTTTTAATGTGGAGAAGTTATGTACAAACATACAGGACTTTCCAAAGGTTAAGAAGTTATGTCCGAATAGACACAACCTTCCGAAGGCTGTAAAGCGCATATAACCGTTAGGCAAAATATAATAAATTGAAATTAAATTATTAAAATATAACCGCCACTCTATTGCGAACAATCACATCATGTTTCAATATGACAAAACGGTTATTTTATAATAATAAATTCGAAATTTAATAAATAAATAAAAATAATCGTTGATTAGTACCAAATCTCGTCCATGTGCACACTCACATCCTTTCGACGTGGGACAAGACACCTCGTTGTTTGTTTTACAAACAAACAACCAACAGACTGACCGTGTCGGCGTTGCTTCCTGTGGCCATTGCACAGAGACGGGAACAGAGAGATTAAGCGAGTGGTGATGGGCTCCGATTAACAAGACCAGCTCGGTGTGCAGCGTTGCAGATCAGATGGCGGGACGAGACATCCAAGGAGACTATTTAATTCTTCTTCTTCTTCTTCTTCTTCTTTCGAAAGTCCTGTATGTTTGTACATAACTTCTCTGTTTGTCCAAAGAAGAAGAAGAAGCATCGTGCGCACGTCATTACGTCAATCATGCATACTTGTATTTCGGCAAGCAAGTTCTTCAAATGATGATGTCATGTCTGATCTACCGGCTTACGAGTAACTACTATCTATGACGATTAGTGACTAGTGACTACGCGCATGGTGAAATTTACTCTTTGTTTAACTACTGATTAGTTGAAAGTAACCATGTTGCGAATCTTTAGCATGTAAATATGATAAAAAGTACTTGTCCTCGTTGAAACTACTCTGCTCGTGTAATGGAAAAAAAATTATATATTTTTCAGAGGATCGCGTGTACTTCTCAATACGAAATAAGTTGCCTATCTAACGGTCATCTTTTAAAGTTACATGTCATATAATCAGTTGGTATGTTGATATTGATTATGTTGAGGGTTGAAAATTACCTGTGCTGTCCTATTAGAAACTTACTAATCCTGTGAAAAACTTGCCAGCCAATAGGTGAAAAACTACTAACTACAAAAATGAGGTTACTAGCTTTATGATACGGTTAAGGCTATTTGTGGTGAATAAATTGTCAAAATGGGTTATAGACCCATTTCTTAACACATATTTGATAACTCATATTTGATGGACTGAGTTATTATATGGGTTCATTAAATGGATTATAAAAAGGATTTAGAATGGCCGAGCCCAAAAAAATATGGGTGTTAAATGGGTTTACTATTTACCATAAATTCAACCCGTTTTTGCGACTCTCTCTTCATCCTCTGAAAAAATAATGAATTTCTCAGACTGTTTCAAATTCAAAGAAGTCTTAAAGTTCGCATAAGTGGATGGCATTATTCTTAACCATTTTGTGAATTTGAAATGTTTATTTATTTTTTATTTTATCTATGTCCTAAAAAACAATTTCTAAATATTTGAAGGCATTTAGCAACTACCCAAAAATTCTATTCTTAGAATAGAAAAAGAACAGAAATGCGTTTGGTAACTACACAAAATTTCTTTTTATTAATAATATTTTGAATATTTTAAATTTCTATTCTTTCTTTTTTTTTTTCTTCCCTAAATCCCATTACTCAAATGGCCCAAGATATTCTGGCAAGGCCTCAAATTTAGCATTTTTATCATTTTATCCTCTTTGGCCTTGGCTTAAATTTGCCAAAGTGGGTGGCCTAGGTTTAAGCATTTTGTAGAAGAAGAACAACAAACCAAGAAGGAAGAAAAAAATCAAGAAAAATCAGAAATGGAAAAATCGTTCCAATAAAAAAGCTACTTTTTTGCTTCGATTCTGTTCCAAACTGATTTTAGGAACAATTTTTTCCAAACTTGTGCTCGGAACAAAAAATTAAACAAACGAATTTCTTCAAACTAATTCTAGAACAAAAGAATAGAAATTTTCACCGTTTGGCAAGAACTTGCAAACGGCCCTTAGTGGGCTCGTAAGATGAGTTCGACTTCACTTTTATTAAAAATATCAAGACGGCTTCTTTTTTCCCATTTTTATTTTTTTTTTATTTTTATTATTAATCTTGTAAGTTTTGTTTGTTAGTAATTGGAGTATATCTTTCCTTTATTGCATTTGACACTGTTATTTTTAGGTAATATTCTAGTTTTAGTTCTTGTCATTGCAATCCATGTTCAGCATAAGTCATCTTCTTCGATATCTTACATTCCGTTTAATTAAAATTTCAATTCCTCCACATTATTTGTAGCTTTAATTTTATAAATTCACTATCAAGTATTAACTATCTCTTATTTTTCATTGTGAATCAATATAAGAATTGAAAATTCTATGCAATGTTGAAAGCCAATTATTTAGCATCTTACAGTTGAACTAGCGATTTTGTCCAAATAAAATATATACATAGAGAGCTTAAAGTGGGTTAACTAAGTTAATACAAATTTCCATAGATTGGATTAAATAAATATTTTAATAAGCGGGTTGGGTAAGTGTTAGACGAGTATAGGTCACTACATTGCATTGCATATAAATTTGTCGATTTGGGTGGGATCATTTTTCAACCTAATCTAAACCCGATCCGATCTACCCATTTGACGCCTTAGTCATGATTGAAATCTACTAATCACTTGAAAGAATTGATGGGTTTCTCCGGTACATGTATACTTTTTGGGTTAAGCATAGTTTTAACCCTCTAAGTTTCTGCATTTGTACAATATGACCCTCTAACATTATTTTGTTCAATTAAGCACTCTAACTTTCTTGATTTGTGCACTTTGGTTCTCTAAGTTTTAATTTATACAGTCAAGTCCTCTAACTTTCTCAATTTGTACTATCGAATCTTTCAATTAATTCACTCTCATTAAACCTCGGTATTGTCATTGTGGCATGAAATGTCACCCAATGCTAAGGTGACGCCAAACTGGGAAAAAACAAGCTAGGATGAAAAGGAAAACGAAACGGTTTGATACCGTTAGTTGCAATCAGTAAGCGAAGCACTTGATTGCATAAATTAAGAATGTTAGTGAGCTTGAATAAGAAAAAAAAATTGTAGAGGGCCAAGTCGCGCAAATTAAGAAAAAAGACTTGATCGAACAAAATAAAAGTTAAAAGACCAAATGGCACAAATGCTAAAACTTAGAGGACCGGAACTTCTCTTAACTCTCGCACTTTTAGATAAATACCGCAATAGTTTATTGAACGTTGTAAAAAAAAGGACCTATATATTCGATAATTTTAGCTTGTTAGGTGCTTAATAGAATAAGTTGTAAAATACTCAGTAGATAAAATTTAATAGGGCTTTTTAGTAAAACCTCGTATTGCTCTAATCTTAAAGGTTGGAATTATCCAAAATTCATAGTGACATTTTTATGTCGGAAAGGAAAAATAGGGCATTTTAATGGAACTCCGTGAAATAAATCTTAGGAATAACTGCCACCTCGGTCGTTGATGTGCAGGAACCATCAAAACGACGTCGTTTCGCCCCGTTCCCTCTCCCTCGCTTGGAACTGTGTCAATCCTACAGAGGTAGAGAGCCGACCCAGAAACCCTAGAATCCCCAATTTCTCGATCGCGAAGCAGCGAGGGACAAAACAATGGCAATCGCGAGAACCGGAGTCTACATCGACGACTATTTCGAATGTAAGCTCGTCGTCTTTCGCCAATTTCGCGATTCTCCTTTCTTGATCGGTCTTCGTTCGACCTGAATTTGTGGGGGTTTCTCTTTTGCCTCGAATTTGAAATAGATGCGAGCACATTGCCAGCCGAGCTCCAGAGGCTCCTCAATACAATCAGAGAACTCGATGATCGATCCCAATGTAGGTGTCCTTTCTCGGTATTCTTTGATTTATACTTGCGAAATCGTATGATGGTATGTTGGAATTCGTGATTGAGGGTGGAAAGGTTGGGTTTTTTCTTTTTTGTTTTTGTTTTGTTGATCGTGGTTGTTGAATTGTTGGGTGTGAAGCCATGATAAACCAGACTGGCCAGCAGACCAAGTACTGCGTGGGGTTATCGAAACAGAGCTCTAGAAAAGGGAACTACAATGCTTACAGCAGTAGCTACAACAATGACGATGAAGAGACCGAAATCGAGAAAATGCGTAAAGATATAGAGGCCAATCAGGACAGCGCGTTGAGTTTGTGTACCGAGAAGGTGTTGCTGGCGCGGCAAGCATATGACCTCGTAAGCTTTGACCTCAATTCGTCAAATCGGACTTTAATCGTCTTTCTTCCGTGATATTTGCGCATGAGTTGTCATATAAATGATAAGATTGTGCCTTTAAGATTTCTAGTTCTGGCTTGTTTTCGCAAACTTTCTTTTATCTCATTTTTCAGTTCACGCTCCAAAATTTTGAGAAAAAAATCTCTTATTTACAGCTACCTAAGACAAAAATTTCCTAATAGGAAATGAGGATAAGGATCGTTTTATAGAGAAGTGAATCGCAAGTGGAAGCAAAAACTGACAAAATCGACATCATCTCTAACTCTTGGGAAAAAAAAATGTTTTGTTTAACAGCTTCCACATATCTTTTCACGAGGATAGAGTATCTGCTGAACTCTATTCTTCATCTGCAAAGCAAAGGTAAACTAACTCAAGGAACTCATTGCATGGCATGAGCTTTCATTGATCTAGGATCAATTATTAGATGTAAACTTCAAGTAAGAGAATATTGGAAAACCGCTTAAGAATGATCTTGGGTTCTTTAAATTAGTTACAGTGGATGTCTCGTTCTCGAACGAGGCTGAGGAGATGGATATTGATGTGGTTTCCTTTTGGCATTCTATCAGATAGATAGCCACATTAAACGACTCGATGAGGATTTAAAGAACTTTGCAGAAGATCTCAAGCAAGGTACAGGATATTTCCTCTAGCGCTGCAAGGTTGATACTCGTTACTTTGAGTTAGGCATGTGGACTAGGCAGTGTTGTCTCCAACAAGTTTTGGCTTGCTAGTTCCTTATTTGTTATTGTCTGTGGATTTATTTGGTAGATTTGTTCAACTTATTTGTGAGCACTTTGGTTACGGACTGATAAATACTTTTATATACCCTGTCAAATGGAGCTCAATCTATGAGACCAGACTAATCCTCAAAATCTTGTGTTTGGAGGATTGGAAAAAGCAGGAAAAAAATCCTTGCTTTGGCTTAAATTGGTTAAAAGCATTTGGAATTAGTTAATTCCAGCTTTTATGATGTTTGAAGGGCCCTATCACATTTTTTTGTTTTTTCTTTTGTGACTTTGTGCAGGTGCCCAGGTGCTGTGTTTGTGTTTGTGTGTGTGTGTGTGTGTGTGTGTGTGAGAGAGAGAGAGAGAGAGAGAGAGAGAGAGAGAGAGAGAGAGCTAATGGAGTGGTGGATCATTACATGGCAGTTGTCATGTCAATTCTCGACTACCTCGTGGTCCATTATTACATAAACAAAGTCCATTTTGATGAGGGGCATGGATTTTGAAGGACATGCATGTGTAAGTATGTGCTTGCACTTGTGCCCGTTGTGTGCTATAGCATCAAGAAGAAGAAAAGAAGCAACGCATGTATGATCTTAGTCAATGGTACTGCAGTTCTCTGCTTGATATGGGTGATAAAAGTGTGTGCCTGAAATTTCTGTATCATAAAGTTTTCATCTTCTTGTAGCTAATTTGCTTATGCTTGTTTGTTTCTTCTGTTTTTCCCTTTTATGACACAAACAGAAGGGAAAATACCTCCAGATGAGCCAGCAGTTCTTCCCCCATTGCCTTTAATTCCTAAAAGTGACAAGCGCAAGCCCCTATATTTAACGCCTCAATCATTCAAGAGGCCTGATTACAGGGGGGACTGGGACCGCGAGCGGGACAGAGATTTTGAACTCATGCCTCCTCCAGGAAGTCATAGAAGGGACTTTGCTGCCCCAGATGTTGATCAACCCATTGATCCAGATGAGCCCACCTATTGTGTCTGTCATCAGGTCCTCGAGTTTTTCACCCTTCTCTAAAATGTGGAAGTTACCTTTAATTTGAAGTGCGACTGCACTATGCTGTGATGGCTTTTATAGCTTTGGTATATAACCAATTGAATCATTGTGACTGCTAGGTGTCATTTGGAGACATGATTGCCTGCGACAACGAAAACGTGAGACCTTTTTTACGAGACAGTTCTTTTTCCTTGAAGTTTTACTTTCCTTTCCACATCTCTTTTACATAGTGCATTTGGGAAGTATCCTTGCGGTTGATATAAACCGTAGAATGTGAGTTACTGTACCTGGCAAGTCTTGTGGTGTTCAAAGGTGAAGTGGTGCAGCGATATGTATATGTTTCTCTAAGAACATGCATGAACTCCTTATGACACATTCAATGTCATTTGTCAAAACATTTAAACAAAAAAAATATCATCTGTAAAAACGTTTTTTGGTTAGCAAGTGAATAGAGAAGGTGAAGTGGCAAAAATTGCCAAAAGGAAAAGAAGCCCTATTGCATACTACACAATAAAACATTCATGAACTGCGTAAATATTTTGTCTGTTACAGACTGAGTAGCTGCCTCACCTTTGTGTGTTTCCTTACTAGTTTCTCAGCAGTGACAGTTATAGCATTTTCAATATTTCTCTTGTCAATTATTCTTTTCGATTGGTGGACACTCTTCTCTAATGTCCCAACTGTGATTGACAGTGCCAAGGAGGTGAATGGTTCCATTACTCATGTGTTGGCCTGACACCAGAGACAAGATTTAAGGGGAAGTGGTATTGTCCAACCTGCAGGCAACTTCCTCAGTGACAAAGATGGCATGCATACACTTCAGTACATGTGATGGAGGAGGCATGGAGGGACGATTTTTTGTTCTGCCTTGATTGGGTTATTCTAGAGTTTATTTAAGATTATGTATCTGTCTCTTTCTTCCCAAAGTAAAGAGAAGAAAGAACCCTTGAGCGGAAGAACCGTTGAGTTTGTAAAACACTTGTTCTGCTCCTCCTCCTTCCATGGATGGGGATTTAGCAAGTAACAGTTTATATTTGGCAGTGTAATGGAGTGGAAGAAACAACAACGAGTTCTGGAAAAACTTCGCTGTTTCTTATCCGTTGTTACTTTATTCATGTTTCTTTGGCTGAACGATGATCATGTGTATTCAATATTAATCTATATGATTGGCAAAAGTAGAGCTCCATCAATAGCTCAGCAATATCGATCGGTTTATCAATGAAGGTATGCCCAGTCAATTACCAAAACGAAATCCACTTGGGTGTATCTTTCTAATGTCTACCCATAACCCCATATATGCCGAACTTCTCACAAAGTTAGACATAATGAGCCTAATGATTTAGGTGCACTTTGTTGATCAGATGACTACCTGAAGTACATCATATGTTATGCGTTATTGAATCAAGACTAATGGCACAATTTGTGACGCCTCTCAAAACATAGAGGGTGTACTTGTTTATTTGGTCAAATGGGATAGATATATTTAGGCTGCAAATGACAATTATTCTGTTTTAGAAATTAATTTTTAGCTATTCCTGGATGAGTTTCTGAGAAAAAAATATGTTTGATAATGACATAAAACTTCTGTTCCCGAAACAAAAATTTGTTTGATAATGGCACAAAATTTCTCCCTCTCAGTGACCGGTGAGTGGAAGGTGGGCGGATGGCGGCGGCGGATGGCGGGAGAAGGACGATGGCAGCGAATGGCGGGCGGCGAGGGAGGCGGTAGCGGACGGCGACGCGGCTTGTGCGGAGGACGGCGGCTGGAGGCGGCCGGCGTCAAGCAATGGCTGGAGGCGGGCGACGGCCAGCGGCGGGAAGGGAGTGACGGCGAGAGGAGGGCGGACGGTGGCAGCGAACGGCGGGCGGTGGACGGTGGGGGGAGGCGACGATGGACGACGACGCGGCCAGTGCGGAGGATGGTGCCTGGAGGCGGCCGGCGTTAAGCAGCGGCAGGAGGAGGGCGGCGGGGGGAGGAGGGCGGAGGAAGGAGGGCGGCAACGAGAGGAGGGCGGCGGGAGGCGACCGGCTGACGGCGGAAGACGGTGGCAGACAGACAATGGGAGGTGGGCGGCGGCGGGAGGAGAGCGGTTGGAGGCAGGAGACGACAAACGGCGAGAGGCAAGTGGGCAGCAATGGGCGGTGGGTGGGCGATCGGCTAATAGGGAGGGCAAACGATGAGAAGAATTTCTCATTTTTATTCCAAAAATAGAAAAGTAAAAAAATTTTACTTTTCATTTATATTCTAAACCTATTTCTGAAATCAAAATTTGTTCCAGAAATTGAAAAATGAAATTGCGATAGCAAACAGATTTCTATTCCAAACTTGTTTTTGAAACAGAAAAATAGAAACAAAATAATTATCATTCGCAGCCTTAACCAACCGGAGAAACCTGCATAATTTCTCCGTTACTCGTCACATCAAAAGTCGAACAAGCATCACAAATCTAAAGAAGTAGAAACCAGTAGTTATTTTGAAGTTAAACCGAACTCATTCAATAATTCAGACAAAGCCCTTCAATTAAGGGCGAAGACAATTATCTGGACCTTTTTTCGAAGATGACCACGATCCTAAATCCTATTTTGCACTTGCATCCTTATGTTCGATTCTTATTGCAAAACTCCCTTTTTTTCCCCCTTCTGGTCCGTAGTCTTATCCATAAGCCAACAGCATGTATTCCTCACGTATAATTTGTGTATAGAAGAATTTTTATGAGGCCATTATGATCCTCACAACAACAACAAAAAGTTTCAATAGTAACATGTGTATCATTCTCTCTTTCTTTTATGGGTTAATGATACAAATAGTTCCCGAACTTTGTAACAATATGCAATGTGCTCCCAAAACTTTACCTTAATGTGCAATATGGTCCTTAAACTTTTAATTTGTTCAATGCGATATCTGAACTTTTGGTACATGTTAAATTTGATATACGGATTATATGAAAATGTTCAATATTGTCATTCTATCAGTTTAAGTTTAGGAACAACATCGAACATTTTCATATAGTCCAATGATCAAATTGAACGCGTACCAAAAGTCCATGGACCCCATTAAACAATTTAAAAGTTCGTGGACGACATTGCGGATTGGGCTAAAGTTCAGGGATCGTATTGAACAAATTAAAAGTTCAAAAATCATATTGCACATTCAGTTAAAGTTCACAAGCTATTTGTGCCATTTTCCCTTATTTTTTCGTCGGGGATAACCCGAAAAAATTAACATAAATTGGATCTACTCTGAAGGTGGGACCAAGTAGCCCAAAAGGCAGGGCGGTGCAATTTGAATGAAAGTTTTGAATTTATTTATTTATTTATTTTGGTCAGAGAAAGTTTTGAATTTTTTCAACAGTAGCATTTCCCTCTCTCTCTCTCTCTCTCTCTCTCTCTCTCTCTCTCTCTCTCTCTCTCTCTCTCTCAATTCTGCTGCTACATTCCCATATTCATTCATTTCACTGACCCAGAAAAGGAAACTCATCCGATTGTCTCTTAAATCTCGCTTCTTATCAATCTTGTGCTTTAATATCTCTTTGGCAGAACCCCAAGCCCACCAAACATTCCCGGATCTTGGTTGTGCCACTCTTTTCTTGAAGAGAATTTCCAAGTCGCGGGCTCTGTTCTCTTTCAAGTTTTCATTTTTCTCCGTCTTCTTTCGAACTCTCGGAGTGGGAAAGAAGCTGCTGCAGCCATTGCTTCCTAGATCTCAAGGGAGCCGAGTTGTCGCCCCCAGGAAGCTGCGAAAGGAGGAACCTTTTTGGCTGGTTTTGGCTGGTAATCGCGCCTTTTCTGGTTCTTGTAGACCGTGTCCTGTTTCTTGATTTCGACCTGAATTGCTTGCTTGCTCATGCATTCACATGAAGTGCCGTTCTCGGAAATAGTTGTCGATGTGAAGGCTGTGCTGAAGGACAGAACTTTCGGTGCTAGATTTACATTTTAGGATTGAAATGGTATAGATGCAAGGCGCAACATATGTTCTGTTGTTGATGATTTGTCTTTTTGCTGGTTTTGGCTGCTAATCGTACCTTTTCTTGTTCTTGTAGCCTGTGTCCTGTTTCTTGATTTTGACCTGAATTGCTTACTTGCTCATGCATTCACATGACGTGCCGTTCTCGGAAATAGTTGTGTCAATGTAAAGGCTGTGATGAAGGACAGAACTTTCGGTGCTAGATTTACATTTCAGGATTGAAATGGTATAGATGCAAGGCGCAACATATGTTCTGTTGTTGATGATTTGTCTTTTTAATCTATACCTATTTGGTTTTATTGGAGGGATCGCTGTTAGTGTTGCTTATTCTGTGAGAAGTTCGAAACTTGGTGCATTTGCTAATGCAAAGCAAGGAGAGAAGGGTTGTTTTTGTGAAGTACAGAAATTTTGAAATTTCAAGATGCTGTTGGTCAAAGCTCTTCTTTTCTATCGAGTTTGTTATAAATCATCTTCTAATTTGTGAGCAACTACTGCAATTGCTTATAGGTGAAAATGGGTAGAAATCTTAGCCCCGCACTGCGTAGAGAATTGGCAAACCTGGATAAAGATGCTGACAGCCGTAAATCGGCGATGAAAGCGCTTAAAACATATGTGAAGGACCTGGACTCAAAGGCGATCCCTTTATTTCTGGAGCAAGTTTCTGAAACCAAGGAAACAGGCTCTTTATCCGGAGAATACACAATTTCGCTTTATGAAGTTCTTGCTCGTGTTCATGGCGTCAACATTGTTCCTCAGATAGATAGCATCCTGGCAACTATTGTGAAAACTTTGGCTTCAAGTGCAGGGTCTTTCCCTCTCCAACAAGCCTGCTCAAGGGTAGTTCCCGCTATTGCGAGATACGGGATAGATCCAACCACTCCAGAGAACAAGAAGAGGCATATCATTCACTCCTTGTGTAAGCCTCTTGCAGAGTCTCTTTTGGGTTCTCAAGAAAGCTTAACCTCAGGGGCTGCGCTTTGCTTAAAGGCTCTGGTGGATGCGGATAATTGGAGGTACGCTTCGGATGATATGGTCAACAAGGTTTGTCAGAATGTTGCTGTGGCTTTGGAGGAGAAGTCCACTCAGTCCAATTCACACATGGCTTTGGTTATGGCTTTAGCCAAGCACAATTCCTTAATAGTTGAAGCTTATGCAAGGCTCTTAGTACGATCAGCAATGAAGATCTTGCAAGCTGGACTATCAGAGGCAAATTCTCAGAAACGTTTATCAGCAATTCAAATGGTGAATTTCCTGATGAAGTGGTTGGATCCTAGGAGTATATTTTCAGAGCTGCAGTTGATAATTGAGGAGATGGAGAAGTGCCAGTCCGATCAGATGGCTTTTGTAAGGGGAGCAGCTTTTGAAACTCTACAAACTGCTAGGAGAATCGCCACAGAGAGAGGGTTAATATTTGAAAAACGTTCGAGTTCAGTGAATGAGTCCATTGGCAGGAGAGATGAAAATCAGGGGAGAAATTTATGGAGTTCAGGAGATGCTTCATCTGCTTCCACCCCAGAATCTCAGACGCTTGATTTTAATTTCGAATATGATTCTCTGCTTGAGTCACCTCTCTCTTCCCAGGTCTCGTCTGATTTGACCTACGATAGGCAGAGTGTCCATCGGAGACTATGGAGATATGAAAATGGAGGGGTGGATATTTCTCTCAAAGACGGCTTGTTCTCAGAGTTGTCTAACGGAAATGGCCTTTCCAGTAGAAGTGTCGAGGGAACTCCCACTAGGCAACAGGAGTACAATGCCAATGAAGGAGATGATGTAAATGATTTCATAGGATTCCAGCCAAGAAGTCCAAGATATGGAGTAGCACAACGAAGCCCTACTCCTAGTCCCCAGGTAAATAGTTCATTTCAAGTGCCATGGATGAGTTGAAAACTCTGTAGCAGTAACGAATCTAGACAGGCTGTGTTTAACTTGAACTTCCAGTAATGTGACGGTGCATATCATTTTATCATAGTAACACTTAAGCAGGGAATATTTGTTTCTTGCCTGTATTTAAGGATGGTGTACTTTTTTTTCTTGGTCGCAAGGATGACAAACACATGTACTGTAGTATGAAAACAGCAGGAATTAGTTTGAAAGGGGATGCATATGCCGACTTTATGTTACTAGATGTTTCTGCTATTCTTCATGGACAAACATGAATTTCAGTTTCCCTGTTGAAGAAATAGATCTTCCTATCAAGATGAGCTGCCGTTCATTTACTCATCAGAGCTTCTTCTGATTTTGTTTTCTAACTGCTTACATGTGTTCTTGCTTCTGCACCAGAGGTCAAGATCCCCCATCAATGTTGACAATATTAAAATCTTCACTACCCCGAGGAAGCTCATCCACTCTCTTCAGGATCCAAGTGATGTGGAATCTGACATGACACGGAAAAGCCTCGGAAGGTTTAGAAGTCCATGTTCAAGCGTAGATGAGTGGAGTCCTGTGAGGAACTTTGACCAGGGTTGCTTGATAGATGATCCCCATGATGCCAAAGAGAAGGAAAACTCTGAAGATGGTGCTGAGCAGCAGTTTCAGGGTGGATCTGAATCTCTCTCATCAGCGGAAAACATTGCTGCATATCTAGAAAAGTTGGTGCCAAACACAGGGACGCTGCTAGATGAAACCAAAACTCCGACCCTCGGCACCAGAAAGGCTGGAAGAAGAACGGCCTTCAAACTGATTTGCAGCATACTCTTTGTTTTACTCGCGATATTCTGTTCTTTACAGTATAATGATCATGAATATCGCCATCTTGTTCCGACTTAGATGTCTTGTTAGATCTAGGATCTTGGGGTACAATTTTCATGTAGGGGAAACGTTGTATTGCTTGCTTTTCTAGTCACAGTATCCTTGGTGAAGCATTTCAATCACGAGTTTTAAGTATCTCGAACTTGGAGCTCAATCTGATTTTGGTTTCTTTATTTCTTCCACTTCTCTAGAAATTTGGAGCTCAATCCCAAAAGGTTTGTGCATCAATTAGTAGTGTCGTTTTGCAAATGTATCGTAACTGGTAGCATATATTCTGGTAACTATCGCACTGACACTTTCTTTTTCACGTATGCATATTATTCTGCCATATGTTAGTTAGGCACCTAAAATGAATTTATGTAGGCCATGCTATTCTATTACTTATATAGAACGTATAGAGCTCATATCTAGCTTGACTAGAACTTCCGTTCGCTACATTGGGGAATCCCATCTGCTTTCACGACTTTTCTCGTAAGTCTTGAAAACCTTTCCAAGTTAGCAAGAGCACGACAGACCAAATCAAAGTGATAAGCAAGAACATCGAGCACAAATAAAAAAGATAAGCAAGAGCATCAAAATCACTCAATGACAATAAACGACTCCGTCACAAGCAAGCACAAGGAACTTCCATGATTTGCATAGACAGAGGTCTGCCAACAGATGGCAAATTATCATGAGTTGGAAAGTCTACCATGATATAAGCTTCTTGCACTGTATCATCAACGAATTCTGACTTCCTTAATAAGGAAAGGGAAAAAGTTGCTCAAAAGATGTTTTATCCCTTCCAACCAAAATTTAGGGGAAAATCCATCTTGCAACGGAGACTGATACTGTCCACGCACGTTTCTTTTCATCACAATTAGGCCAAGAAAAGCTAACAAGACCCTCCGAGCTCATGAAGAAATTTGTTCAAGATAAAATAAAAGGTAGATAAAAGGACCCCGCAATCAAGACTGATTTTGTGCAAAATTAGTCTTCGTCCATTCCAGCCGGCTGTTATCTCCTTGGGCCACCAGCAGGTTTTGCCGTGGTGATCTGCCAATGCACAAGTCAAATCAATGTCCACAAGCTAAAGGCACCCATCAAACTCAATAGACTGATAAATGATGACTCTTTCCTGCACACAAAATAGAAGGTGATAATGCAGATTTTGAAATTCAAGGAACTAAATTATGAAAGTATAACTTAAAGACACCGCTCCACCATATATAACCCGCTGCACATACAAAAACGTTCCTAGCAGATGAAATAGAACAAAAGTGGACCACTGCACTGTTGCTTCAGAGGACCATCAGCATCAGTCATCATCAGACTTTAAGGAAACCATTAGCTACCAATCCACTATTGCAAAATATAAGCTCCACAAACAAATTGAATTTGCTTTTATGAATCTAAAAACAACATGAAGGAATGGCAACATAACAGTACGTAAATGAGGTACCTGATCAACCCGAAGTACAGTGCAAGCAGCATCAGCAGCATACTTGAGAGCAAAAAACCTGGATAAAAGCCCAACGATGTAATCTAGCATCAGCAGCATACTTGAGAGCAAAAAAACCTGGATAAAAGCCCAACAATGTAATCCCCATATACCATCAACGAAACGACATGCCTACCTTTATCATAGCAATCGAATAAACCATAAGGCTGAACAAAATGCAGGTAGTATTGGGTTCACGCAACTGATTATAACCTTATACAAGGTAAATAAACACCCTACATCCTAACAAGTATAAATAGTAATTAGAAGAAAGGAAGGAGAAGTGTACTTTGTGATATAAAGGTCCCAGACTTTCATAACTGAGGCATCCTTGCTGACACCTTCCTCCAAGTCAATACCCACTTTGGCATTTCCGTTTGCATGTTCAGCATATAGAGAAGATATGATTTCCATAGCATTGAGCCCAGCATTCTCAGCTAGTGTCGTAGGTATCATCTCAAAGCACTCTGCAAATTTTGCAATAGCATACCGATCCAACCTGCAAAAACCAACACAAATCCAATGAACAAGAATTAACTCCAACTATCATTAAGCATAACCACACCAAAAAAATCAAAGGTTTGGATTCCATTCGATGGCGTGATGAAAAACAGGAAATACGAGAAGAACCCGGTCTCTTTAAAAGAAAATTCCTTCACTCTTCTAGCCAGCTCAATCTCCGTAGCAGCAGCACCAGGTACTATGCGACTATCCTTACACATAGCCTTAGTTAAGATAGGTTATTGTTAGAGACAAAACATTGCATTAAGGAATGATGGTGCATCAGTATCTCTACATAATCAAAGAAGTTCGTAACACAAAATTAATGCACGACAAACTCAAATTTCAGTGCATGGATCAAGAAATAACACAGTCAAAGGAGTCCCAGTTTCAGACAAAAGCTACCTTGTAAGTATTTAAACCGTAATCAACTGCTCTTTCGAGGTCATCTAATATGCTATCAGTACTTGCCAGCAGAATAACAGTTGAGACAGAGTTTCCACCTTCTTCATTTTGCACTACAGTTAGCTGCATAAAAATAAAGGAGGAATAGCTAAGATGAAGCTCTCAAAGTATGAAGGTAATAGCAGAAGCCTGACCAATTTAACCCCTTAATCATACCCTCACACCACAGATTTCCACAACAGCAACCAAATCTACATATCCCAAGTCATCAGGATTGGGTTGGCTCAGCTTCAGCTGTCACATTTACACATTAAAAAAAAAAAAAAGCAAACTCTTTCAGCAATCCTCATGGGTCATAAGTTCAAAAAATAAAGTGACCCAATGCTTACAATAGCCACAGAATTAGTCATGCGGCAAAATCTCTGTAGTTCAAACTCCGAATTGATTTTCAAGACCATAAGGCTGAAAGTGACAACAGTGATATCAAAAGAATGAATCAGTCCCAAAAAGAAACCAATGACGAGCAAAACAACATAGAGTATGGCATTATAACAGGAAATCAACTGGACTCTTGTTTTAGCCACCATATCAAATTATGATTCTCTCGCGCACTTTGAGATGACAACATCAAGGAGCAGCATAGTAAAATAAAAAATGGAGATGGAAGAGAGACTTACTTAAAACGCTCACAAAAATGCAACGCCATCTCTCCAACTGCAGCACCACTAACAATAACTTTTGCACCCGAATCGGCAACTGATTTTATCAGCTCCTCCAGTTTAGCTTCCTCAGATTTTGCATAATTCTCATGCTACAAGAAACAGTATGCCATAGATTGGTGCATTTACATTTTGTTGTTAAAATAAGGAATTTGAACCCAGGGCAATAGAACTTGAAGAAATTCATGTTATTTTGAGGTTTTCATCTCATTGAAAAGACAAAAGCTATACTCTCCGGTGCCGACAAGATAGACACTGCACAAATTCTTAAGAAAAAAAATTGCAAACAGATCATCTTCTTGACAATGCCACATTTTTAATGCAGAAATCTTAAAATCAAGTTGCCAGGCACGCATATAGTGATATAGCCAATGATCTCATATTAGTATGCAGAAAATATCCAATAGCAAGTTTACCAATTACACTCCAATGTTCAGGTATTTAGGTGATTTATTTTCTTCCAGCAGTTTCACTAGTCAAGCAACATTTCCCAATCTGAGCTTTTAACATCACCAGCAGTGAAGCAGTAATTTTTTGTTGAAATCTCCATCCTCCTCAAAGAGTGATTGAATCACAAAATCACCATACTAAAAAGACAAAAGTTGTGTATAAAAAAGAAAGAAAGAAAGAAAGAAAGAACGAAAGAAGACATACATTAAGATACTTCTACAATGCAAAGCCTAAAAAGGGTATCCAGTTAAAAACTGGAAGAGCTGCTCAAAAAAGCAATACTCAAAGGCAACCATCTCAATTATTCCTTCAAGATCTAACCAAAGAAGTTTAATAAACTTACCTGCTCGGCACTATGTATAAGGACAGTTCCCTTCGTATCGGTAGCAGATGTATCAACACCACCAGCAAATACCGCTACCTAAATTCATTAAGTGAAGATGAAGTATAAATACTCGAATCAAAATCATAACACCTCCATAAGCCATTCATGAAATCATATGGAACAACAAAGCAATAACTACCCAGATTCACAAGCACATGAACCAAAATAGTACAAAAGAACCTTTAAACTGAAAAGCTAACAGGACGATGAGGTAATGAATCAAGCAAATGAGTTTTCCTATGTGTTAACAAAAAACCACAAGCAACCTGCAGTTAATCTAAAGCAACAGTTTCCTCAAATTAATATAAAATGTCCGGTTGAGCCGAACATTTTGAGAAATACATCAACATTGTCGGAATTGTGAAATTCAGGCCACAGCATAAGTAAACCAAAGGTTTAGATTGAAATATAAACATCAACCTGTAAATAAACAACCTTTTAAAGACGAGCTAACCTTTGCATTCTCTATTCTCTTAATACTCCCAACAGCATCGCCTTTGAAGACCATACCTCGAAGTACTGTACTGTCACGCAGACCGCCACCACCCAATACCTTCGCAACTTGGACATTATCCGCATTGAAGGTAGCTGGGTTCTCGGGGGACACATAATAACAAGCCTTATCAAAGACAAAATGCACATAATGAGCACATTTGAAATAGACAGGTGAAGAATCCTATAATATAGAGGCAGGTTTGAGAATTGGTGCATACATCGGCAACAAGTGAGCATAATCTGTCTACTTTTCCAGATTGCTTGCTAGCAATTGCAGCTCTCATTCGAGAAACAACTTGCTTCTTATTTTGTACATCCATGGTCTCAGAACCGGCCTCAACCAGTTCATCCAGTATCTCTAATGTCTGTGAATACAATAAACTTAGAGGGAAAGTCAGACTCATCCATTAATTTACTGCCTGTGCACAGTACTAAGGAAAATTGCATTGACCTTGTTGATGGCCTTAGAATAACCACTAATAATGTCGCTAGGATGCAAGCCCATTCTAATAAGCTCCTCTGCATTTTGGAGGAGCTCTCCTGCAAAAGAGATCGTCAAATTGGCACCGTCACCGATCTCCTCTTGTTGAGCCTTGGCTGCAGAAACCAATATCTTCGCCGCGGGATGTTGGACCTCAAGCTCGTTCACGATCGTGGAGGCATCATTCGTCACAAGGAGCTTGTCCAAGTTATTGATGACGATCTTATTCATGCCTGACAAAATTTGCCATCACAGGAAGAGGCTACTTAGAAAGATTGCATCGCACGTTCCAGGAGCCTGGACAAGTAGCATAAGTCACCAAGATTGTGCAGACACTACCGCCCGAATAATATCATCTCCAGCCAACCGTTTAGATCGCAAAACGCCATTTCATTCCAGAATCACACTTAAACAAATTACGAACTAATTAAACCAAGTTAGGGTGAGTTTATTTTATGAAATTGTAACATTTCTAGAAAATGATTGGGTTTTTCTTTGTTTGGTGGTATGTGATCGAAAATATTTTCTAGTGTTTAGATTTCATTTGGAAAATAATTTCCATTTCATGACTTTAAATTGACTTTTCAATAATTTTTTATTTTTTTCTTTTTTCTTCTTTCTTCGCTAGTCGCCAAGCCTTGACGAGGGTCGACTTGACCGGCCTAAGGTGATGTCGAGCTCACAAGATCTGGCAAGGCTGGCGAGCTTGAGCCTCGCCAGCCTGCCTGTGGCTAGTCACCGAGGCTCGGCGACTGGTGAAGGAAGAAGGAAAAGAAGAAAGAGAAAAAAAAAGGAAAAAGAATAAAATATTAAAAAATTAAATATGTGCAATACCACAAAGTATTTTGATCTTTTTAGATTAGAGAATTCACTACGTGAATATTTTTTTTGACCGGAAAGTATTCTGATTTACTTATTCTTTTTGACGAATCAAACTAATGAAACTTCATATAACTAATTTCGAAAAAACACTAACAAACACACTCTTGATTTGAAATCGCCTTCCGCCAACCAGTGAATCCGGGAAAAGATCGAACATCATGGGATGCATGAAATCTGAGAAAAAACTGCAAAGGTGCATATATCCTTCACAATCACACGAGAGAAGCAAGAATCGCGACTGAATTGCTGATCCAAAATGAAATAGGGAGAGCAAAAAGGATCGAGACTCTACGATTGGGGCCGAGAGAGTTGCGGGTAGCGGCGGAGAGCTGCTTGCATGCGTCGATGTTCTTGATGACGGCCTCGTCAAGTATGGAGAGATGCTTGTGCCCCTCCTCGAGCATCGCTTGTGCGCCGTGCGGTTGCAGGTCAATCCCTCCCTTTCTCTCCCCCTCACTCCGCAAAAGCTGATGACTTGTGTGTCCGAAGGGTTTGAGTGATACAAATGATAGGCACCTTATTTATACTCGAGACTCTCTAATTACAACCGTTGATCTATATCTTCATCTAATGGTGCAGAGGCTCAGTCCTCTTCACATTGATCCAATAAATGAGATTGAGTTGATCCAACCGTGTGGGATATCAACCATTGTCTAAGGGATCTGACGGCTAAGATCTATTCAATCTAACGGTGTGGGGAATCAATCGATATTGATCAAACAGAAGAATTTGAATAACCTACCAATCCAATGGCTCCGAGGCACCTTGGCTTTACCTCTTTGGATTGATCCGTGACATTATCCCCCATTCGAGCGACGCCCTTGGCGCTCCCAACTCGGGATCTTTTGTTTGGATTGTTAGTTCTTTGGGCGTAGGCGATTCTTCCGTCTCCTATTCCGATTGGTTTTCTTCTTCTTGACTATGCGGTGGCACGGCTCTTGAATCTCAACTCGTTCCGCAAGTGTATCTACCTTCGGCTTGGCCAACTCCATGTTGTTCGGCAAGTCTTTTGCTTCCGGAAAGATCTCCATTTCCTCAACTCTATTGTAAGCATTGGGTCACTTTATTTTTTGAACTTGTGACCCATGAGGATTGCTGAAAGAGTTTGCTTTTTTTTTTTTTAATGTGTAAATGTTACAGCTGAAGCTGAGCCAACCCAATCCTGATGACTTGGGATATGTAGATTTGGTTGCTGTTGTGGAAATCTGTGGTGTGAGGGTATGATTAAGGGGTTAAATTGGTCAGGCTTCTGCTATTACCTTCATACTTTGAGAGCTTCATCTTAGCTATTCCTCCTTTATTTTTATGCAGCTAACTGTAGTGCAAAATGAAGAAGGTGGAAACTCTGTCTCAACTGTTATTCTGCTGGCAAGTACTGATAGCATATTAGATGACCTCGAAAGAGCAGTTGATTACGGTTTAAATACTTACAAGGTAGCTTTTGTCTGAAACTGGGACTCCTTTGACTGTGTTATTTCTTGATCCATGCACTGAAATTTGAGTTTGTCGTGCTTTAATTTTGTGTTACGAACTTCTTTGACTATGTAGAGATACTGATGCACCATCATTCCTTAATGCAATGTTTTGTCTCTAACAATAACCTATCTTAACTAAGGCTATGTGTAAGGATAGTCGCATAGTACCTGGTGCTGCTGCTACGGAGATTGAGATTGAGCTGGCTAGAAGAGTGAAGGAATTTTCTTTTAAAGAGACCGGGTACTTCTCGTATTTCCTGTTTTTCATCACGCCATCGAATGGAATCCAAACCTTTGATTTTTTTGGTGTGGTTATGCTTAATGATAGTTGGAGTTAATTCTTGTTCATTGGATTTGTGTTGGTTTTTGCAGGTTGGATTGGTATGCTATTGCAAAATTTGCAGAGAGCTTTGAGATGATACCTACGACACTAGCTGAGAATGCTGGGCTCAATGCTATGGAGATCATATCTTCTCTATATGCTGAACATGCAAACGGAAATGCCAAAGTGGGTATTGACTTGGAGGAAGGTGTCAGCAAGGATGCCTCAGTTATGAAAGTCTGGGACCTTTATATCACAAAGTACACTTCTCCTTCCTTTCTTCTAATTACTATTTATACTTGTTAGGATGTAGGGTGTTTATTTACCTTGTATAAGGTTATAATCAGTTGCGTGAACCCAATACTACCTGCATTTTGTTCAGCCTTATGGTTTATTCGATTGCTATGATAAAGGTAGGCATGTCGTTTCGTTGATGGTATATGGGGATTACATTGTTGGGCTTTTATCCAGGTTTTTTTGCTCTCAAGTATGCTGCTGATGCTAGATTACATCGTTGGGCTTTTATCCAGGTTTTTTGCTCTCAAGTATGCTGCTGATGCTGCTTGCACTGTACTTCGGGTTGATCAGGTACCTCATTTACGTACTGTTATGTTGCCATTCCTTCATGTTGTTTTTAGATTCATAAAAGCAAATTCAATTTGTTTGTGGAGCTTATATTTTGCAATAGTGGATTGGTAGCTAATGGTTTCCTTAAAGTCTGATGATGACTGATGCTGATGGTCCTCTGAAGCAACAGTGCAGTGGTCCACTTTTGTTCTATTTCATCTGCTAGGAACGTTTTTGTATGTGCAGCGGGTTATATATGGTGGAGCGGTGTCTTTAAGTTATACTTTCATAATTTAGTTCCTTGAATTTCAAAATCTGCATTATCACCTTCTATTTTGTGTGCAGGAAAGAGTCATCATTTATCAGTCTATTGAGTTTGATGGGTGCCTTTAGCTTGTGGACATTGATTTGACTTGTGCATTGGCAGATCACCACGGCAAAACCTGCTGGTGGCCCAAGGAGATAACAGCCGGCTGGAATGGACGAAGACTAATTTTGCACAAAATCAGTCTTGATTGCGGGGTCCTTTTATCTACCTTTTATTTTATCTTGAACAAATTTCTTCATGAGCTCGGAGGGTCTTGTTAGCTTTTCTTGGCCTAATTGTGATGAAAAGAAACGTGCGTGGACAGTATCAGTCTCCGTTGCAAGATGGAGTTTCCCCTAAATTTTGGTTGGAAGGGATAAAACATCTTTTGAGCAACTTTTTCCCTTTCCATATTAAGGAAGTCAGAATTCGTTGATGATACAGTGCAAGAAGCTTATATCATGGTAGACTTTCCAACTCATGATAATTTGCCATCTGTAGGCAGACCTCTGTCTATGCAAATCATGGAAGTTCCTTGTGCTTGCTTGTGACGGAGTCGTTTATGTTGTCATTGAGTGATTTTGATGCTCTTGCTTATCTTTTTTATTTGTGCTCGATGTTCTTGCTTATCACTTTGATTTGGTCTGTCGTGCTCTTGCTAACTTGGAAAGGTTTTCAAGACTTACGAGAAAAGTCGTGAAAGCAGATGGGACTCCCCAATGTAGCGAACGGAAGTTCTAGTCAAGCTAGATATGAGCTCTATACGTTCTATATAAGTAATAGAATAGCATGGCCTACATAAATTCATTTTAGGTGCCTAACTAACATATGGCAGAATAATATGCATACGTGAAAAAGAAAGTGTCAGTGCGATAGTTACCAGAATATATGCTACCAGTTACGATACATTTGCAAAACGACACTACTAATTGATGCACAAACCTTTTGGGATTGAGCTCCAAATTTCTAGAGAAGTGGAAGAAATAAAGAAACCAAAATCAGATTGAGCTCCAAGTTCGAGATACTTAAAACTCGTGATTGAAATGCTTCACCAAGGATACTGTGACTAGAAAAGCAAGCAATACAACGTTTCCCCTACATGAAAATTGTACCCCAAGATCCTAGATCTAACAAGACATCTAAGTCGGAACAAGATGGCGATATTCATGATCATTATACTGTAAAGAACAGAATATCGCGAGTAAAACAAAGAGTATGCTGCAAATCAGTTTGAAGGCCGGTCTTCTTCCAGCCTTTCTGGTGCCGAGGGTTGGAGTTTTGCTTTCATCTAGCAGCGTCCGTGTTTGGCACCAACTTTTCTAGATATGCAGCAATGTTTTCCGCTGATGAGAGAGATTCAGATCCACCCTGAAACTGCTCAGCACCATCTTCAGAGGTTTCCTTCTCTTTGGCATCATGGGGATCATCTATCAAGCAACCCTGGTCAAAGTTCCTCACAGGACTACACTCATCTACGCTTGAACATGGACTTCTAAACCTTCCGAGGCTTTTCCGTGTCATGTCAGATTCCACATCATTTGGATCCTGAAGAGAGTGGATGAGCTTCCTCGGGGTAGTGAAGATTTTAATATTGTCAACATTGTTGGGGGATCTTGGCCTCTGGTGCAGAAGCAAGAACACATGTAAGCAGTTAGAAAACAAAATCAGAAGAAGCTCTGATGAGGAAATGAACGGCAGCTCATCTTGATAGGAAGATCTATTTCTTCAACAGGGAGACTGAAATTCATGTTTGTCCATGAAGAATAGCAGAAACATCTAGTAACATAAAGTCGGCATATGCATCCCCTTTCAAACTAATTCCTGCTGTTTTCATACTACAGTACATGTGTTTTTTTTGGTTAGGACTACAGTACATGTGTTTGTCATCCTTGCGACCAAGAAAAAAAAGTACACCATCCTTAAATACAGGCAAGAAACAAATATTCCCTGCTTAAGTGTTACTATGATAAAATGATATGCGCCGTCACATTACTGGAAGTTCAAGTTAAACACAGCCTGTCTAGATTCGTTACTGCTACAGAGTTTTCAACTCATCCATGGCACTTGAAATGAACTATTTACCTGGGGACTAGGAGTAGGGCTTCGTTGTGCTACTCCATATCTTGGACTTCTTGGCTGGAATCCTATGAAATCATTTACATCATCTCCTTCATTGGCATTGTACTCCTGTTGCCTAGTGGGAGTTCCCTCGACACTTCTACTGGAAAGGCCATTTCCGTTAGACAACTCTGAGAACAAGCCGTCTTTGAGAGAAATATCCACCCCTCCATTTTCATATCTCCATAGTCTCCGATGGACACTCTGCCTATCGTAGGTCAAATCAGACGAGACCTGGGAAGAGAGAGGTGACTCAAGCAGAGAATCATATTCGAAATTAAAATCAAGCGTCTGAGATTCTGGGGTGGAAGCAGATGAAGCATCTCCTGAACTCCATAAATTTCTCCCCTGATTTTCATCTCTCCTGCCAATGGACTCATTCACTGAACTCGAACGTTTTTCAAATATTAACCCTCTCTCTGTGGCGATTCTCCTAGCAGTTTGTAGAGTTTCAAAAGCTGCTCCCCTTACAAAAGCCATCTGATCGGACTGGCACTTCTCCATCTCCTCAATTATCAACTGCAGCTCTGAAAATATACTCCTAGGATCCAACCACTTCATCAGGAAATTCACCATTTGAATTGCTGATAAACGTTTCTGAGAATTTGCCTCTGATAGTCCAGCTTGCAAGATCTTCATTGCTGATCGTACTAAGAGCCTTGCATAAGCTTCAACTATTAAGGAATTGTGCTTGGCTAAAGCCATAACCAAAGCCATGTGTGAATTGGACTGAGTGGACTTCTCCTCCAAAGCCACAGCAACATTCTGACAAACCTTGTTGACCATATCATCCGAAGCGTACCTCCAATTATCCGCATCCACCAGAGCCTTTAAGCAAAGCGCAGCCCCTGAGGTTAAGCTTTCTTGAGAACCCAAAAGAGACTCTGCAAGAGGCTTACACAAGGAGTGAATGATATGCCTCTTCTTGTTCTCTGGAGTGGTTGGATCTATCCCGTATCTCGCAATAGCGGGAACTACCCTTGAGCAGGCTTGTTGGAGAGGGAAAGACCCTGCACTTGAAGCCAAAGTTTTCACAATAGTTGCCAGGATGCTATCTATCTGAGGAACAATGTTGACGCCATGAACACGAGCAAGAACTTCATAAAGCGAAATTGTGTATTCTCCGGATAAAGAGCCTGTTTCCTTGGTTTCAGAAACTTGCTCCAGAAATAAAGGGATCGCCTTTGAGTCCAGGTCCTTCACATATGTTTTAAGAGCTTTCATCGCCGATTTACGGCTGTCAGCATCTTTATCCAGGTTTGCCAATTCTCTACGCAGTGCGGGGCTAAGATTTCTACCCATTTTCACCTACATGTGAAGTTGTGATTGTAGGGACCTCAATTTGTTTAATCGGTGACTGAATTGATTAACTCAGCTTTGTTGGTTTCTTTGCACAAAACGACAATCGCGAAGTCAATTCTTTAATCAATTAGTCGCGATTATGGGAACCTCCATGCGAAATTGTTGTCCTTTCTGTGTTATGGTCCCAAAAGCTAATAATTTTTTCTTCCTTGGGTGCACCATTGGCACGAGGGAGAATCTTGTGACCATCATTGTTTAGTATGAGTGGAAATTTGTTATTAGTATTGGGGAGTAGGAATATGCCGGTGGAAATGAAGGTACCATCTTCATCGCTCTTAGGAGGCCATTATATATTGAATTCGTGAGGGATATAGTGCATTATTTATGATGCAAAGTACAAAAATCGCATTATTGTGTTCTTGGGAAGGATTTGAAGGATGGTTTAACATGTTTTAGTGATGATAATGGTATTAAGGATATTATTTACCATTATCTTCACGACGGGAAGCTAAAGTGTATGTTAAGTATTACAATGATGATGAAGATGATGAAAATGATGAGAGCTCTCAAATAGGAGAAGCAGAAGATGGTATTTAACGGAGTAATCAGGTTGGAGATGAATCTACATTAGACGAAAGACAACACGAGAGGCAAGTGAAAGGGGAGAGGGAGGCAAGTCATATAGAAAGAGATCAGGAAACGGGGAGATGTCCCGAAGTCTCTAATGAAGACGTAGGTAATGAAAAATGGGTTGAATTAGATTGCGAAGTTGATCTATCCAATGAATCGATGATGAAGCTTTAGTAAATGTAAATTTCCCAACTGACAATGACGATGAACTTGCACAATCAAGGCAAAAGTAGAGGAAATTTGTGAGAAATAAATTTGCAGCATATGGAGAAACGCATGAATCCAAACTTGTAAATAGGGATGAAGGAGCTCTCGCTGCAAGTAATTAAAATGAATATGAAGAAAGTAGCGGTGATGATGATGAGAGTGCTAGTTTCGAGAATGAACTTGAGAATGATGAAGTACTTGTGCGTAGAAAGAAAAGTAAGGGGCGAAGAACAGCAGAAGTGCCAAAAGTTGTGTACGGAGCTCACTTTGGTGCCAAAAGTTTCAAACGGATCACTTAAGTGCCAAAAGTTTACGCCGGCGATCACTTAAGTGCCAAATCGGAGAAAAAATGATCACTTAAGTGCCAACGACGAGAAATTCCGGCCAAATTTAATAAGTGGCTTTTATATTTAAAATTTAATGACACGTGGCATTTCCACGTGTATAATTCAATTTTTTAAATATTTTTTTATGATTTTTTTTCTTTCTTTTCTTTTTTCTTTTTTCTTTTCTTTCTTTTCTTTTTCTTTTCTTTCTTCTTCTTCTTCTTCTACCATGGCCGGTGGCCGAAGGCCAGCCACCGGCCAGGGCCGGCCTCGCCGGGCGTTGCCTTCCACCGGGCGAGGCCCGGCGAGGCAGTCGTGGCCTCGGCGAGGGCCGGCCTCGCCGGTTCGGCGAGGCGAGCCCTCGCCAAGGCCACGGCGGCCTCGCCGGCGTTGCCTTCCACGGGCGAGGCCGGCGAGGCGATCGTGGCCTCGGCGAGGCCGGCCTCGCCGGATCCGGCGAGGCGAGCCCTCGCCAAGGCCACGCCGGCCTCGCCGAGGCGAGCCCTCGCCAAGGCCACGGCGGCCTCGCCGAGGCGCGCCTTCCTCCGGGCGAGGCCCGCGAGGCCGCCGTGGCCTTGGCGAGGGCCGGCCTCGCCAGATCTCGGCGAGGCGAGCCCTCGCCAAGGTCACGGCGGCCTCACCGAGGCATCGCCTTCCTCCGCGGCGGCCTCGCCGAGCGTTGCCTTCCTCCCGGGCGAGGGCCGCCGTGGCCTCGCCGGATCCGGCGAGGCGAACCCTCGCCAAGGCCACGGCGGCTTCGCCGAGGCGTCGCCTTCCTCTGGGCGAGGCCGGCCGTCGCCGAGGCCACGGCGGCCTCGCCAGCCCTCGCCCGGAGGAAGGCGACACCCGGCGAGGCCGGCCATGGCCGGTGGCTGGCCTCCGGCCATGGTAGAAGAAAGAAAAGAAAAAAAGAAAAGAAAGGAAAAAAGAAAGAAAAGA